GATTTACTATAGTGCAGCTGAATAACATAAGGGGGCACCCTTGAACCTTGTAAAGTACTCCCATAATACCTGAGCCCCCTATGTAGTTTCAAACTAACTAAATTGATTCCATTGTTTCAATAATGTTCGTTCGTTATAGTACTTGTACCTATTTAACTTAAAATAACTAAAGACCCCGGGATGGAATTTGATGCTCTTTGGCACAAATGATCACTGCCGGATTTAGGGGAGGGCAACCGGGGCGAAAGCCCCGGGGCCTCCACAAACGGGGGGCCCCCCCAATAGAGACTTCGGAAGAAAAACTCATTCAAATTCCAACTAGTAAACATCTTTTCGGTTCCGTTCGTTAACTCTAAGATTTAATTTCAGATAATTCTTGTTTCCGTTTATATTTATATGTGTTTGTTCAATACTAAGGGAATCTACTTGGTTCACAATAAATTATTTATTGAAAAAGCAAAACAAAATTGTTTACTTTATTTGGAAAATAATTTGGGGTGAGGGGGCCTCCGCTCCTCTGTTGCCCCGAGGCCTCTGGACCTCTAAATCCGGCCCTGCAAATGATCATGGCTATAATACCTTTCAAACAAGTGTAGTTTAAGCCGTGGCGGACGTGGGTGCAGCGTCCATACATTTTTGCCCAATGTCCTTTATTGAAGTGAATTTTCTTTTCGGATGGGTTGTAAATGGAAAAATTCTATGAAAAAGATGAAACGGAAATGCGTCACGAGCATCACACGACTATATAGATATATGAGTGATGCGTGCGCTGCTCCATTCCCCTATACCTTATGCACCGCCTAATGTAAGGTTATTTAAGAAAAGAAGTTTCACTGCAGATGTGTGGTCCGTGCATACAATTTTGTTTTAACTCTGCAAAAGTGTAAGGGTGAATTCGAACACATTTTTGGGTCCTACTTAGGCCATGTTAATTATTTTTCTTTAAAAAAAACTTTGCTATCCATTTCTTACTTTTAAGTCTTATTTTATTGATGTAACTGGAGTAGAATAGTCCTGCTGTTTCACGCACATTAATTTGGAGAAAGATATAATAATTAGACATAACAATGTTGTCGCGGTTATAGAACTTTTAAAGGAGAACAATTCCGTCAAACATGATTTTTTAGTATTAATTAAGTATAAAATAAAAATTAAACTAAATAATCGCCTTCACGAGAAAAAGAATGCCGGCGCATACAACTTATTTTTTCTTTTCGCTCCCAGTCGAATACGGCAGAGAATTTCGACGGGCAATAAAAATTAACTCATTCAATTGATGGAACACCACATTAAACTCAAGTAGGAAGTGAACTGCTCTTATTGCATTATAGCAAATAACTACTTACAACAGTTCATGGTTCAGTTAGGGTGCAATAAACATATATCAAACTAGAATCACAAAAAGAAATCAATCAAATCAGAATCAGAATTAATTCCTTAATTGAAATTAGTTTTGAATTATTTATATGGGTACCTATGTTGACGACCTCTGTGCCGCATGTGGTATGTACGCGGGATTTCAAGGTGTCAGGTTCCGGGTTCGAATCCCTGTGGGGAAATTATTTGTATGATGAATACGAGCATTTTGAACTAAATCATGGATTTTTATATGTATTTCTAGATAAATAAATAATATACTTATACTTAAGTACCGCATAACATAAGGCTCACTTTGGGGCTAGGCTAATTGGTGTGAGTGTTGGAAATATTTTTCTATTAGACTTTATGTTTTAATTTATTCACTATGAGGATACTGTGATGTCAGTGGAGTCAAATTGCACAGATAAATGCTAAACCTAATTATACGCACCAGAGTCCCTTCAATAGTGTCACTGAAGAAACACAACATAAGACTCTTTAGGTGCATATCTGACCTACCTACTACCTATCCTCAAGGTCAAATTGCGACCTTGAACGCGCTGACCGTCGTCGAACAACCAGCCGCAGTCAATACGCATCAATCAGTGAAGACGTATGATGCATGCGTTTAGAACAGAGAGAGACCGCTAATATCCCCCTTGCGCAGTGTCACAACAACACAACTCGGAACGAAACTAGAGCCAAGACTGATTTCCGCTGACATCCCGACGCGGTCAGGGTTGCCTACCTTGCCTAGTCGCTGTTCTTCAGATATTATTTACAGCATCAACATCATCATCAGCCTATGAATGTCCCCACTGCTGGGGCACAGGCTTCCCTTTGGATGGAATTGGGAGATAGGGTCATGACCCACCACGCAGGCCCAGTGCGGATTGGCGGGTGCTAACGACTGCAGATGCAGCCGGAACCAACGGCTTAACGTGCCTTCCGAAGCACGGAGGAATTCGGGATAGAACCATCCAACGACCGACCACTGCGAAAGTTGCTTACCTTCAACGATTCTCCTACATTATTTACATGTTACTATCTAAATAAATAAAAAAAGAAACTGCCGGACTGACATATTTTATCAACGCACAGCCCAAACCGCAAGATCTAGAAACTCCAAATTTGAAAATTAGGTTCCTTATGAAGTCTAGAGGTTCAGTAAGAAAGGTTTCTCATTTTTTTTTAATTTGGTTAAAATAGGGGATGAAGTTTGAATAAAAATCTTATTCCTTGAGTTAATAGACTAAAAACTTGGCACAAATACTTATCTAAATAAATTATAAAGATTTATTTTTAGTTTTCAGAAAAGAGTACCCTCTAAAAAGGGGAATGAGCGTATCGAAGTTTTATAGGGATGAATTTTAACGCGCGGTTCGAAATAGTAAAGTCTAATATGATACATGGGCCATTCGGAAGTTTAAGCAAAAGCAAAAATTGCTCTAAGAGATATCTCAGGTCTCTACTTAGCACTGCTCTTAAAAGTAAATTTCGTGACTACTGTGATACTTTTTTCATATTAATGCACAAAGCATTCCACGACACTATGCTGACCTCCTTCACGCATTCTCTTCGGATATGGTTCATGCCGTGCTGGTGTCGGAAAGTTGGCTTTAGCCATATCCAAATTCTATTGCATACATCCTGCCAGGATATAATAAATCTTATTCGAAACGATCGTATTGGCAAAGGTGGCAGTGGAGTGGCCATATATTTTTTAAATATCTCATATCAATCAAATGTCTTACTTTTCAAACTTTTATGTTCATCCTCTTTTTGTCTCGACTCCATGGAATATCTTGTCCTTGAAGTCACTGTTTTGTCACCTTTGGGTTTACTTGGCCCCCTTCTATATTTATTCTTACTAACTTCGATTCACTTCTTAATTATGTTGCAACAGACTCCTCTCATCATATAACAATGGGTGATTTCAACACCGACCTCCTGAAAGACACTACCCACTTTCGCAAGTTTAGTTGTCTCATTGAGTCTGTATACTTTTCTATTTTACATCTTGACCCTACTCATCACAATCACACCACATCGGACTCATGGATTGATCATATCTTAGTTTCTTCACCTGAACGTGGCCACAACTCCCGCATCTGGGTGAGGCCGAAAATTTGCCACATTTCATGTCCTCCAAAGAAAGACTGTTATACTAAATACCAATAATTAAAACCCCGAATCACTATATCTCTAAAGGGCATTATTCCTAATATTTCGATCCCGAATGCACGCTATCCCTAATAACTTTAGACCTATAACACTGTATACCTAATATTTCGATCCCGAATGCACGCTATCCCTAATAACTTTAGACCTATAACACTGTATACCTAATATTTTGATCCCGAATGCACGCTATCCCTAATAACTTTAGAATTGGTATTATTTTTCTGGCGATTCGCCGGCCGCTGCCGCAGCACGCTCGCTTCGCTCGCTCGGCTCGCGCCTTATGGTCACAACACTATCCTAAACTAGTTTGAAGTCTCAAAGTTATTAGGGATAACGTGCATTCGGGCTACAAATATTAGGAATAATGCTCTTCAGAGATATAGTGATTCGGGGTTTCAATTATTGGTATTAAGTATAACAATGCTAAAGAAACCTTGTTTTTGTAGAAAGCTACTAAATATGGATTTCCTGGATTTTTTTTCCTGGTTATAAGTATGTCTAACTCTAAGGCCTTAATGAAGTAAACCCTCTGTTTACTATATATTTTGTTTATTTTTGGCTTTTTAGTGCAATAAATAAAAGCGTGTTTTTAATTTTTATAAACTATTAACTTATTTTACTCTTTTTAGTTTCAGTCATCAGGAAAAATGAATAAAATATGTTAAAACGAATCTGATGAGCCCAAACTCGATATGTTTACTAGTAGGCAGTCCAAGGTTCCATCAGCCACCTTCCAGTCCCATCATCAGACCAGCTCGATGGTACAATAATATTGTATTGTCATCTAATCTACATATAATTGCCAAGTTTCATGATGATACAAGAATTAAAAGTGCATGTAATTCAGATTCTTAGATTTTATTACATAGTTACATACAAGTCGACCTAATAAAAGCGTGTAAAAAAAAGCGATTCAAGAAAAAACCGGCTAAGTGCAAGTGCAAGTTCGACATACTTCACATATTGTAGATTCAGTATCAAAAGTAGAATTTTCAAAGAAAATCTGATCCATCAAAATATTTGTATATTAATTAATATCCCATTATTTCTTAAACCATAAGGTTTAAGAAATAATTATTTAACTTAACCTTTAACTTTCTGCTTTTTCATTTACCCGACTGTCAAAGAAAGGAGGATAATGTTTGTAAATGGATTGCTTTGTGTATTAATAGTATATAATAGTTATCACAATTTCAACAGTTTAGTATTACGACACTACTGAGTGACTTAAGATAATATCCAAGTACCCACACTAAATCGGGACGATAATAATCAAAGAATTCTTTATTTAGCAGCCCTAACTCAGATCCGTGCCTACATAGTGTCCCAACCACACAAACTTCCAATAGTCAGCTACTCCTATCAGCTTACAATATCCCTGATAAATTACTAGTAATTACGCGCCATTCCATAAGAGCTGATGATAATGAAGTGATAAACAGTATTGACTTTAACCCCACCAACGACCCCAGATACCGGATCTCAGAATTTTGTTATTTCGTGCAGTCGAGATCGGGCGAATGACTCCCGTCTCCCGCAACATGGTGTAATAATTTGTGTGCAAAAAAAAAACAAAATGGGAACGTTAGTGATATTTTTGTTGTGTTTGTGTTACTTTGGTGCAGTGTACGGATCAGGGAGTACGTCGTATTATTATGTTTTTAGTTTTTAAGTCCAATGGCTTCTACACAGGCAAATTTAGAACAGATTTAAATCGTCTACTAAACTATTCCTTTATTGAACTCTTATAGCATGTACCATAGGAGATGACATACGTATTGTTTACTCGCCGAACAATATTTTCTACCACTTTTTAGGGAGACAAATTAAACACGTACCTCCTTAACACACTACGGAAATATAAAAAAACTCGCTTTTAAAGATTGAAGTAAGTAATGTAATAATTTTCTTCTATGTAAATCCTATCATAGTCGAAAGGTCTGGTCTTATCTCATCTGTTACTCATTCAGCAAAGGCCGTCCTTGTCTCATGGGAAAACCTGGGGAATGAAAAGCAGCTCGTTTTAAACTAGTTCCATGGGACCATGCATAGATCTAGTTAGTCCCATGGAACTAGTTTAAAACGAGCTGCTTTTCATAAAACGTACTGGATCAAAGTGATTGCAACTGCAATCACTTTGATCCAGTACGTTTTTAATTCTGTCCGTTCGTATGAAGCCTGAACATAAACGTTTGACCAATTGGCGCTTGGATCTTTAACTTGTTTTCTTTTCCTAAGTAATTAGGTGACCATCCTTGAATAGTTTTCCCATAAAATTTAGATAGTATATTTCAATACCTACTTGTTATTATTTTATCCATCATCTACTTTTTATTTGATTGTAATATACAAATATTTAAATATCGACAACTCAGGTGTATGGTAAAAACACTAATGAAAAAAACCACCCATAATTTCAAGGTAGACGTATAGGCGGTATAGGTAAATACGCATTGTACGATCACGTTTTAATTGAATTATAAATTTATTGTAAATATTTATCGTCATTGAGCTCAAACAATTATATCAGGGTAGCAATAGCATAAAATGATTTTGACCCACTATTGTTATCTATTTAACAGCTGCCGGATCCAGCAATTTCGCATCTAGTTACTTATTGGTTAAATAGGAACAGTGAATATTTACATTAACCATCTTTGGTTTTTTTTTAAATTAGTCTTTTTAAATTATTATCGAACTTTTAGACATTGCGTATAATGCGATTCAAATAAGAATAGGAAACCTCTATCTGTCAAATGTCGCTTGAAAAGTACGGTTTGCAAAAAAAACTTGGAACCCTTTTTTAGCACTCTGCTAATTCAAGAATAAAAACCAAACATCAGTAAACAAACAATAACAAATATTGATAATTAATATCGGTTGATATATTTTTTTCACTTATTGAACTTTGGCCATGAATGGTTGATAACCTAAATCGTCAACCAAATGTTACTTTAAGTTGCGTTCAGAAACTCGATTTCAAACTTTCGTTTACATAAAGGATGCATGTTCGTATGTGACCTAGTAATAGTGCATGATTATTCATACTACTCCGGCGGTAATGCAGAGATGAGCGCAATAGAAGAGCTAGATTCTGATTAATATTGTTTCTCACAGTCTTAATAAATAAATATAATAAATCTGTGTTTTTTTTCTCAATATTAGTAAATAAATGTTATTAAAAAATCTCGTGCTTTTTCACACTTAATCATAGTAAATAAGTTTTATTATACAGGGTGAAATTGAATGTTTTAATGAAACTTCGTGGGAATGTTGGGTTACGTATATAGAGTATCTCTGAATTTTTTCGGATTTTTTAAAAAATGATTTAAAATAAAATTTTGGTTTTTTTTTGTTATATTTTAAGTCCTTTCCTCCTTTTGGGTACTAAATAATTATTCTTTTAAAACATGCATACAGAGTAAGTAAAAAACAAGTAATAAGCACTTCTAAAAAAGACGTAAAAACAGGAGACGGGCGGCCGGGAACAATGACCGCTCCCGCCGTTGAATACCTTCCTGCCTACTTAACTAGGTATGCGCGGTGCACAGCGCAGTGAGCGAGCGGAGTCTCAAGCGCGCGTGCGTATCTTTTAAATTTGTGACAAGACAAGATTTGCAAATAATGCCTTGATTAGTTTTTGTTCTGTGCCCTCAATATAAGAATTTGGATATGGTGTGTTGTTATTGCGAGTGTCACGGAATACTCAGCAGAGCCACAAGGCTTTACGAAAGTAGGTTTGGTGATTTATTGGGAAGTTATAGAGAAAAAAATTAATAGGTACATCGGTCTCGTAAGTACTTTTGAATACCTGGTAATAAATTTCATTCTGACCCAAGTATTGAACTGCAATAAGTATTTCTTTTTGTTTAACTTTTGCCTATTTCCAATCGTGACAAAATTATGATTAACTTTTTAAGTTTTTCTCTGCTTGAGAGAAGATGACATTTGTGCTTATTATTTCAATTTCAATAAAGGCATCTGAGACGATTTTATTGTATTGTGTGGAATCAAACGAGTCAGCTGAGCTCTGTGTACGTACCTACTCACTCAACGGCTGGCGGGCGCGGTCGGTCGTTGACCCGCGGTGGAATTTAATGTTTTTCCGTTTTTTAGAAGTGCTTATTTATTAGTTGTTTTTCACTGGATATGTAAGTTTGTTTGTTTAAAATGAATAACTACTCAAAAGGAGGAAAGGACATAAAAATACACAAATTATAAATAAATACATAAACAAAATTTACTTCAAAAAATTCCGAAAAAAAATCAGACATACTCTATACATATAACCCAACAATCTCACGAAGTTTCATAGAAACATTCAATTTCACCCTATATATAAACTTTTTTTGCTCACTCTACCTATTTGGTTTGAATTGACAGCTATTACATCATAATATGGCGCCCAGCCGAATCGCATTAGTTATAATGATAATGATAGTGGAAGTTATTCCACAATCGCAGATTATGAAACTTTTACATTCATGCAAAAACGCAAAAAAAATGAGGCATAAAAATTCCCGTATTTACCATCATAAATGTACTTATGGATTGTAATACACGACCAAATACTATAACTACTTTTAAGTATAATGCAATATATTAATTGCATTAAATCAGCTTCCGAAGAACTTTAAACACAGTAGTTATGAAATAGTCATCTTCTAGAAGAACAGTTTTCGTAAACAAACGAGAATTCTACATGAGAAGGGTAGTAAATGTCACACGTAGCGTAGTTAAATCATATGGATCAAATAATATAAAAGCAACCAAGTGCGAATCGGACTCGCCCATGAAGGGTTCCGTAGCAGCAAGTAGGTAACATAATTTAAAACCTGCTCCCCGCGCGCTCTGCACCCTCTACCGATCAAGCCACGCCCCGCGCGAATTATAATTATTATTTACTTAGGCACCTATTACAGATTCATTATTAGAAAATAATGGTTCACGTAACGTTTATGTTTATGAAATTAAATGATTTTTTTTTCAGTTCTAAGTATGGGGAACCCCTAAAAATTTATTGTTTTTTTCTATTTTTGTGTGAAAATCTTAATGCGGTTCACAGAATACATTTACTTACCAAGTTTCAACAGTATAGTTCTTACAGTTTTGGAAAAAGGTGGCTGTGACATACGGACGGGCAGACGGGCGGATATGACGAATCTTTATAGATTCGTCATGTGAACCCTTATAGGTTCCGTTTTTTGCCATTTGGCTGCGGAACCCTAAAAATGGTGTGATTTCATGATGATTGATTTCATGGGTGAAATCATTTTACGAGTATGTATTCTGTTTCTTTTTATTCTTATTATTTTTGTTGCTATGGTCAGTTGTCAAAAGAACCATAGGTGTCAATTGAAAACCAGCGTCAGGTCCTAGAAACCTGACAACGTGCTGAATTGACAACCTGTTTTGACGCAGCCGCGAGACAGCAACAGATTAATTTACCGGTGGTAACGTTTGGATAACGTACGTTATATGGTGTTTGTTAATTGAATTAAATTAAAATGTGTGTTTTACTTTTTTGCTCTGTGTTGTTTTTCTATTGTTGGCGATGTTTTTGAAGTAAAAACTTCTTTAGCAGCGTTGTACACTGTTTTAGTAAGGCGTAAGGCGAAAACAATAAAATTGGAAAGGTGGTTGACTTTCAATATATTGGACGAAACATAGTTATATTTTATTTTATCGTATTATAATATCTAGGACGTCCAATTGACAGCTTTATTGCGAAGACAATGCATGCGTCGTAGGTATATACCAGTGGGCCACGGAGATCGTCATAAACGCTTCTAATAAAATAAGTAATAAAAGCTTCTAATAATGTATGTGTAGTACGTATATTTCTACAAAGGCGATTCGTTGTATGAATAATGTTTTCAACAAAAAGATATCATCTCAAGTTTGACTGCAGCTGCACTCGTTATCGCTAACTAAACGAACACAAGGCCTGCACGCTGAACTTTAATGAATATTATTATTACGCTATGAATGAAACCTATATTAATTAGCATGAGAGGCCGCAGCGGTAGGGCATAGAGGATTTGCACTCGAATTGGAGCGGCGGTTGGGGAAGTAACCTCCACCGTATGCCCGCTCTAGACGTTGGCCAACATTGTGGCGAATGGTAATGGCCAATACCTATAGCCATCGTGTGGAGCAAGGGTTTGTGTTTATCTTGGTATGTATTGGAATGATGGCCCACAAGTTGACGCAAGATCCATATGGTTTCGGTTTTTATCAAAAGATCAAAGGGCTGTGGCGGAGTTAAAGCCGTCGTGTCCACACGTTGGCCGCGCTTTAGTTTGCTGAGAGCTCTCAGAGTGATCGTAGGCACGCACCTGATTCAATATTTTATATTCATGCGTCGTAACTATATATAGCGTCTAGTAGTATATTAACTATAATAGGAATATGCTGTGAATAAATAAATCGTAAAAGCCGTTAGCGTCTATATATGCAATTTAAAAATTAAAAAAAATGAAATCGTAAATTAAATTTTGGATGAAATTTAACTAAAACTAAATAAAATTTCCAATACAAGAAATTTTATAAAATACAATATTTTCCTAACGGAAGTATACATATTAGCTATCCTAATTAATAGTAACTGTAACTGTTGATCTAAACAGGTCATTAAATAAGCGGTCGATATTTAGTTGTTTTCTAAAATGTAGTTTTTATCCCAAAATTGCACACAGAACCAGCTTGTTACAGTTTTCCCCATTAGTTAACCAAGCATGGACTGATGCATTGTTTTGTTTCTGTTACTCATTTTTGACATATCATAAACCGAACGAATTACAAAAAACAATATATTAATTTAATTTGAGTTATGCAAATATTAATACTGTGTACCTACGCAGTATTTCGTAGTATTCCAATCTTCATCGTTAACATCATTTACCTGGATGTACTCACTGCTAGGGCACAATGTTAGAGCATTTACGATTACAGTATATATATGCTTTAATGGTGTGCCACGTACAAGGCCTATGGAATGTGTTCCATGAACCAAGTTAAACCATGCTAAGGGCGCTTGATAACGAGATGGTTTCCACCCGGTTTCTACCAGAACCAGTGTCGGCTAAGCTTGTTCACGAGTGCGGTTTGTACCGACCCCATACCGTCGCTTACGTCCCTAGCGCTGGTGTCGTTATCAAACCTTTCTCAACTGACGACAGGATTTAGACACGGCTTAACCAAACGTCTGAAGTAGCTGAGGTTAACATTTAAATCGCCTAGTCTATGACTGGCAATTGTGAAAGTTACTTAAGGTTACATTCTTGCGTAAGGACTAAAGACAATATGAACGCAACTCAGCTGGTTGACAACGAGGTGATTTGCGATGTGGATAAAGGCCTACTACAAACATTAAAACTGGCCAAGCGCGAGTCGGGCCTTCTTTATTAGGGTTCCGTGTAATAAACTAATCTAGTTAATGAAGCTTCCTAATATCAGTGACTTATAATCAACTAGTGGCCCGCCCTCGCTTCGCTTCGGTGTACAGACTATTTGTACAAAGTTTTCGTTCTCCTCAAATTAACCTTTTTACTCAAATTAACACGGGTGAAACCGCAGGGACCTCTAGTTGTGACATAACTGTAATAGTTAGACTTATGGTATAGCGGACTTTTTTGTAGATATTGATGTCTTCTATATAACTTCAGTACATCACTTTGCTCTATTGTCAATGACTTCCATAGCGTACGCGATAAAAGGTAATTTTTTGCTATGAAATTAACAGTATAATGATCTAATAAGCTTTTTTGTTTATATAATTTTTAAATCATCGAAATCGGTTCACCGGGTCCGAAACGAATGTCGTCACAGAGCTGATCGTGGTTCACTCCGGTCAAACTTTAGTAGCCTCTCTACACACCCTCGCGCCCAAACACTAGAATTTGTTTAGTAATTTGGTCATAACTTCGTCAATGTTTGTCGTAGAACAAAATTTAACCACTGTATTTTATGGATTCCTATATAAATCTACATTTTCAACTAAAATCTTAACGAATCCTCATTGCAGCCAGCCAGTAACTACATACTCGAACTGAACTTCTTACGATCTCAGCAGTGTGTGGTGGACATCGTTGAGGAGTCTGATGACCAAGAAATATTTCTAAAAGGAAATCTACCACCTACAACGTCAGATTGGTTATCCTAACAGCAAAGTCAGAGTCACTGGTAGAAGTGAATTTTCCTGAAAGGGCTTCACCAAATCGATGTGTACTGGTAGAAGATACGGGGAGTCACCTTAGTTGGATCACGGCATGAACCCTAGTCATGACCAAAAGAGGGGAAAGGATCAATCGTATTATTATACTTATTATTATTATGAATGTTCTAGAGAACCACCTTCATATCATGAATCACATGAATCCATTACTGGAAAAAAATAAGTCAAACTTGCAACCGAATTTATATACCTAGTGAAGCTAAGTAATTGTTAATGGACAACAAGAACATCTTTTTAAATGGAGCAAATTTCCATTAGATGTTGGAGCCTTGTTAGATATTCTATCGACACCGGTGATACACATCCTATCAAGCGAATACCTAGACGAGTGTGTCTGGCAAAAGAAAGGGAAGGAAACAACATGTTTGAGAAGATGCCATATGATAAGATACATAGGGAAGGATCCTATAGAGAGGGAACGCTTTTACTGGATGTGCTGTCGAAGAGACGTCTAGGACTGGTAAAGGGCCCAAGTATTATGCCGAGTCTGCATTCCGTTGAAATTACTTATCGACCAAGGTAGAATATTGTGTCAAAATTAGTCCAGGAGATGTGCAATTTACTTGGATTATTAAAGACGCGCACGACTACGACACATCCAAAATCTGACGGCATGGTAGAGAGATTCAACCAGACGCTGGAAAATCATTTGGTTAAGGCCGCAGAATAACATCAATGAGATGGATCTGGGATCATTACATTCAGCTCTTTTTGATAGAGTACCAGTCCGGCAACGCATGACACCACCCCAGAGTCTCCAAAGCTCCAGTCCCGGAGGAAAGAAGTCTACAGCATGATCACGAAAATCGACTATGTGACCTATCGACAGGGTGATAAAATAAAACTCAAGATAATCCACATAGATCGCCCGTACGACAGCAGCAACAGTACCTACTCGGGACGAACATATCTAAGATATCTAGCTCTCTATATCTCACTGTCCCCCAGTGTCATGAACGCTCTGAAACCAAAAGCACGAACGTACTGGAAACAGATTTACTTAGAACGCCGCGTACATCGCTTTAGGTACTCGCGACCCGAATGACCTCGATGAAGACTGAGTGGTGCGATCCATTCGGATATGAGCTTTAGCAGTGCTGCGTAAGGATGAAAATACTACTGCTAACTGCTTTACAACCTAATGTCTGCTACCTACGTGTACTTTTACGTAGCCGGTGCTAGGGAACTCTCAATTGAACTGGACCTTTCAGAAATGCGTTGATTGGCATTTATCAGGACGCTCGGCTCGCCGTAGTGACAGACTTACTTTCAAAGCGATAACAGTTGAATTTCAACAGCGATTTAGAAACGTTTACAAATGCGACTATAGTGCAAGTAAAGTGTTCGTGTGCAATTGTATAGTCACTATATCACTATATTATATTGTGTAGTCAGTATTGTGGTTAATATTGAGTGTTTATTGTGTGAACCGTGTGGTGATGTGGTGCATAAAAAATTGTCAAGCATGAACTAGCATTATAATTTTGAACCTCATCCCGACACGTAACAATAGTAATTAAATACCTGGGATATTAGTTTATACTATCATTATCTAGGTAGTACTTAACTCAACTATCTACAGCTATTAATTTAAGTAAAATAGGTATTAGATAAGAAAATAAAGGCTGTATTATATTTTACCTTTGACTTCATAACTTTGTCTTTAAGAAAAAAACTGTCAATGTCAAAGTCAGCTGCTTCCGCTTCAATGCCGGTCAGTTTGTTTACATTTTTACATTATAATCAAAATACTGTTATCGGTTTTGTTTAATGTGTTTTCTTACAAAGAAATGTTCATAATAAAATGACACTTATTTCTCCATACTTTTTGTTACAGATTCTTTGAAAGATCCATACATCTGCGGACTGCCTTCCTGTGCACGTTAGTAATTCTTATTGAAGATATTTTTTTTGTAATAAAAGGATGATTATGTCCTTTTACTAGTAATTACTAAGTATTTTATCTATCCACCTATAAACTATAAAATATATGCCGTCAACTATTTGCATATATTTTATTCATAAAATGATTATAAATTAAATCTGAAGTCTCATTAAAATAATTTTACTATTGCAGCGTCAGAAAAGTTCAAGTACTTATCAGATATAACTTATCACTATGAATACAAAGTAAACGTCGAAACCTACTTTGCGGGCTCTAGCAACAACCGCTCTACATTATATGTAAAGGCACAAGTAAGTATTAGATATTATTTTGTAAATAGTCCTAGATATTTAAGTCTTCATATTTAATCTAGCTTTGTCACTAACTAAGAACTTTATACCAAGTATACAGTTCAGGGAGTGTCCTTTATTGTCTGTGACAATATGGGAATTCATTCTATTGCTCATTAATAAGGTGCAAAAGGTGTATCGGCATATGTCACTTAATCAAAGGCTACCTGTGGTGTAGGAATAACCTCTCATACTGTACCTTTATCGCAACATCACTGAATATCCTTTGTAGGCTGAGTGTTCAAGCTAACATTCAATAGCCAAATCTGGTATTAATTGGATCTAAGTTTTGTCTTGTTTTATTATTGCCTTCGAGCTTTGCAGATGAGTGGACGGGCCACCTGATTTTAAATGGTGGTTTTGTTAAACTAAAAGAAGGCCTGAACTGATGATACTAGGAGAAAAATTTAACGAAACATACTATAGTACTTCTTTTTTTGTTATTATGATTATTATCAAGACAGATTTTGATTCATATCTAAGAAGCTATAAGATTTCCTAGTCTTTATTATATTTTTAAAACCTATCAGTTGATCTTCTTCATACAGTTCTGTTTATATTCCAGGTTACTGTACAATTCATAACAGCATGTGAAGGTTTCCTTAAACTGAGCGATGTGACCCTTATTGATCAAGATGAGAACTATCCAGTGGAGAGAGCAGAGAAGTTCATTCATGCTGTATCACTCTATGATCTCAGGTATCTATTGTATTTGTGATAGTCAAACATTTTATTCTCATATTTATTATACTACTGTAGACCCTTTCAGAGGAGAGAGGCACCTGTCTAGGGAAGTAACTTCTACCTTACATAAGTCCACAGTAAGATAACATTACCTTTTGGAAGTACATATTATGTTTCTGTTGCTGAGTATGGTTCCTGGGCTCCATGGGGTAGGAGATGGGGTCAGGGTAGGCAACGGCACGAGTAGATGGCTTTGATACCGCAAGCGTTTATAGGCTATGGTGGCAGCTTGCCATCATGCGGGCCATATGCTTGTTAGCCACTCTTTTAACATAATAAAGGACCTTGTACGGTACAGGTCTTTGCATGGATATAATTTAAATTTTTTTTAACTAATGATATTCTTATTCTGTTATATTTTCATCCCTTTTATATTGTTTTAATATATAATACTCATTTATTAATTTGGATATTTAAATTATGTAGAGTAAGCCACACATTAAATTACCACAAAGTCGCAAGTTCTCTCAATCAATTGTAAATCTTATATAAATTTGAATAAAATTTAAAGTCTGTTCGAGAAATTTGACAGTCTTGGATAACCTGACCTGTAGCTGCTTGTAAATTGAACTATAGTAAAAAAGTCTTTAAAGAATCTATTTTTACATTATTATTACTAAACTAAAACCCAATGGGTAAATTTAATATTTTTTTCAGATTTGCATTCCATGATGGCATCATCTCAGAAATTTGTCCAGAAGAGGCAGAACAAGACTGGGTGCTCAACTTCAAGAGGGGTATACTGTCGCTATTCCAAAATACCATGAAACGATTCGACACCAACTTTAAGGGAGTGGAGGTGAGAATTTCTTTAAAATATGTCTTTTTAAATATAATTTATCTTTTTACTTAATTGACTTATACTAGTAAGTTAAAATACACCTTAACTGACTCCAACACGGCTTCCCTATCAAGGCAGCCTTCATTAAACAAAATAGATTACGTTCGCCGTTCGCCTCGCCCGAACACACTTTTCGTAACGCGTAACGCATTCGCCAGCTAATAACCCCCAAATAAGCGTGCGTAAAGAAGTTTCACTTAAATAATTATCGTCCGTAAACCGACTTCAGACAGCCAATTTTTCTTTTCAGAGAGACATCCATGGCACTTGCGACGTAGATTACCATATCCGTGGCCAGGAGAACACCAGCCTGATTCTGGTTAAGACCCGTGACTTGATGCTGTGCAAGAACAGATACAAGTATATGTCTATATTGCAGACTGTGCGATACGATTTCCAGAGCGTAAGTAGACTATTCCGGGGATTAGCTAATGAACTCGAGAATTTATTTTGTAATATATTTTCCTTTAAAATTATAGTGCAAGCAGTTTGACGCTTTAAATACAAACAAAAATTGATAACTTGACTTTTATGAAAGGATGAAGTTTTCCAACTTAGCGCTTGAGTCCTAAAACATGAAAATTATATACTATTTGTGCCCCGCGATGTTACCCGCGGTTTATTAGGGATATTTTCCCGCAGTAAAACGTAGGCTATGTGTTAATCCAGGGTGTCAGCTAACTCCATACCAAATTTTATTCAAATCTCTCCAGCCGTTTAGACGTGGAGAAGTAACAAACATATACACACTCACAAACTTTCGCCTTTATAATATTAGTGTGATAATAAACGAATTCTTCTCCACTATGAATAACCGTTCACGAGCAAGACGTGTGTGACAGCATAGTTTAAAGAACGTAACTTTAAAGTTCTATTGAATATTTATATATTGAAGTTTTAGAAATATATTATATGTTATATTATGTTAATTATATATATTATGTTTTAACGATTGGTCAATCTGTCGTAATCTGTAAAAAAAGAAGTAGGTGCCACTTAGATTATTATTATTTATTTAGGCCTTTATTGCTAGATTTATGTATAACAAGATAAGTAAAGGCAATGAATCCATAATCATTTTCCATATATTTTCGTACAGAAATTCCAAACATGGCCAGTCCTGAAATCTGAAAGTAAATGCCGCGTATCTGTCGACCATCACATCTACAAATCTGTCAATTGCCGAGAAAGACATTTGTTCGAACCTTTCTCGGGAAAGAATTCTGGTGCAATGACTACGGTCGTACAAGACCTAGTTCTAACCAAAGAGATCAACAAAACCGACACCGAATTCATGGAGACTGAACCTAAAGGTAAGTGGTTAAGGTCCAAAATAAGACGAAGAAAACTTATGTAACATAATAAGGCTAGGCTGGAAAATTATTCTGGAGGAATGACTAGGGTCGTACAAGACCTAGTTCTAACCAAGGAGATCAAAAAATCCGACACCGAATTCATAGAGACTGATCCTAAAGGTAAGTGGTTAAGGTCGAAAATAAGATGAAGAAAACTGATGTAGCATAATAAGGCCAACAATAAGCATAATAAGGTAGTAGAAGTTAATAAAATATCGTCGTTAACCCCCTCATGATACGGTTCATTTTCCTCAGGTTGGGTGATCATACAGAAGCGATCGAATCTCTTCCACTCGCACACACCGTACGTTAAGGACGAAGCGGGAGACCTAAAGGCGGCCAGAGATGTACTCAAATTGCTGTGTTTGTAAGTAACTATCACTTATGTTGTAGGAATATTTGATTTACCAATATTAGTTTTACTAAATCAATATAGATTTTTGTTTGATTTTTTTTAATTTAATTGTGGTTTCAATAATTTTACTCTATTAATAAGCTTACGAATTTAACCAATTTGCTGATTAAACTTCTTATTTGTAGCAAAATTAACTCATATTTATTATCCTGTTTTTATTACTACAGTATAGTAAGCTATTTAATCATTATCTTTTGTGGAAAATAATAAAACTGTTATTATTATTACTTTATTTATAACAACATGAGTTACCTCAATATCTCATCAGCGGTGAATGCGTATGCAAGCAGTTGTCATATTAATATATATCTTTTATTTTGACTCTTCAAAATAAAATGCAAAAAATTAATAAGAAAGGTAAAAAAACATAAAAAACTTTTGAAAAATATATTAGTGTTTTAATTTCTGTTAAAAACTTTTCATGCCAATTTTTACCCCATTCATGATTGATGTTTCGACCAACATAGCGTTGTTTATTTTTGAGGATGGCTAAAAGCATCCTTCTAGCTACTTTCGATTTTTATCGCCTTTAAAAAAAAGAGATCTCAATTCGTCAGTCAGTCATAAATATATTTTTGTGTTGAATCTTCGAGAAAATCCTTTTTTTTTGCTTTAGAGTGAAGAAATCAGAAAATGGCGAGCAATCCAGTGTAGACGAGAATATGGACAGCAGTTCCATAGTAGGTTTGTGGGGAAGACTGGTGCGGTCCTCTCGGCCTTTACCTTACACCGCGCTCTCTCAACTTCTGTCTAGGGCGCCTCTCATGTGTGACGCTGCTACGTGAGTAATCCTTAAACACATACAGAGCGTCCCACGGGTTTGTCACACGAAGGGAAAGTATATGAAATATTGAAGATAAGATATTTTACTGCAAAAAGACATCCTTTTCATTCCTCATATCAAGCAATCAAAAAATTTGTTTGTGATACACAAGTTAAAAAAAAGTTACATGTGTGTTAAATTGTGCAGCCGTGATCAGCCCCATACAAATATAATTTGTGCAGAACAATTCAACATAATGTCCATTTGTCCATTATGTATAAAGCATGATAAGGACAGACGGTTGTCAAGTTTGCATATACCAAATACGAATAGCCAAGTTAAATGTCGGCATTTCACAATGTCATCAAATGTTCATTTACTTTTTCGTCTTTTAGGAAACATATGCTTGACGCTCTACCGTACATAGCCAGCTCCGGGTCCGTGGAGCTGATCAAAGACATGATAGTGAGGAGAGCCGTAGACAACGAAACCAGGCATGAGTGGCTCATGTCTATGGCTATGATACCCAGGTAAGTCATATTAAGAGAGTTCTAATTTTTTCAGGACTTCACTCCTGCGATGGCCACGGCCCTTCGGAACTCGCCTAGATATTCTTGACAAAATAAATAATATTTCATCTGCTACAGTACTTATTAAACAAATCTGTCATGAATTATTAGTAATCTATTTAGTAACTTACCTATGTATTGAAGGTAGAAATAGTAATTGTTTATATTACTTTTCAAGTTTAGAAATTTGTAATACATTTACGTCATTTAAACTTTTTCCATAAAACTTCAAATTAATAGCACATCCTTTATTTAATGATTCGTAAACAAGATCTATTTTATTGATAAAAATATTATGCCAACTTGAATCACATTAAACATAAATTTACTGTCAATAACTAAGTATACTTCAACATTAAATATAGAATAAAGTAATCCTTCGGATTGTATTAAAATAAAAACTTAACAATACATCAGATTCAAAATGTAGTGCTACAAAGACACAATTGAAGCGGTCAGCGCAAAAGTGGTCTAACCCTCAATTATTCATATTCTGATTAATCGGGTTTGGCCACTTATGAAGTTTACGTTGAGAGAAAAAAATCTATAATATAATAGATAGCGTTGCAAAAATAACTTTTGCAACGCCATCTATTGACGCCTGAATTGAATGCCGATTTTGAATTAAATTTTAACACATTTTTATTTAATTGTAGAAGATGAATCAGAATATGAATAATTGACGGTTAGGCAACTTTTGCGCTGACAACCTCAATTATACAACTACTAAAATAAATCCTTTCAGACCGCGACAAGACATGCTTAAAAGCATGCTGCAACTATTAGAGACGGAAAAAAACGACAAAGTTGTCAGTTTCACGGTGTCCTCTATGGTGCATTCGTACTGTAGGAACAGTGGGAAAACACGTAAGTATTCATCTTCATCATTAGCCTATTATTTCCACCACTGCTGGGGCACAGGCCTTCCCTATTGATAGAGTGGGGAGATTAGGCAATCGACTCTCTACGCGGGCCCATTGCGGATTGGTTGGTGCCAACAACTGCAGATGTAGTCGGGATCAACGGCTTATGTGCCTTTCAAAGCGCGTTGAGCTGGAGATAATAAAAATTATTATCTCCCATTCTATGACCCTCATCATCAGCCTATTAATGTCCTCACTGCTGGGGCATAGGCCTTCCCTATGGATGGATTAGGGAGATTGGGCAGGCACACCACGCGGGCCCAGTGGGGACTGGTGGGAAATGACAGTAGATGCAGCCGGGACTAACGGCTTATGTGCCTTCCGAAAGGCGAAAGAGCTCGTAATAATAAATTATAGGTCACCCATTCAATGCCTGTCAAAAGTTTCTTTACTTCCACGATCGCAGGCCGAACGCGCTAACTACCTGTGGCATCGAACTCTCATATCCCATTTACAAACAAGCATTTCCCACATTTATGCATAAATATTTTTACCATACCATTGACGCTATTACCAGCTGAAAATAATAAACAATACATTTGCTTAAAAATGCATTAACGGAGGTTGTATACATCGTTCCAAAATTCAAATTTTACGGCCATACAGACGGACCGTGCAATAATATCCATTACGCATGCTCCCATACATGGCACCGTGCGTATTCTTCATGTTTTTTTTTATTTAGATCGAACCTCTTTGGAAGCGCTTTAATCTATACCATTGTCACACTTTAGTACGTGATGTAGTTCTAATTTTCACCACCCGCACGTGGCGCTCTTTGGAAATGCGCGCCATTTCCTTATTAGAAAAAAATTAATGCATTACTTGTATTATGTATAATGTTTTCTCGCAAATGTGTTGAAAAACGATGTATGACATTCGTGCGGATTGCTATTACAAACTCGAGACTATGGTAAGCCCTCGACTAATTATCTGAGTGTTAAAATTACGGGATATACAACGGAGCGTGTGGTAAAACTTTTTCCGCGCCTATATTATGGCGCCGTGCATATCTTTTTTTTTTTTTATTTCGGTCGAACCTCCTTGGAATCCTGCCTTTTAATCTATAATCACCCGCACGTCGCGCCATTTTCTTTTTGAAGACAGTTTGCTTCATTACATGAATGAAGTACTGTTTTCTGCCAAATGTATGAAAAATGTCGTATAACATTTTTGCGGATTGGTATTTACAAAAGCTTGACGTGACTATGGCAAGCCCGAGACGAAGTCTACACGTTTGTAATAACCAACTTGCCGCACTAATATCATAAATAACTATAAGTAACTCAATAAAATGTTTTGCAGTGCGTGAATGCTGCGAAGAAGAAGTACCAAAGAAAATTCTAGAACATTTCCAAGGTATCGTAAGGCTCACCGTCGAGAAAGGATTATCAGTCACTCAAAGAGAGGACTATGACAACGTGAGTAATATAAACAAGAATTATAGAAGATATTCCATACCATTATCCATACAACATTATATACAATTATGATATTGATCTAAAGACCCCAAAAAAATCACGCTGTTGTATGGGAGTTTGTTTGGGAATTTTGTTGTTATAGCGGCAACAGAAATACATTATCTGTAAAAAAAAATACTGTCTAACTATCACGGCTCATGGGGTACAGCCTGGTGACAGAAAGACAGACAGACAAACAGTGGAGTCTTAGTTATAGGGTCCCGTTTTTACCCTTTGAATATGACTGTGAGAATTATAACTTATTGATTTGAATACAAAAAACTGTCACAGCTATTTTTAAACACATTTTGCTCATAGAGGAATGTGAGTTTTTGCATAGTAATTTTTATATATGCAGTGCAGAAAGCGTATATTTTTGTATAATAATGCATTGAAACAGTATAAAACACCATTAATAAGAGGCACATTACAAGCCTTACGTTTGAAATACGCACAATGACTCCATAACCGAAAATCATGACGCAATAATAAGAGTAGTGAGACATTAGAGAATTCATTGATGGAAGAACTAAAAAAACTTATTTTGGCTTAAACATGGCTGCTACTTTATATTAAACGAAATTTTCAGCTGGTAATAGGCATCAAAGCTCTAGGCAACATAGGCGGATTCACGCAGGACTTCTCGAACGTCCTAATGGAGGTTATAGGGGATGCTCTTGCACCGGTACCGTTACGACTCACAGCTATTGACGCGTTTAGGAGGACACCCTGTATAGAGACACGGTGAGTTAATTTGCATAACACATTATGTAATCCCAAAACGTTGATTTTATTTATGGTATTTGTTGTTCCAGTGTTATTTATATAATAGTGTTTACACATGAAATTGCTTGATTTCTTGTTCTTGTTGTAAATAACATGATATTTGATGAAAATGAATCCCAAACTGTTTGTTCTAATTCAACATAATTTGTTCTAATTTTTTTATAGATATAAATACATATATACATATTAATAATTTTATTTCTCTTTATTCATTCGTTTAGTGAATATTTCCTGGAAATGTATCGAGAAGATGCCGTCAACATAGAAGTGCGGATAGCGTCATACCTTCAGGTGATGAAGTGTCCCACGCTCGGCACCATGAGGAAGATATTCCATTCGCTGAGAAACGAACCTGTGAACCAAGGTAAAATCTATGAAAAGTATTGTAGGTATTAACCTTTGTATGCTAGAAACTTAACATTCAGCAGTCGGAAGTATTCAAAAGCCTTATATATATATATGTTTATATATTATTATGCAATAATGAATCTTCGGAGTTTTATAATAATTTTATTATTTATAAAGTTGGGATATGATGTGGCTGGCAATTCCTGTATATTAGGTTCAAGCCTCAAAATAAATAAAATTGTAATAAATAAGTAGTAAACATACTGTTTTCAAAACAATTTAGATGATAAAACAATGGACTTTACAAAAGATTTGTATGATGTTGATGAAATATAATAGTTAGCTAACTTCCTTCCTTTTAACTTTAACTAAATTAAACATTATTTATTTTCTGATTAATAAATTATGTTTAATTTAGTTACACTAAATTCTAACTTCAACTTTACTCTTTGTTAATAATGGTGACATTTAAAAATTAATAACTATTCGGATAAACAACGATAAAAAAGGAGTATGCTTATGACCACACGACTAAAGTGAAACCTCTTTAGCTCCATTTGTATGTATATATATGTGTGTGTGTACAATATATACATGTATGTAAATATACATATTTCATTTACTAGCTATAAGAGAAAGAGAGAAAGAAAATGTGCGCACGCACTGATTTCTCTTGCTTATATCCCCCACTCCACTCCCGTTCGCCTCGCCTGAACACACTTTTCGTAACGCGTAACGCATTCGCCAGCTTACCCCACAAGTCAAGCGTGCGTAAAGAAGTTTCACTACAAAAATACACGCTAATATAAGCTTTATATCTGACGTACCCGTAGCGACATTCGTCTGGAGGCACCTATTCAACCAACAACGGTTGTCTTTCCCGTCCCTCGTGAAGAATCAGAGTTTTGCCATTACAGTGGTGACATTTGTATATAAACTTTATCAAACATGCAAGCTACTATAGGCTTTATATCTCACGCAACAGTGGCGACATTCGTCTGGAGTCACCTGAACAACCAGCAACAGTCTTCTCTCCCCTCCCGAGTGGAGATCCAGGGACTTCTATCGGGACACACGATGCCTCAACTCGAAGATAGCCCTGACTTCAGAATGTTCTCGAGGAATTACGAGCAAAGTGTCTTCTTCGACCAATATAATGCAGGTAGGAAATACTTCCATACTAATATTATAAATGTGAAAATGTATCTATACAGGGCGTCCCACGAGTTGATTCCCAGTTGTAGCAGGCGATTTTTAAAACTCTATGAATGCAGTTCTTTTTATTATAAAAAATAAAATATCCTGTCTTCCAATTTTAATATACTTTCCCTCCTAGTGATAAATCCGTGGGACGCTCTGTATATTAAGTACCCTTTCACGCTTAAACCGCTGAACTTATTTAGAGAAATTTGGTATAGAGATTGTTTATGTTTGAGTTTCAGGAAAGCACATGCGGTAGCTTTTATCCTAGATGTTCATCCTTTCATCATCATCATCCTATTAATGGGCCCACTGCTGGGGCACAGGCCTTCCCTATGGATGGAATAGGGAGATTGGGCCATGACTCACCACGCGGGCTCTGTGTGGATTGGCGGGTGCTAACGACTGCAGATGCAGCCGGGGCCAACGGCTTAACGTCCTTCCGAAGCAAGGAAGAGCTCAAGATAATAAGTTTTTGGTCACAAATCCAATGACCGACCATTGCGAAAGTTGCTTCACTTTCACGATCGCAGGCCGAATGCGCTAACCACTTGCGCCATCGAGCTTCTCGATTCTTTTTATCCTTTAATGGAGTGAAAAAGGGGTGGAAGTTTGTATAGGTAAACAAAACTTCGTACGCAGATAAAGTCACGGGCACCCAAAATTTCTTTTATGGTCTTCTAGCCAATAATGTCCCCATTGCTAGGACACAGCCCTTTCCTATGGATTGAATAAGGACATTTGGCCGTAACCACGTGGGTCCAGTGTGGATTGATGGGTGCTAACAACTGCAGATGCAGCCCGAACTAATGGCTTAACGTGCCTTCCGAAGCATGGAGGAGCGAGAAACAATAATTATTTGCCACCCATCCTTTGACCGGCCATTGCGAAAGTTGATAAACTTCCACGATCATAGTCTGAACGCCCTAACCAGTACAGCACTGAGGTCCTCTATACATGATGACCTGTGTCTAGTTAAAGTTAGAAACAGAATGTATCGCGTTATACGAGTTATTCTAACTTTAAACTTAACTTACAACTCTACACGACTATGGCGCTAAGCCACCTATCGGATTTTTTCCAAATTTCTGTGCAAATTTAATTATTTTAACTTTATTGCCACAATTGTAAAAAAAGACAAAAGCGGACTTAACGCTTATAGCATTATCTGTCAGTCAACCTTAAGGAAACGGAAATACACGACAGCGGCTTTAGTAAATAAAGTAATTAATCAATATTGACATACCATAACAAAAATTACTTGTCTAAATATTTATTTATAATATCAAATTTCTTTTTCTTTCGCAAGAAACTTCTACAATATTGATACTTCGGTGAGCAGGGGACGAGTGAAACGCAAGACGGCTGTTAGCACACTGCTTTATTGGGATTGCGTCTCGGTACCTATACTAAACACAATTCTCAAATTATGAGGTGGTCAAGGCATAAAGGGATTCATTAAGAAAATCTTATGCTCCCTTATATACCTGTACTAGTTGTGCCCCGCGGTGTTACCCGCGGTTTATTAGAGATATTTTCCCACAGTAAAACGTAGCCTATGTTTTAATCCAGCGTGTCAGCTAACTCCATACCAAAATGTGTTAAAATCGTTCCAGCCATTTAGACGTGAAGAAATAACAAACATACACACTCACAAACTTTCGCCTTTATAATATTAGTGTGATTCAATTGAAGTAAATATTTTAGGTGGCAACTACGAAGCCAATGTGGTGTTCGCTCCCGACTCGTACATCCCAAGATCGGCCACACTCAATCTAACCATTGATATGTTTGGAGAATCTATAAACATATTGGAGGTAAACTATTGGTAACTTGTTTTAAACTTTCATGGTCACTAACATTATAGTAATACAAGTTATTTACGGGATTGTTACCATGTACCTTGTTACGTCCGCCATTATCACGGAGTAACTTAAACAACAGTGCCGAAATATCGGAAATTCGCTAAAAACAAGGTACATGGTAACAATCCCGTAAATAACTTATATTACTATAATGTTACTCTTCCACACTGCCAGCGGGAAGTGATTAGCTATTTTACCTTTATTTATTTTTATTTTAGTAATTGTTTATTTTTTATTTGGTTATTTATTTATTTTAAATAAGATATATATTTAATATATTTTGATGCAGACTAATAGTGATATTGATACTGACGATTCAGTGGAAAACAGTTCAGAGTATTTTTCCACATCCTCATCTGACTGCAGTTTCCACAGTTTAACTCAACCTTTAGACTTGCAGCTTGAGTCCACATTTTCAACTTTGCCGAAAAACTTTAATGTGGTGCATATTAATGCTCAGAGTATCCCTGCACACTATGCGGACTTGGTATCCACCTTTTCTAACAATCGAAATATTCACGCTATCCTGGTATCAGAAACGTTCCTGAAACCCTGTCTACCTTCCATATCCTACTCTCTTCCAGGGTTCCATCTGATCCGCAATGACAGGACTGGCAAGGGTGGCGGTGGTGTTGCAATATATCTTAGAAATAACTTTTCATTCAATATTCTCGACAATTCTCCTTCTCAGTACTCCGAATCTTCTGAACATCTTTTTATTGAGGTTATCCTAGGTCATCTCAAGGTTCTTTTAGGGGTTTTCTATAGCCCCAACCTCCACATCGATTACTTTTCGAAATTTGAAACTTTACTCGAGAAATTCGTACCTACTGTCGATCACATTATAATTATGGGAGACTTTAACACCTGTTTGATGAAACATGATTCTCGCTCATTGCGATTGTCTTCAATTATAGATTCTGTCAACCTTAATATTCTCCCTTCCTCTTCAACACACCATTTTCCAGGCTGCCAGCCATCCTTGCTTGACCTTGCCATTGTCTCCTCCACTGATCTTGTTGGCTCCCATGGCCAACTGCCCGCAGAGGCCTTCTCTTATCATGATCTCATCTTCCTCTCTTACAAAATCCGTTGTCCCAAACCCAAACTGCGAGTGATCATGCAACGCAACTTCAAGAACTTTGACGAGAACAGTTTCTTGGCTGATCTTAATAATATCGACTGGAATGTGGTGTTTAACGCCCCTACTATTGAAGCGAAAATGGAAATATTTAACTCGTTGCTCATTCAAGTATATGACAGGCATGCTCCTTTCCGTCCTGTACGACTGAAGCATCTCCCTGCTCCCTGGCTGACAGCGGATATTAAGGCGTTGATGTCGAAGCGCAATATTGCTAAAGCCCGTTATAGAAATAACCCTACTGACGTAACGCTTCGCAAGTACAAAGAGCTCCGTAACCGTTGTAGTAGAGTTTGCAGAGATGCACAGCGGCGCTATATACATGCCTCAGTATCGAACAGCAGTCCTGCAAGAGTATGGTCGTTTCTTAAGTCCTGTGGTATTGGTAAGGTTAATTTGTCACTCCCTCATAATATTGATCCTAATTCTTTAAATCTGTACTTTACTGCACCTTTCTCTATTCCTTCCAATGTCAAGCAATCTACATTGCAAACTTTATCTGCTGCTTTCGATCCTCATAAGTCCGCCTTTTCTTTTAGATCTGTGACCGTAAGTGAAGTTGAGAGGAGTATCTCCGCTATTACATCAAATGCCGAAGGGCTGGATGGAGTTAGTCGAAAAATGCTTTTGTATGGTTCTACGACTCTTCTTCCGCTCCTCTGTCACATCTTCAATTTCTCTCTTAGTTCAGGCTCGTTTCCGAGCTGCTGGCGTCGAGCGGCCGTAATTCCTATCCCTAAGATCTCCAATCCTACCTTATCCAGTCATTTTAGACCTATATCCATCCTCCCATTACTTTCAAAAGTACTCGAACGTCTTGTTCATCATCAGGTAAGCGTCTTCCTCAACTCCAAGAATATTCTTAGCCCCTTTCAGTCCGGGTTCCGCCCGGGGCATAGCACGGTTACGGCCTTGACCAAGATCTCTGATGATATCCGTGAGGGCATGTCTAAACAACGGGTGACTGTGCTTGTACTTCTGGATTTCAGCAATGCTTTCAACTCCGTTGATTATGACATCCTCTTGGCTATGCTGAAGTCGATCTTTGTCTCGGATGTGGTGGTGGACTGGTTCCGAAGTTATCTAGCTGGCCGGCAGCAGTGTGTACGTACCGACGACAGACGATCTGATTTCTGTGAAGTTATTGCTGGAGTCCCTCAGGGCGGAGTCCTTTCCCCTCTCCTCTTTTCTCTATTCATTAACTTTCTCACTTCTCTCCTTACCTGCCAGTACCACTTGTATGCTGATGACTTGCAGATCTACCGTCAGGCACCTGTTGATAAAGTCAGGAATGTAATCGCGAACTTGAATGACGATCTTAGGGTTATTCACGAATGGACTTATGCCCACGGCCTTTCAATTAATCCCTGTAAGACGCAGGCCATCATCATTGGTGGGTCAAAACAATCTATTAAGCTGGATCCTTCACTTCTGCCTCCTCTTTATCTCAGCTCTATTCCACTGACCTACAGCAATGTTGTCAAAAATCTTGGAGTTTTCTTTGACTCCACCCTTTCATGGTCACCTCATGTTTCTGAGGTCAGTAGGAAGATATTCGCTGCTGCGGGCTCGTTGCGCCGATGGAAAAACCTGCTACCGGTGAGGACCAAGGTTGAACTTGCGCAATCTCTCTTAATGCCGATTCTGGACTACGCAGATGTTTGTAACGTAGATCTCAAAGAAAATCTACTTGATAAGCTGCAAAGACTTCAAAATCTTTGCATTCGATTTATCTATGGCCTGCGCAAGTTCGACCATGTTTCTGAATTTAGGAGAAAGCTCAAGTGGCTTCCCATTAGGTTGCGTCGTGAAGAGCATCTCCTCTTATTACTTTATAAGGTGTTGTATGACCCTCGCACTCCGACTTACCTCAAGGAACGTTTCCAATTTCTTGGTGTGGACCACGATCGCGTTTTGCGCTCAAAACACGATAATGTGTTAGAGATACCCCTCACCCGCTCTGAGTATTATATGGACTCCTTTTCGATTAAAGCTGCACAGCTTTGGAACAAGCTTCCGTCTGAGATCCGTCACACTAAATCATTTAACATTTTTAAAAATATACTACATGATTTTCTTTTAATCAAATCCTAGTCTGCTATATCTATAAATATATAATATTGCATAATATATTTATTTGTGTAGGTATATATAGTATATATATTTGTGTAGGTATATGTTATTTATTTGTATATAATCTTTATATGTTTAAGAAAATATGTACATATCTTTATTTTATCTTGCTGGCATACTACAACTTCCTCTTCATTTAGTTATCCTTTACCGCAAAGGTTGTCTGGAAGAGATCGCTTAAAGCGATAAGGCCGCCTTTGCCCACATTATGTAATTGTTTCCTTATTTTTGTATTCTTTTGTGTGTGTGCAATAAAGAATTTATCTATCTATCTATCTACTATAATCGGTAATTGCTTAGTTTAAGGTTCACTTGCACCAATATTCTGAAAATCAAATCTTAAAGGTCTTAAGGCTTAAACCTATTTAACACATCATTACATATTTTATAATAGGGTATTCTACAAGTTTTAGAAAGCGATCTCACGTTATTTACGAATGTATGTGGAGTCCATAAAAAGTGGATATTTTTAATTCTGTTGTGTAATACCGTAAAAAACTAAATTAAAAATTCAATTTCAAGTTGCCGCGAAAGCGTTTATCTGGACATTATGGCGTCTTACTAGTGTGTGACGTCACACGACGATCATTAACACATCAATACGATACAATCTAATCTCACTCTGGCCGGAAGTATACTAGCGTGTGACGTCATTTTCGTCTTGGCCAATCCCAGACGTTTTCGGTCACGTGACCGTGGAGCAAAAAAATCTCTTCTTTTTCATGATTTATTAATTATTTGTTATTTCAAAATAGTAAAATCAATGTCAATGTTCAAATTAAAAACAGATACCAATATGTGTATTATGATGTACTTTTGTTTAATGACAGTATTATATAGCCTGTTTGTTTAAAATCAAATAGATATGATGAGGTTGAAACACGCTAACCTTTTATTTAAGAACTTTGGTGCAAATGGGCTTTAATGTTGTATTCCAATTTTGTTTCAAGATTTTATTACAGCACAATGAATTTATTTTATACATACATATGTACAGGCTATTTATCAACTATATAGGTACAAGCCAAACAACTCATTACCAACTAATTGTGCTTTAGGTGAAAACGCGCGTAGAAGGTTTCGAAAGGTATTTTGAACAGTTCTTCGGCCCCAAAGGACCGTTCAACAAAGAACGAGTGACCGAGCACTTGGAGAAATTCCGCTTCTATCGCTCCACCAACGAAGCCGAAGAGCTCCGAGGGAAAATCGATGACCTCAACTACAAAAATGAAGCTCTTAAGCACCGTTTCCCTATGGCCGAGTTAGGGATCAAAGTGTTCGGAAATGACATTTCGTTTTGGAGTGCCGAAGGAGACGATGAGATTAAGAAGTCTTTGCAAAGGCTGAATCCCCAGCTGAGGATCTTAGAAATTTTGTCTGGAAAGGTTAGTGTGTTATTAAATCGAATTTTATATATTAAAAGGCATTATAAGGCAAAAATCTTGAGATATCTTTATTCTTGAAAATATCATTTGTTTATTCGTAAGTCCTTAAACTTTAACCATGGCCGAATTGAAAAATTAACCCCACTGCCTAGGCAGTATACACCCCGGCAAACTTTTTGGTCATCGACCATAGATAAAGAAACCTGCTCAGTAGCAATTTTACATACAAAAACGTCTACTGCGCAAGTATGTTTGTCTATAGTTTTGATCAAGTAGTTTTCCGCTAACACGTTCTTCCTAGTTCAGAGAAAAATAAAGTTTACTTATTAGGTAATCATAATTTCAATCGATTCAAAAAAGATGTATGATGCTTCCTATTTTAAAAAAAATATTTTTAAATTTGAATTTAAAATATCAGCCTTGACATCGCCATGGCTTTCGACAAAAGCCTTGGCCTAGTCAAACTTCACTCCAAACTTCAGGCTCATACGGTCTACCTGCTCAATTTTGTTTCTGGGTAACTGACTTCGTACATGAACTTAGAATTCGTATTCTTACGTATGGTAGTAGTTCGCGGTTCCTGTCAGTGAATGCAGGTGTTTCTCAGGGCGCCGTCCTTTACCCCACACTCTTTCTGCTGCACATTTAACAACCTCCGTAGCTGAGTGGTTTGTACGCCGGGTTTCATGGTGTCGCCTACTCGAAAGGTCTCGGGTTCGAATCTCGGTGGGTGCAGATGTTTGTGTGATGAATACGAGCATTTGTACTCCAGTCATGCATGTTTAATAGGTATTTCTATATAAATATACTTATATATGTACTGTATATGTATTCTTTCCGTTACCCTAGTATCCCATAACACAAGCCTTACAGTGCTTACTTTGGGGCTAGGCTAATTGGTGTGAGTGTTATAAATATTTATTTATTATTATTAAAAAAACAACAAAATTTTCAATTATCAAAGCTACTAAAATCTTTTGTAGGAAATATCGTACGAGAAAGCATCACTTTTCTTAGACACCACGTTCTCTGTACCTACCGGATGCGGTATGCCTCTCAATTTAAACCTTATGGGTACGAGTTATATAGACGCTAAACTGTCTGGCACTGTGGAGGATAAGTTCCAGAAGTCTGGGCACTTGGACTTCCAAGGGAAGATAAGGCCAAGGTGAGTGTTGAGTTTAAAGGTTAGACCAAATAAGTATTATCTTTCAATGAAAATACGATCTAAGTGCAACGAATTAGAAATGATGTTAAAGCATTACTTTCTCACAAAGACCGCAAAAACATAACTCATACAACTAAACTTCAATACTAACGCGACACGCACCCAAACAAAATAAAATATTTGGCAAATCAAATATCTGCATATGAATTCGGTTATAATTGGGTAAGATAATAATAAACGCTAATCCCAACCAATCAAATGGTCGCCGTGTTAATCGCATTTTTCGCCCCACCCACTTGCGTGGAACTTTTTAATTCGTTGCCTAAGTGAAGAGTTTTGTCGATATGTAACTAAATGGGCTTTAGTTTTAGCATATAAAGTAGACGCCAAGCTGTTTGAACTATATTCTGTAATCACAAAACTTGAACCTATTTAAGTCCAAACGCTAAGTTTTGTCATCTAAAGCAAAATAGCCGATAAAAAAATAATACAAGGACATCCTTTGGAATAAAATAATGTCAGTATCCTTACCGCCTAATTAATAAACGAAGACTACACTTGGATTAGTTACTCTATGTTTTGTCACTGTCCATAGAATGCCAAATGGCATTTGAGTGACATGAACAAAACACGGCGTAACTACTCTAAGCTTATTCCTTGTTTATTAATAAGGGGTTTTTTTGTCTAATGATTTCAAGAAGCAATTGATATCGTAGGATTTTAATATATATAATTTTAGTAATTATACAAGATTGTTTATTTGGCATAATTAATGAAATTTGAATATGTTTATTTCCATTTTACCCAGCATGGCGGTGAATATAGCCGCTACTATGGGCGTGGTAGCAGGTGGATTAGCTTCCAGTGGAATACGCGTCAATTCCCGCTTATATACAGCCACCGATATAGAAACAAAGCTATCTGTACGCGGTATCGGAATGGTACGATTGGACCTCTCTCTACCTACGGACAAACAAGAAATATTCGCCGCAAAGTGAGTAGATATATGATCTTATATTATCTTTAGTTTCCAGTGAAATCCTTCGCAACTCCGCCTGAACATAGCAGCAGAACAGGAAATATTCCCCGATTTTTAAGTTTATCGGGTAACTCAAAATTCACGTTGTATAGGAGCTTTGTTTATAGGCCGATAATTTGAAGCTCCATGTTCTATATTGTATCAGCTATCTTCTGTTACTTAAATAATAATGTGTCTTATTTCCACAGGTCAGAACTGATAATCCTTCACGGAGATCAAGAGTTGCAACAACAGGGTTTAAACCAAAACAGGATAGAACAAAACACTTGCAGCTGGAGTACTTTCGACAAAGCTATCGGCATCAAAGTCTGCGCTGCTTATCAGGTAAATTGAACTTTATGTTAATGGAATAAGGAAAGTTGATAGGAAGCTAGATTTGTAGATTTCTTTGACTCACAAAAAGAAGATTAAATTGTAAAAATGACAACAAAATAAAGTGCTATCTAATAATATAACTTTCGAACCTACAGTTACGTCTAGAACTGTACTTAACTTTTTAACGGCCAACCTTTATTGTAATGAAAATAATTGTATGCAATATTTCAGATATAAAACTTTCAAGCGATTATATTTTATTAGAATTATAGAGATTACTCATAATATAAAGGCAATGAAAAAAGACCTAATTTCGGTCGTGCACATGAATTTAACAATCAAATGTAATATTTTTCTCCTTTTATCAGTTCCCGAATATGACCAATCTGCGTAACGCTCCTTACTTTATAATGAGCGGTCCTGCGAAATACATTCTCTCATTGGAGAAAGCTGATCCGTCAGCGAAGAATTACGCTTTTGAATACAAGTGGGATAAGAATGAGACGACTAATGTCATTGGGTTCTCCTTCGATACTCCTAACAGTAAGGTAAGATCAGTAAACAATTATAACTCACGTTTAAGATCCGGTTCCGGTACTTGGAAAAAGTCAAGAAAGTAGGGTTTTCGCGATTTTCATCAAAACGGTAAATTTTATCGTAAAAGTACCTCAGACAAAAATTGTGGATCATAAAATTATCTATAAAAAAAGATATCAATATTTTTTTCCGAAGAGCCACTGTTCCTGAGATATCACGATTCAAAAAGTTGTAAGCGTCATAATATGCATAACTAAGTCACGTATCTGAGGCAGCTGTAATATAAGTAAAAATATTTTTCTATCTGTGATTGTAACTTACATTTGAAATATAAAATGTACATAACTATAATATAAGAAGTTTAAAAAAAGTACATAATTCAACTTCACAAGAAATTATCACCGATCCACCGATCCGATTTGATGCTAGTATGAGCGTCTTTGTTTTAATCTAAGATTTGAACCAATTCAGACTTTACTCCTACCTGCGCGACACGAGTAATGTTTCCATTTTGTGACTAAAATAGTCCAAACTGTTAACGAAATGTCAGCCTTTTTGTCAGGACTTTTAAAATACCTAAATGGTAACTGAAATCCTGGATCGCAAATATGCTTTTTTTTTTGAAGTCTATTACTTTTTTTTAAACAGGAAAAGCGAATGTTCAATGCCCTCTTAACTCTCTCTAACACATCGAGCACCGCTTCTTTGACCGTTCATTCCGCCAAAAGTACCATAAAGGCGCGCGCTCTCTACCGGAACTTACAAGACGACAAAACCATAGAGGCGACATTGGACGTAGACGGCCGGAAACAGTTCGATACGCTTATGTCTTTGACTAGGCACGACATAAAGCACGGATACGTTTGGGTGCCGCGTGCTTATTGGGTGGTGGATGACGATAAAATAGCCGAACTATCGGGTGAGTATATTGTTACATAAACCAACGAAATAGAAATTATATGGAAACATTCTAACAAATACTATTCAAATATGTTTCCGAACTCATGAAACTAAACTTAAATACTAACGCATACAGACAAAACAAAATACTTTGACAAATCAAATATCTGCAAATGAATTCGGCTATCCATTTATTGGGTAAATTAATGTTAAACGGAAATCCCAACCAATCTTTATGATCGGCGTGTTTATCGCAGTTTATTTGCTCCACCCACTTGATTGCAGTTTGCGTGGAACCACATTGTAGCGAATTTCGTATTACATATTATTTCCAATTAGTTGACATAAACACACACAAAAGTTACCCAAGATCAGGGTTCTCAGTTGAAACTATAGAATTCTCAAAGCATAATAGTTTTTTTACTGTCAATAAAGTTAAAGATTATACACAGATTAATAAGTACTTTTCTGACACCTGCCTGTTTCTTGTATGAAAGAATTTATGTAATTTAAAATATTGATTCTAGTTTGTGTTTTTTTTTTGTCAAACAAAAATATCAGATTTTCGATACAAAAAAAACTGTGCAAAGTCAAAAAATTATATTATGATAATAATAATAATTTTATTCATCCCAAAAAACATATAAGGTACAAACATTTAACAGCTGTTAAATGAGAGAAAGTACTGAAATTTAGTTTTTATGATTATTTTTTACATAAGGCAGTAGTCATAATGAAAAAGTACAACTGGCCCTAGATAGGCTTTAAATATAGCCTGTATTTAGGGATTCAGACCCTTCCAGTAGGTTCCTTAAGATGACACAGTAATAAATACACATACATAAAATTGATTGGTTTGAGATATTTAATTTAATTATAAAATTTATTGAAAGAAGTAGATTGTCAATTACATTATTTATACAGTTATTATTGTCAATTAAAAATAACCCTTATTGTGTTCAAGGTGTGTTCAAATTCAAATCGAAAGGGGGCGTGACCCAATGTGACGTATTAGCAGACTTCCAAACCAAACAACTAGCTAGCCATCTCGTAGGATATTACACCGTAAACGGTCCTACGCACGGCACAAAATTGCAACTAGACTACCAATTCTACAAGAATCCCAAACAGACGGTGAAGCTAGAAGGGGTTTATAGTGAAAGGGTGTTGACGTTCAGACACGATTTGTATGGAGAGCTAGCGATGGATTTCTCCGCTTATCCGATGTATAACTTCTACACTGTCGTCAGGAATGTCGTAAGTATGAATTATTACAGTTTGATCTGTTACATCGATTGACATACCTTACCTTTAGTAAGCAGTAATTCCATCCTTAAAATAACTTTATACGAGTGTGTTTGTGAATAAAATAGTATAATTTATTTTTTAATCATATCATACTACATACATTGCTTTGATCTTGAAGTTATGTAGCAAAATACATCGCATGTTATGTCGCCAATTCACATGGCTGTTCGTGTTTTCTATTTGTAAACTTGACATTGGTCTGTCCTTTTCACTCCATATAAAGCATGATTATGACAGACTAATGTCAAGTTTACAAGTAGCATATACGAATAGCCAAGTGAGGTGGCAGCATTATGAAAATCTTAAACAAAACAACAAAGTTAACACAACTATTCCAACTTGGGTACATTGAATAAAAGATATATTCTATTTTTGATGTCTTTTTCGTATTTGTCTACGATTTAAAATGAAATAACTTTAACTTCCTTAAAAATCCCTTATTAATTAGTTAAGACATGTAAGTACTTATATTTATAATGTTGCTATTTCCATACGCAATATCCCATTTAATCAGTTCCCAGTATTTTTTACATAGCATTATTCACATCAAAAATGATACCTACCCTTATAAACATAAAGTTCAAATTCCACCGCAGAAAACTCAAAGTCACGTGGACGTTAGTTTCAACGTGAGCTCTTCAAAGGCGCAGCAGACGGACCCTGCGTTCATATTCAGTTTCCGGCATATTGACAAGATCAATGGTTTAGAATTAGACACCCAGCTCACACTGAAGAGGCCCAAGTTAATCGACATGAAGTTTCATTACGATCAGGTATTTTTAATCTGTTCTTTCTTCCTTACAGCGAACCATAAGCAAACACCCTTGTTAACAACGATAGAGTACATTTGAATTACACTGTTTATTTGTAAGAATTGAATTGAAACACTGTTACTTTAGACTTGTAGATAATTATCATAGAACTTATTGTTTTATTAATTATTTTTTCATTGTATTCTATCAAAATTATATAATATATATAATATAATTATTTTTTCATTGTAATCTATCAAATTGAGGTATGGATTAAAGAAAATGTTAACTTTCTTTACTCGTTAATTTCTCATAATTTCAGCAAATAATCATTTTAAAGGAAATTTTTCTAGAAAAAAATCCACGCGGACCAGGCAGCAGACGGGAGACGAACCCGCACCCTTCGCTATCCTTTCGATTTAAACATCTAGCAGTTAAATGCTTTCAAAATAAAAATATAACTATAAATGCTATTGAAAGAAGTCAAATGTTTAATACTTGTACAGGTATTCATTGTCATTGTGGGTTCCCTACAATGCAAGGAGATGGCGCTGCCTTGCAGCCCAAGAAATACTAGATAAAATTCGACACGGCCATCAGGGCCGTGGCAGCATAATGCTCAGTGCATTCGCCCGGATAGCGAAGGGTGCGGGTTCAAGTCCCGCCTGCTGTCTGGACCGCATGGATTTTTTTCCAGTAAAAATTTCCTTAGATTTAAACATCTAGCAGTTAAATGTTTCAAAATAATAATATGACTAAATTTTCATTCATTAAAAAATGAAATACAGTCAAAATATCAATTAAAAAGACTGTCCACATTTTTTTAAAATATTTTTTTGTTGAAGTTATATTACTTTCTATCCAAATATTCATTAACTTGATTAACAAACAATTTAACTTATCTTTTAAACAGTTTGGTTATTTTTTTTATAATAAAAAGCTATTTTTTTATAATAAGCCTCGCTATGCCCACTGCTGAGCAAAGACTTCCCTAATGTTAATGTCAATAGGTTAAAATCTGTTTTCGTCGTTTTCACACAGGTTGGACCGAAGCATACGGCGTTAGCTCTCCTAAACTTCAACCCTAAGTCCAGAGAGATCATGGTGTCTGGCTACTTGTTCTACCCTCCCGGCACTCAGCTTTATCTAGATGCTGAATTGAATATGACATTGCCGACATTACACCCTTGCTCGATCAAAACTAAAGTGTTGGAGAAAACTCTGAATGAATACCAGGTAACATTTTAAATCATACTTCTCAGTCAACAATAAATATTTCTTTTAATATTTGTTTTTTTTAGCATAAGAGAGTTATAATTTGTTTGTCCTTATCTGGAGAAGTATCTTTCAACTTATGTTCTAGTAGAGGAAGTATTTTTCGAGTCATACATAAAAGTTCGAAGTGTTTTAAGATAATTAGACTTTGCGAAATATTTTTATTTGGCTTACTTCAATGAGTTGTGTTAAAAGTATACAATTAAAATTTGGACTGTTTAAAAGAGTACTTTTATACTACTAATGTGTGTATCACGGACAGACCTCCGTCACATACACACTTTTTATATTCTTTTTATTTTCTTTAGTCTATTAATGTCAAATATTCAGCTATTTTTATTGCACTCCTTTTTTATACAGTTTCGGTGTTACATTTTATAGTCAAAATTCCAAAATAAACCTGTTTTCCCATCCCATCCGCCTTTTCCTTTGCTGTCCACGACAGTGTGAATAGAAAAAAAGTACCTATAACGCTTCCAATTCGAATTAAATGTTTTTAATATTTGATTCAGATGCACGCGACAGGGGTTTGGTTCACCGGCATGGATTTCAACATAGACGCGTTGTACCAGGACCAGTCAAAAACCAATATGGCGGCGCACAGAGTGAAGTTGCTCATCAACAGCTCACACTTCAAGGATATCGCGATCCATGCGAGATTCACACAGGATAACAGGCAGATCACTTTCATTGGACAGGTATAGTTCAACATGATCATCATTTTAAAGTTCTCACTGCTAAGCTGCTATTTACCGCTTAGGATCTCGAACTTCTCTTAAGGATGTATTCAAAGAAATAGGTATAATGACTATTGCCTCTCAATACAAATTTATAATTGTATATTGTTTGTGCGTCAGAACATAAATTTATATACGAGGCGCGATGATGTACATAATTTAATTACCAGAAATAAAGATAAACTCAAATTGCCACCGTTGAGACTCCAAAAGGTTCTTGGTTCATTTGTGGGTCAAGGTGTATGTTACTATAATAAAATACCAAAAGAAATAATAAATTTACCTTTTAATAAGTTTAAAGTGCGTATAAAAACTTGTCTCCTTAAGAAACGTTACTATACAGTTAAAGATTTTATAAATGATAAGGCACCTTGGGCTTAATATAATAGACTAATTCGTTTTACTTTACTAATTTGGTTGAAAATTGTTAGTTATACTTAACTTATTGTTAATTAATAATATTAATGTGATGAAATATGACATCAACACATGTTTTTAGTTTTTGATGTCATCTTTCAATTGACGACACTGTATGAAACAAAACAGGGAGAAAAAAGCAGCCCTTGCTGAGTTTCTTGCCGGTTCTTCTCGGTACACGGTCTCCCGCCGTAGATTTACGAACCGATGGCGTAGCGTTTGACTTTCACAAGAGCTTGTAACAGCCTAGACTGAATAAATGATTTGAGTTTGAGTTTAAGGTACAGAATTTTAGAATCACATTAGAAGATCAGTCTAGGACTAATATGACGGCGCATGGAGTGAAGTTGTTCATGAACAACTCACACTTAAAATATATAGTGACTTATGCGAGATTCACACAGGGCAAGAGGCAGATCATTTTCATTGGACAGGTATAGTTCAACATGATCATCATTTCAAAGTTCTCACTGCTAAGGTACAGACTTACTTTTAGAATCACATTAGAAGACCAGTCTTGGACTAATATGACGGCGCATGGAGTGAAGTTGCTCATCAACAGCTCACACTTCAAGGATATAGCGATCCGTGGGAGATTCGCACAGGACAACAGGCAGATCCTTTTAATAAGACAATGGTGCCAATTCTGGCGTGATTCTCTAAACTTAAAACTAAATTTAACATCAGTCTCTCCTTTTCATTCTGTATAGAGGATGACAAGGCTATACTGCTGTCAAATTTAAGTTAAATTTTTAAGAAGCATGCTAGAATCGACACCAGTATGCTATTTGACAGTATTAAAAATAAAGTATAAAATATAAGTATGTGTGTTAAACATAAATGTTTTGAGCTGTTTCACAATTTGTCAAAAAAAGTAGTAGTACTTAATATCTAAATAATGAAATAAAAAAGTATTCTTTTATCTATTGTCACGTGAGACGTGAATCACAATACACTAATAAATAACGTATGAACGCTTTCAACAACTTGTCAAATAGCTATTACAACTCAACGACGCCATATTTTTCATTTGCTATGCTCTATTTGATAATTTAAAAAGAATTTGTATTAGACGCCTTACAATGAATATCCTAAAGAAAAATTTTCTTGAACAAAATCGACTCTGTCCTTCGCTATCCGCGCGGAAATATGAAAATTTTCTTTAGACTTGTTAATCTAGTTTCAAATGACATATCCTCTCAGGGTGAATACAACGACAGCAAGTATCGAACCCTGGTCCGATACGTGATACTGTCGGAGCAGAACTTCATGACGTACGCCGAATTGGACATCGGCGAGAAGGCGTACAGCGTCAATCTGAATGCGGACCTCAACAATAATACGAAGATCAGCATGGACATACATTTCGATCAGTCAGTATATTTACATACTAGCGGCCGCCGGCGACTTAGTACGCGTGGAGTTAGTTATTTGCACATACTTTCTGACCCCAAAAGGGGCTTATTTCAAGAGACACAATTTCAAGTCTCTTACTTCAAAAACGTAGGACTTTCATACAAACTTCCAACCCCCGTATTACCCCCTTAGGGGTGGAGTTTCTTGATAATGTGTAGCCTATATATTGACCCGACTTCTTAATAATATTTGTGCCAAATTGGAAGTAAATCCATGCAGTACTTTTTGAGTTTATCCCGGACATACATACAGACAAACAGACAAAAATCCATAAAACTATTGGCCTCGGTATCAATTGTTTTTTGTTCAACAGTGGTTTTTTTTTATTTAACAGTTGTTGTTTCACTATATTAATGTCGCCTCAAATTCATAGTTTGACAAATTGTTATATTTTCTCAAGTATTTAAACTATAGTAAAAAAAACTACAGATAAAACAACGCGGCCTAGTAAATGTTTAAAATTTTGACAAAAGGTATTTTTTTTTTCTGCAGTATTTTAACTATAGTCAAATTACCCTTTATTTTTGCTGGCGACTGTAGTATTAAAAAAAAAGGTTATTCTCACTGTCTGTACGCTTAGATTTTTTTTTACTGCGCAACAGATTTTAATGCAGTTAGGAAGGATAGGAATAGTCACGTAAAATATATGTCAAATACTCCAGATAACTCCGATACAAATTTCTAAAATTCACATTTCAGATTACGCGACGTACAGATAACTTACCAACGCTACGTCACTCCCCGACAGAAGCTACTTAGCGCCTCCCTCAACTGGGATGCGAACCGAGACCCCTCGCAGAAGGTGAGAAATAGTCATACTAAAATGTTACTTTATAATTTACTAAACATAGCCCGCGACTTTGCCTGCATAAAATAATCTATTTTCAACACAAACTTTCATTCTCTATTTCACAATTTTAAATGTTTTCGTGTCGCCAAAAAGGCAGCCTGTGTCCTTCTCCAAGGTTCTCTTTATTTCCATTCCAAAATTATTTCAAATGAGTTCAGCTTTTTGGGCGTGAAAGCGTAAAAACAAAAAAATCACTTTCGCATTTACAATATCAGTTACGATTCTTGACCTTATGATTCCTTTCCATGGGGTCCTACCGCCTATCGGTATTTTTATGGCTATAGCTATAGCTCATGATTTCATTTTGTTATTGCTAAAAATGAGCGTGAGGTATTTGAAAACCTTCGGTGGTCAAAAATAACAAAATGAAATCATAAGATATAGCTATAGCCATAACAATGCCGAAAGGCGGTAGGTCCCCTGGCTCCTTGATAAATCGTGTTTAGTAAATAACTATCAATCCACCTCTGCTTTGCACTGGTGAAATTTACTCAAACCTTTTAGTGCGATAAAATATAACCTATGCTAGTATGGGATGGGAACCTCAAACTATTTTCGGGCGAACGAATATTATTATAATTAGAAACGAATAAGAAAAATAGTAAGAAACTTGCGAAGTTTCAATAAAAAATCGTTTTTCGTTGAACTAGAGCAGGCCTCTTGTACCCTTAGCACGAACCAATATCGAATTCGTAACGTTTGCGAGTCCGAAGTGTCATTGTCAAATGTGTACTGATTTTTAGTTCTCGTTACGTACTTTGTGCCGCTGCTGTTCTAGTTTCCATACAAAATTTGACATTGACATTTCGGTTTGCAAACTATTCGAATTCGATAATGGTTCGTGCTAGGGGTACTGTATCCTTAGTACGAATTCGAACTCACGAAAACTATCATAGTTGTCGTAATTGTAAATTATGTTTCTATGTCCATTTTGGTGAAAAGTAACCAAATATACTTAAAATTTAAGAAGACGCAAATGATTTAATGATAGAATTTAAGCACTGTTTATTTGTATTGAAACGAAAACAATTGAATTAGTACCCTTAGTAATTGCGAACTCACGAAAACTATCATAGTTTTCGTAATTGTAAAACTCGTACTAAGGGTACTGGTCCAAAACTGATGCTGTCACTTTTGTTTTCTAAAAAGCAGACAGAGACAGCATTACATTCAGACCAAGACTTTAGTCCGCGTTTTGGAATTAGGCGGTTTGAGTTTAAATGTTTCAAACATACAAAATTTTGACGACCTCCATGACCGAGTGGTTTGTACGCCGGGTTGCAAGGTGTCGCCTACTTGAGAGGTCCCGGGTTCGAATCCCGGTGGGGTAGATGTTTGTGTGATGAAAACAAGCATTTGTATCCCAGTCATGGAAGATTAATATGTATTTCTATATAAATATACTAATGTATATATATATAATTATGTACTGTATATTATGTATTCTATCCGTTACCCTAGTATGCCATAACACAAGCCTTACAGTGCTTACTTTGGAGCTAGGCTATTGGTGTGAATGTTGGAAATATATATTTATACAAATATTTCCTTAAGGTGAGCGTGGACATTCAACTGGACAATAAAGGTGCGTGGCATCACGGCGGTCACGTGACCTTGTATTACCCAGGAAGGGTGGTCAATGGGGAGTTCGAGTTCTTGCTCAGAGGTAGGTTATTTAGCTGCTTGTATTATGACATTACCAGCCTATTAATGTCCCCACTGCTAGGGCACAGGCCTTCCTTATGGATGGAATAGAGAGATTGGCCCGTGCGGATTGGTAGGTGCTAACGACTACGGATGTAACTGGGACCAACGGTTCAACGTGCCTTCCGAAGCACGGAGGAGCTCGAGATAATAAAACTTTTGGTCACCCATCCAATGACCGACCACTGCGAAAGTTGCTTAACTTCAACGACGGCAGCCGAACGCGCTTACCACTTGCGCCATCGAGCTCCCCAAGGCTTAGACCACAGTACAAAGGCAAAAGAAGCAGGGCAGGTTTCATCATGATGTTAAATTTAGTATTTAGTTTAGAGAATAATAACAGAATCGACAAAAACTTCTACCTAGTGAAATTATATGCTAGCTATGCAAAAATAATACCACTGATCATTTGGTGGTATTGAGTTGCCGTTAATGATTAAGGTTAAAAGGGCCCAAGCACAAATTTTGACTCTAATGGCGGATGTGATGTTAGTGCAATTCGCAGCACAGTAAACGAAATGTAGATGAGCTCTGTGGCCCAAGGCACTAATTTTGACAATCCCGTAATCGTGCCGCATCGTCAAAGTTTCTATGGAAGCTTAGCAGCGCCCCTACCGGACGTAAAAACAAACTGGCTCCTTCCATATTAAATTTGGAGCTCATGATACGATTACGGAGCTTTCAAAGTTCATGCTTTGGCCACAGGTCTTTACATGATGGAGGATAAGGCCCAGTTCTCGAAGCATTCAACACGATTTACGTAATTCACGTTTTTAACCCGTCTAACTGTCAAACTGCATAGTAATTTTACAATTGAGCGTGGTAAAAACGCGTTATGTATCATATCGCGGTGGTCATGCTAGACAGGCAGGTCGTCAAGTTAAGGATAGCTCAATCGTCATATATTTCTATCGCATGCTTGCTAGCTTTGAGACTGGACTCCACTTACATTTAAGATCAGATGGGGTGGGGTAATTTTCCGCAAGTTCAGCTGGAAATACCTACAATAATACATTCGTAATACAGCGCTTATTAGATAATTGAAATATGAACGAAAAAAATTTAAACGAACACCCTGGAATCTGAAATGGTGAAAGAGGTTGGATATAAGTAATGAGGGAAGCCGAGTGTTTCGTCAGTTTAATATTTTTTTTTATATTAATACTATTTTAAATTCCCATAGTCACTAACATTATGCTAATTTATGTGATTGCTACCGTGTATCTTGTTTTTTGCGAATGCCCAATATTTCGGCATTATTGGAAGTGCCATGATCAATGATATATAATGTACATGGTAGTAATCTCTTTAAGAGCCATTTCACATTTTTTTTGCAAAAAAATCGTAATTTTTGAGCGCCTTGTTTACTCTCTTAGTAGATAAAGATTTTGACTATTTTCAATAGAAGTAAACAGTAGATTTATTCTTCCTATTGTAACTTAACGTAGAATATTTGCAAATACTATTTTCCTTTTTTTGTACTGATCGTTCTATCGCAGCTAGTTTACGGAAAAAAACAATTATATGCACAACTTCAAACGCCTAATTCTCTAAATAATGTTCAATAAATTAGATCTAATTAATTACTACGACCTCAGAAATAATTATATTAGAATTTAGATTTTGCATCTCATTAATTATAAAAAAAAATCATCTAACCTCCGTGAATTTTCCCAAAAAACAATGCAGATTTACCTCGTATTTTGATATTGAATTAAATAGAATTACTATCAAAATCTTTCATTAAACTAATCTATCATCATTGAACTACTGAAATATGTATATATTTTTATAATTAGTTCATTAATAATTATTTCATAAGACTCGAAACATCACCCGTAAAATGCAATATATACTAGTGCAAATCTACCTACGCGCCGATCAGTACGACAGCGGTGCAATTTTGTAAAAGGGCTCTTAATAATATAATTAACTATAAGATTTGTTGTTATTGCTCATTAGATTGGTTCTGCCAGTGGCACGTCCGTATGGGTTGGGCCAACGACGCCACCATACTGTGGCGGGTGAAGATGTTCTCTGAAGCGAGAGACGAAACTGTATACGCGCTGCTATCCAGTATGACGACACCTTTCGTGGGCTGGCAGGACACTAGCTTCAACGTTATGTAAGTCTGTTATAGGTATATGCCTTGAAAATGTTGCACTAAATATTTATTTCATTTTTCATGGATTGCCTTGAAGAGATTGTTATTTAGCAATAAGGCCGCCCATTGTGTAATGTATATCTATCAATGTAATCTTACTTTTGTGCCCTTTGTGGTATTGTGTAATAAAGAATTTTATTATTATGTATTATTGAAAAAATGTTTGAAACGTCCGACTTTGTAACAACTATGACGACAAAGTTCTACATATTTCTTTGTCTGGATCTCATTTATTTAGATTTTTAATCTAAACTTTTCAATAAACAGTTAGGACTTTTACTATAAAAAACTGATTGACTTTAGTAACGCGTGGCCGCAACTTCATCTATATTATAATGTTTTGTTGCTTATTGAAAACTTGAGTCATGTTTTTCATCTCACTTCTTTCAAGTATTATTTTAACACAGGTCTACGTGTTCTTCGACAAGCCTCTCTTTAATTCTTTACCAGTATTCAATAAAAGTTCTGTCTTAGGCGTTAAAACTTAACAGACAATTGCTTTCGCATCTACGAATCCTTCTTTAATATTGTAAATGTAAAATTTTGGACGTTTGTTACTCAATCACGCAAAAATGGATAAACGAATTTTGATAACATTATTTATTTCAATTTTAATGAAATTTGGCACACTTATATACCTATCCCCATGGCTTGATCTATATCACGTTTTCTTATCGCGTCTATCTGTCAAACTTTATAGTTATTTGACAACGAAGCTTGATAAAAACGAGCTTTATATCATATTAGTGTGCTTATGTTATGGAGGCTGGTTTGAGACATATGATACTTTTGATCTTGGAAAAATGGTAGGTTCCTGAGGCATTTAGACCAAGTTGTGGACAGAAGTTAGTTTATAACATTAATATAAATTGAACAGGTGGCGTTACCATGACAACTTGCAAGCTTTGAACGGTAGCATGAACTGGCAAGAGAATTACCTCTCCTTCAACCTGCTAGCCGACTACCTGTTCAAAACGGAAGAGTTTTATGGGGAGATAAACGCCATTGTGAACTCTACTATACCGACTTTACCGAAAGCAGCGGCCATAGCGAGACACAAGGTCGTCTGGAAGAAGAGCGCTGACACTCTGCTTAGTTTCCAGGTAATGATAGGATATATAAATTGTTGACATCTGTAGTTTTAACATTTACTATTCTGACCAGAAAAAATCAAGTGATTTTCATAAACGCTTTGGATTGAAGATAAAAGGTGCAAATATTGGCAACATTCATGTCTTGTGTTTGCACGGTGAATTCGTTAAAATTTCTCCAGTCTAGTAATGGAAATTGTTCACATTAATAAAATTAATTCAAATGTAGGTGATTAAAAATAAATGAATTGATATTTAATTGAATATGTATATTTTGTTACATTATAAATTTACTTTGTAGTTATTTATTTTATGGATAAATGGCGTTTTCTTATGGCCGACGGTGTGTTGAGCGGGAGCACGCAACAGCTGCCCGCCCCGTGCTCCCGATTAACGCAGCGCAGGCTCTAACAGTTTAAAAGGCGCTTTAAAAATTTGTACACGTCCATTAAAATTTCTCGCATAATAATAAAATTGCTAGTGCTAAGCTACCTAGTAAAGACAGACAGAAAATAAAATTATTTTCTTGTAAAATTGTCATTTCTTTTTTTAAGAATAGTCTCTGTATTCTGGTCACTATAGTCGACATCACTAATGTTTGAAATTATTTCAGTACAATGAAGATGGTGTTATGATGATCAATTCCTCGTGGACCCTGGACCGAGGACGAACCAGTAACAATATTACAGGGAAAGTCACGCTGCTTACACCGTTCAAAGTAAGTTCCTATATGTATTTATTTATTAAAATTATTCGTTTAAAAAGTCAACTTAAAATAAACTGTAATATTTCTATATATGTAATGTGTTTACTAAGGTTTTAAGTAAAAGGTGTTTAAGTAAACATAAGGTTTAAATTTAACTGTGTTTACTTAATTTAGTAATATTACATAACATCACTTAATAAAATCTTAGTTTCATTTCAACTTGTATTTTAATTAAAAATAGACTTTATGTCGTTTTGTATAGAGACTGGTTTTGTTTACAGGGCTATACAAAAGGTTTCCTCAAAACTGAATTCGTTTTGGGCCACAAACGCGACATCAAAGGCATCACATATCTAGATATGGAGGACAAAGTGGTGAAGATCTACGTTAATGGTAAATATTAAAGTACTTACTTCTAGTTTCTGAAAGACCTCATTTCCCTCCAATCGATGTGGGTTTTCTGGAATGACACGTGGCGACCAGGTGGCAGCACCATAGAGGTATAAGAATATAGTGGGGAAGGCGGCTCTAAAAGTGTCCGTCTAGTAGAAAGAGAAAGAAGATGAGAGACCGCTAGCTATCTCTCTCTCTTGTGACGCATGCGCAGTCGTCTATCCAATAGCTGGTCCAAGCATCACGTCGAAATAGTAAGATGCTTACGGTTGCCAATGCGCATGCGCGATTAGAGAGAGAAACTAGCGGTCTCGCATTTTTTTTTCTCTTTCTATTAGAGGGACACTTCTACTTTTAGTAGAGTCTATATCTCCCCTACTCTATGCTTATACCTCTATGGGCAGCACTGAGACGAAAGGTCTACTCATCAGTCAAATCGCGTATGTCGTCATAGTCTATGGATCAATTTAAATGCTCGTTCGATTAATTCGCGCCAAAAACACCTCACGTCACAGTGGCGCCAACTGGTGACGTAAATTTACATAAACATCCTGATTGGAGCTCTTATATAAAAAAGCTGTCTTATATCCATAGGTCACATGAAGAGAATAACAAACTGCATGTTGATCGTAAATGTCACCAGTCCTATGACGGATTTCTCTCAAACAACTGCTCGTTTCGGCTTCATAGAGGCTGATAGACACTTGGTGGCTATGGTTGTTACTCCAAACACTACTACAGGTATTTATGTTAATATTTGATTATGGAAACACTGGTTATTTGTAAATTTCATCACATCAAATGAAACATTTGCTTACAATGCGTCTTACTTTATATGTCGACATACAAGTAGTTAATCGTAAGGTAATAGGTTTTAGAAACAACTTGTTTGGCGGACGGTAATTTTATTAAAGAATGTGACAGTATAAACATAATTCACATAAAAAATGGGTGCGTGTACTTATGTAGGCGCGTAAGAAGTTATCCTTCTTTGGCATCGTTTAAAATTAGTTTTTAATTGCATGCAAATAATTAATTACAATAAATTAATAAAAAGTCTGGAAAAGGACACAGTCAATAAAGTTCAGTTTTAATTTGAAAAAATAAATAAATAATCAAAATATTCAATTAAAATCGCTACTGAATATAATTTATTAGAACATATGTGATTTGCACTTGTATGAAACTCAAACACGTATTCCGAATATACAAACTAGAAACATGTGGATAAATATTATAAATATGAATACCTATAACTGTTACTTTATTACAAAAAATAAAGATGTGGTTTTTTGTTCTACTACACCAATGGTCAAGAGATGGCGCTGTAGTCTCCTGAATCGCGCTTTGGTTCCGTTGTTCCAGATTAATAAATACTTTTGATAGGCCTTCACAATGCAGTCGTTAGCACCCACAAAATAGAGATTCTATTTCTATTTTGTTGGTAGATTTTCTTTATGTGCGGTAAACACAAAAGTAACAGCATCGCTTTAGCGACCAACTTCATGCTGTTAATTTTTTGTGTTACAGTGATGCGCGCGCATCTTAAAATTTCACTCTCATCATTTTTTCATAACGCGCCTAAAGAAGTATAACTTCAATAATATCTAATGATTTATTAATAATTATACATAAATTAGGTTCAATAATTAAAATATTTAAAATCACGACTGCCGTTAAAAAATGAACTTGTGTTGTTTACTTTTATGTTTATTACTTTTTAGTAAACATTTCTAGTATTTATCTCGTTTTACAGGTAGACCCGTTTACAAATGCTACTATATTTGTATAAAATTGATAAAGTCTCATTAAGACTTTTAAAATGATACCTGTATTAAAATAACTAAAAAGCTTTCTTTATTGACATAAATAATTGTCATTTTGACATTGCTGTTATTTTAATATGTTACCAGGGATAGTTTTTTTGAATGCTTGATAGGCAAGGCTTTTGACCACAATCTCGCCTCATGGAAAGCGATGATGAGCCCTAGGATGGTACACGCCTACCTAGACGATCCCTGTTTACTCTGGCCTCGAAGATGTCCAGATTGTATTGGTCCGGGAAAACTGACCTCGGCAAGGAGTTCCACTCCCTAGCCGTTCGCATAATGAAAGAGGAAGCAAATCGCTGAAAAGTTTCTAATGATAACGCATACATCTAAATAGGTTAAGGTGTTAAGAAATTATATTGGTATAAAGAATTGTACATACATACACACCCTGAACACATTACACTCGTTTTTGAGCAGTCGTATGAAAAGAAAGGTAACTTAATTAACGATGAAATGACGTATCATAATTATTGTTTACTATCGATGGTCTCTCACTCAGTCGTTTCTATCGCTATAAGATAGAGAAAACGATGTTTGCATGCGATCGAAAGGGATAACCAAACAACATTAAATATGGCTAGTCCCTAAAATAATAGGAATGATGACAAAAATTTTTTTCTTCGCCTACCAGGTATCTTTTCAAAATGTAGTGGAGACATGTTTTCTCTTTTTTCACATAATCAAATCATTAAAAAGAGATATTGATTTGAAATGTCACATGACGTCACGTCTTAGTACATTTTTCTAGTTTGAAGTGACGTCACGAACCCCCACTATCAAACTTTGACGGGCTTTAAGTTTGTTATTTGTTGTTTGCCAAAATAAAAAATAGGTGTCCTTCCCAGGATTTAAATCCAACTAACGGACTAAATAGAATTTCGGTTAATTTACACCGTCATCATCGCTATTGTTTTGAATAATCTCGCCAACTTACTTATATTGGATTATTGTTTTTCAAAAGGTGTGGAAGTGCTCCTCAAGTTGTTATCGGTGCAAGATTTCCACATATTTGGTCACGTGGCTTTGCCCGTGCAGTATTTGAACAGAGCTATTGTTACGGCCAAAAGAGCTCCCGAAGAGGTAAGTTAATTTTTCATTTATAATTTTCATTAAAAAAATATAGCTGTCCTTAAAATACCTCACATTAAAATAAAAAGATCCTAGAAATCGTGTCAGTTCCATAAATTAACAGATTAAAGTACACGTTTAAAGTCACACGTTGCCTTATTACAATATCACGACAAAGAAAGTGACAGCACTAATTTTAAACAAACTTAAAGGATAAATAATTGATGACTGAGTTTTGGCGTTAGTTTTCTTTAGGTAATTAATGTTTCCAGGGAATGAAGAATACGCGCGAGTGATACTCTAGTATTACAAGCGTCTATAGGACAGAGTATCAGTTTAACATCATTTTTATATCAATTATATCTTATATATAACTGACTCGTTCATTAGGTATTGTCTTAATATTAGTCAGTTAGTTTTATTTTATTTTTATTAAAATTATTGCGAAAATGGTATTTCCAGCTCGACTTTAGAGTGGGTTGGGGCACTATGGACTTCGGTTTCACAGGCATTTGGCACTGGCAATCAATTCTAAACTTCGTATACGTGTACAAACTGTACACTCCGCTAGAAGGATTCGAAGAGAATGGATTGGTTTTGAAAAACGTCTACGGGAATGGACTCGATACCGAATTGTCGGTTAGACTGTCGAAGCATAAGGTAAGTTACGTTTTGAATGATATGGGGCAATGTTTTGTGATCCGCAACTTTTTCATAAAACTTTATTCTTCCAGAAAATTTTATAAAATTGATAAATTATTTGCCTCTAAATATAATTGCAAAAATATTCTAATTATGAATATACTTCAAAGCATTTTTTTTTATTTTTAATATTGAATTGTTTTATACCTTAGTTGTATGTATTTAAAGCAACTCTTCATACTATACAGAACTGCAAAAATATCCAAATCGATTTTCAACCTTAGTAGTTCACGCTTAAAGTCATTTCAAGAATTTTAGCATTATGTGGTAATATAACGAACTTTTTTTCCTGCACTGATAACTATGTATATCAATATTTTCAGTTTGGTATAAAACTCCCCAATCGATTACCAACCTAGTAGTTAAGACTTAAATTTAGTTAAAGTGTTTTGGCTTTCATGAAACTGTTCTTTTTTTTCATACTCTTGATAACTAATATATCAATATTCTTTCAAAACTTTCGCGTTGCATTATAAATGTAATAATTACATCAATATTTTCAGTTCGGTATAGCTATACTTCTTCATGACAACGGCAAAGGTCTCCTGGAAGTCCTCCAGGACAGATTCCAGCACGAACGAAATACTTACGACACGTTCATAGACAACTTTGATACCAGCGCAAGGCTAGATTTGGACACTCTATACTACCCAACAGTTACTTTCCAAGCGCATCTTATGAAGGTAATATAAACAATAAATATTTTTAACATTCACATTAATAAGCCTATCCTCAAGCTTATCTGTAAGCCACACTTTCATAGACAACTTCGATACCAGCTCACTGCAAGATTTGGACACTTTATTTCCCAACAGTTTCTTTCCAAGCGCATCTTATGGAGGTATTATGAACAATAAATATAATTAACATTCACATTAATTAGCCTATCCCCAAGGAAAGCACTGTAAGCCACTCTTTCATAGACAACTTCGATACCAGCGCTAGGCTAGATTTGGACACTTTATACTTCCCAACAGTTTCTTTCCAAGCGCATCTTATGAAGGTAATATGAATAATAATTAACATTCACATGAATTAGCCTATCCCCAAGGAAAGCACTGTAAGCCACTCTTTCATAGACAACTTCAATACCAGCGCTAGGCTAGATTTGGACACTTTATACTTCCCAACAGTTTCTTTCCAAGCGCATCTTATGAAGGTAATATGAACAATAATTAACATTCACATGAATTAGCCTATCCCCAAGGAAAGCACTGTAAGCCACTCTTTCATAGACAACTTCAATACCAGCGCTAGGCTAGATTTGGACACTTTATACTTCCCAACAGTTTCTTTCCAAGCGCATCTTATGAAGGTAATATGAATAATAAATATAATTAACATTCACGTTATTTAGCTTATCCCCAAGGTAAATACTGTAAGCCACACTTTCAAAGACAACTTTGATACCAGCCCATGGCTAGATTTGGACATTTTGTACTACCCAACAGTCACTTTCTTATTTTTTTCCTATAAAGGTAATATGAATATCCTTAATTATATATATAAACGGACAGTGGGAATTTAATTTAAGACATTATGACTATATAAACTCATCACTCACTCATCATCAGCCTTATTAATGTCCCTACTGCTGGGGCACAGGCCTTTCGTACGGATGGAAAAGGAAGATCGTGCCAAGTCCCACCACACGGTCCCAGTGCGGATAAGTGCAGACCAACGACTGCAAATGCAGCCGATACCGACGGCTCAATATGCTTTCCCAAGGCTAAAACTAACTTGGCCATCTTTGTAAACCTCATATTTTGTATGTCATTTACGTAGACAGCGGCGTCCTCGCTGGGGGTCTATTCGGTTACTTCGAAACGAACTTTTGATAACGAAGTGCAAAAGAAATTTAATTTCGTCAATTTAAAGTTATACTTAATTTGAACGATAAACTATCAAATTCAAGCTTTCTTTGAGTAGGCTTAGAAAATCTTCACCTCAATCTATATTCCGACGACAAATATTATTGTAATCAAAAGCGAACGAGAAACATAGTAAGAAAAGTGCGAAGTTTCGATCAAAATTTCGTTTTTCGTTGAATTAGAGTAGGCCTCCTGAACTGTCACTCACGTTCATAAAGATCCTTCTCGCACTATAATGTACCTAATTGATTTTTCAAACAACATTATATTCTTATAGTTCGTCGGTATAGATGAAGAGGACATTATGGAAGTGAACGCAACTCTACACTTACCGGACAAACCACCGATTATTCTCACCGACGTCTTCATATTGGAGGTAAGTTTTCTGATAACACTTTAAGTTATTAGCCTTAAGCTAATAGCATTCTGGGTAAATAAAAAATATAGGAGTTTTTTTTATTGTTCATTGTGATACAAATTAAGAATTGTCACTGATATTTACAAAAATCAAAGAAATCACTCAGAATCTACTCATTAATAAAATATGTGTTTTCTAAAACTCTGCCTGGGTTATTTAAAAGCTTTTTAGTGTGCCGAAACTTCAAACTTCTATTTCACCCCTCCAAGTTTTGTTTTCACGACCAAAGGTAACCTTCTCAAAAGTTGCGTTTATCTTCATACCAAAATTCATCAAACTCGGTTTAGCTGCTTAGACGTAAAAGCTTAACCGACAGACAATTAGACAGAATTATTTTAACTTTCATATTATTTGTACGTATAGATAAAATAAAATTATCTTGTCTTATAACATGTGCAGTCGAACTGCAACTTGCAAAACGAATATATCTTAGTGCTTTGTTATAAAACCTTCAATCGTATATCATGTTTTTTGTTTCAGTCTTACACCGTAATGACGAACACTTTGAACCTAGTAACGCCATTCCAAGCGATAAAGGAACTCAAGTCTGTATATACCGTAGATATTACTATAGGAGAGAAGTTTAATGTTTCTTGTCTCGCTCTACTCTACAACGGCACTTATTGGCACGAGGTTAGTATTTTATGATTGTTTGGTGTTTGCGTATTTGTAACTAGTTTGTTCGGAAAAGAAATTACAAGACGCTAGTTCACGAGATATGATACCAAAATAAGTCTGTGCTCCTGTGTAACGCTTTTCTGTTTTTGTTTAGTCAAATAGGCAATCAAAGTATTTTTTTTTGCGATTCGTCCATTGCGATTTTTTGAAAAAACATCACAAACAGACCATTGCCAATAACAAGCAGCTTTTGTTAAAGTCTTGTACCTTATTATTATTTTTCTTGTACCTTGTTTAATACTTTTTGATATGGAGACGATTTCATAAAATGATTTCATTTTAGATTTATATCCATCTAACCTTGAATAAAGTATCAGAAAAAAATCTATCACCCTATTTCACGCAGTATTGATTTAGGTGGCGGCAAAACTCTTGGGCAAAACCACAGACAGAATAAAACTGCGCAGGAGACGTTTTTGTATGTAAAATTGCTACTGCGCAGGCTCCCTTGTTTATGGTTGTTGCTCAAGAAGTTTGCCGGGGTGTATACTCAATCCCCGTTTTTCAGATATCATACAAAGTATACTACGAAACGGAATCAGGTGAAGACGACACATATCAATCGTACCTAGCTTCGGTCGGTATAGTGACCCCTTTGATAGTTCTACCGTCTTTAGAAGCTAAAGTTTCTGCGAGATTAGAAGAAGCTTTATGGAAGATGTCAGCTGATATAGCCATGCCTTCCTTCGTAGTCACCGCTTTGGCTAGACTTGAGGTAAGTTCTTCATCATCATCAGCCTATTAATGTCCCCATTACAGGCCTTCCCTGTGGATGGAATAGGGAGATTGGGCCATGACCAACCATGCGGGCACAGTGCGGGTTCCCGGGTGCTAACGACTGCAGATGCAGCCGGGACCAACGGCTTAACGTGCCTTCCGAAGCATGGAGGAGCACGAGATAGTAAATTTTTGGTCACCCATCCAATGACCGACCACTGCGAAAGTTGCTTAACTTCAACGATCGCAGCCGAACGCGCTAACCACTTCCGCCATCGTGCTCCTCTAAGTTCTTAGTTTAATATAATTTAATGTCAGGCATTTAACTGCATGATTTGTAAATCTTTTATTGGAAACTTTTCCACTTGAACCTGAAAAGCAGCGCTATTTCTTCGCATTGCAGGTATATTCACAACAGTTCTTAGTTTGCCTTAACGTTTACTAATATGTATATATGTATTAAGATTTCAGTACTTGCTCATACAAGTATATAGTTTATAAGTCGAATAGTCGAGAAGTTCTCTCTAGTTTTTTACTTCTTTAAATGGTACTGAGTGGTTAATTTGTTAAATATTTTTAAGAAATAATAATTTTAAAAAGAAGTCTGGATATTCATTACACATAAATTGAGTTTTATATTTATTTTACAATGTTGATATCTTGTTATTAATAAAATTCAAGATTATCAACAGAAGTTGAAATGTACAAACCCATTTGAATCTCAATTCTTTTTTCGGTTACACATACCTATTATTAAATATTGCATTTGGCTCTCATTTTCATATTTATGAAGTCACAAGATCCAGCAGTTAAATGCTTAATAAATAAAAATATAATAAACTACAATTACCATAGAGTAACACGGAAGAGTTAGCCATAGCGATAGCGCCATAGTAATATCAAATAATTCTGTCATTTTTTGCCGGGAGGGGGGGGGGATATCGACACAAACGCAATTAAACGTACACGCATATAAAACAAAACTGTAAAAACGACACTCACACATAAACAATAAAATAATACATCGCCAAATCTTACACATGTATCGTTTGTATGCCCAATTTGTATGCTCAACTCGGCAGAGGGGACAGTTATTGCATGCCTACTACCCTCCTGGCCACGTTGGCCGTGTTGCTCTAGAACAATCGCTATTATATTATATATTCTTTCAAATGTTTAATTCGTTTGACATTGTGGGTTACTTACAAAGCGAAGAGATGGCGCTGCTTTGTAGCCTATGAAATACTAGAAGAATTTCAGACACGGCCATTAAGGTTTCGGTAGCATAATTGGACAGTGCATTCGCCCGGATAGCGGAAGGTGCTGGTTCGAGTCCCGGGTCTGCTTCTTGGACCGCGTGGAATATTTCTAGTAAAATTTTCTTTAGGATTAAAATTAATTAAAAACAATCGCCATTCCAGCTAGATGATCCCTTCGTAGAGACCTCAGGTCATCTCAACCTGACGTCTCCCTACCTTGAGGACTACTTCATCAAGATGGAGTTTCGCAAGGACTTCTCGGAAACTGATAATATGGTCGGCGGCGGTATTCATATACAACAAGGCGACCAGAATAACTACGTGAGTTCTGTAATGATTATATTATGGAAAGGTAATACTTTTGCTTGCCATCAAGGTGTCACCTACTCGAGAGGTCGAGAGTTCGAATCCCAGTGGGGGTAGATGTTTAGGTGATGAAGAGGAGCATTTGTACTCCAGTCATGGATGTTTAATATGTGTTTCTATATAAATATACTTATATATGTACAACATATGTATTCTATCCGTTCTACCTAGCATGCCATAATACAAGCCCTACAGTGCTTACTTTGGGCAAGGTTAATTGGTGTTAAAAAAAACTTTAATTTAAATGCTATTTCTTCATACAGTTATACGCAGAAACGGAATGGCGTCCTCCACCCAACCGTCACATACAGTTCAAAGCTCGTGGCGCTTTAGTTCCAGTATTACCGCCTTCGGAGCTAGCCATACTATTCTCTGAAGAAGACGGGGAGAGAACTCTAACCACAGATTTCTCAAGCGAAGACACTTATTACTCGCTAAAAGCAGACCAGAGGCCTACGTCGATCAGTATAGCGCTGGGAACGCCACACGAACGATTTAGGTAAGTTAATTGTTTACTTTCAGCACCTATCACAATACCTTTTAATTTAAATATTAGAAAGTGTTCTTGGAAGTTTATATCGCTGATATTTGTCAAGTGATTCTGATCACCAAGTGGTTAGATTGCAAAGAATAAGACAGCTTCGAAATAAGCTCACCCAGCCCCTCTAGCATGACCACCGAAACGGGATATGATAAAACTTTTTATCGAATCTCAACTGTCAAACTCCACAGTAGTCTTGACAGTTAATGCCGATATATTGTGATAGTATGAAAATAATTTAATAAATATGTATTAATAATACAACGCAACATTGAATGACACGAAAGTAGGCCACGTGAAATGCTGATGTTTTGTAATAATATTGTGTGTTATATTTTATAAGTGTGTGTGTGTGTAACTACGTAGTGCACTAATATTATAAATAAGTATGTTTTGTACCATTAAGCCTTCTTCAATAAATGGACACCAACCTATCTACGTCTTTGTATTTATTATAACCTGCCGCTATCACCCAACATACCACATGGCGACCCTGCGAAATTTGGAAGAAAAATTATAGAAATAAATTGAAGAAAGAAGATATCGAAACTGAACTGAACGTCAAGTAAGAAGAAGTTTGAAGATTGAAAATTATTATGAAGCATCTTATTTTTGGGGCAATCGTAGCAATTACTATTATATTTTTGGCCGTACTCTTATATGTGGTTTACCTTTGCAACATTTATCATTAGAGATCACCATCATCGCCAATTACCAATAACAATGTGCCGCAGCTCACAGTCCAAAGAAGAAATTATCATCGCTCAAAACGCCGGTGGAAGCGCTCAAGTAACGAAGACCAAGTTGAACCTTACCGAGATACTGCTCATCACGCTATTCGTCATTCTGTTCGTCGCTGCCGCATACCTATTGTACAAGAAGTGCCGAAGAAATGCTATTCTTTCGTTGAGAAGGGAGCTCAACCACAGCACCTTGGAAATGCAAGCAAGACCATCAAATTAGGAAGTCCCCGTCCCGGCCGTCAACAGGAACAGCAGCACGGGCCACGTTGTTTGATGTCAGCAGAACGTGACCGCCACAAGAACGCCGCCCGCCGCAGCTCGTGACGTCAGCAAGTGAATTGGAAGAAAATATATGTAGGTACAATTTAGCTGCTATTTCTAGAATTCAATTATGAGTTATTTTATTAAATTAGAAGTAATAGATAGTTATGTCTCATAAATTAGTTGAATTATATAGTAAGTTACAGGAAATAAAAGTATATTTAAGTAAAATAGGCCCTGAACGTAGAAAGAAAGAAATCGGTCAAACTAAATTAAAAGAAGCCAATGTCATTTATTTGCAACTAGAGTATATTTTGTGTGAAATTAAAGCTAATATTAATAATTCTGAGATAAGTGCCGAAGATCTTATTAAAGTTAATTCTATAGTAAATAATATTCATTTAATTTATAGTGAAATAAATAAATTAGTTACTTTTTCAACTAGAAATCCCGATAGTTCTAAAACTGTAAAAATGGCAGATACAATGTCCTTTGACTTTAAAACGGCTATTAGTTTACTTCCCATAATGACTGGTCAGGAACATGTCACCAAACAATTAATCGACGGTATAGAAATGTATAGTTCTAAACTTGATGAGACATCGAAAAATTCACTTATAGATTTTGTATTAAAAACAAGATTATCTCCTAGCGCGAAACTTCGCTTACGCGGTAGCTATACTACAGTTGATTCATTGCTCAGTGACATGAAAAATTATTTAGTACAAAAAAAATCGGCAGTCGCTCTTCAGTCTCGGTTACAAAATGTAAAACAGGGAAATAGGTCAATAGAAGCATTCGGTAATGAACTAGAAGATATCTTCTCTAATTTGACATTAGCACAGGCCGATGGCGATAGTTCAAAATATGACGTATTGCGACCAATTAATGAAAAGATCGCTATAAAACGCTTTGCCGATGGTTTGGCAAACTCTAGATTGAGTATTATTATTGCATCAAAGGAATTTCTTTCTCTTCCTGAGGCAATCCGTAGTGCTATAGACGAGCAGACGCTTTCTACCAGTGGGGAACAAGTTATGAATTTTCGTCACCACCCTAAGTCCACGAAAATATTTCATTTTATTAATAAAGGGTTCCGCGGTAGAAATATTGGCAATAATTATTATAGTAACTCGCGTGCTCAATACGGTAACCCGATCCAGTCGCATAATGTGAGCGCGCCGCGCACGTTTGCGCCGCGACGTGGTTCCGCTCGAGGTCGAGGCGCACCCTCCCCGGCCGCGCGCTGGTCAACGCCAGGCGCGCAGTATCAGCCCCGTACACGAGGCCATTCCCGTGTCCACCATACGTACTGCGACACTGAGGTAAGGCAGCCTCGAGCTCCAACCTCAACCATGAGTGAGAGTCAGTTTTTTCGTTCCTCAAACGAAAACAGAGCATGTAGTTCTCAATTATAATACTTCGAGTACGGTAGCTTTTAGTTTAGGAGATAGGGTAATACATTTATTAATAGACACTGGTGCCAGTTTATGTGTAATTAAGTATGAATATTTAGCTAAGGTATTTAGTGATTTGAAAAATAAAATTGTTCCCGAAAGACTAACTATTAGAGGTGTTAGCGGTAGGTTAATATCAGAAGGTTACATTTATTTAGAATTAAGTAGTAACAGTATGACTTTTAGACATAAATTTTACGTATTTAAGAACCTGTCATGCTCTGCAGATGGAATAATAGGTGATAACTTTTTAAAACAATATTTAGCGTTAATTGATTATGGTAAAGGCATTTTAAGCCTAACTCAGTCGTCTAAATCGATAAGTATGTGTATAAATAACAGGTATAAACACAACATACCTGCGAGGTGTGAAACTATTAAGTTCATACCTACGAATATAACCGACGATTGTGTCGTCCTTGCGAATGAAATAAGAGAGGGAGTATTTATTGCAGGTGTTTTGTCGAGGCCTAGAAACGGGCTTATCCCGATTAGAATATTAAATACGACGGAAAATGACCTAATTTATGATTTTTCTCATTTAGAAGTATATAGTTTGCATCATTTCGATGTTTGTAATTTTTCGGAAAGGGAAATTTCCGTAAATCGTGTAAAAACATTATTTGAGCTTCTTAACCTAGGTTATTTAAACAAAGATGAACGACTTAGCATTGAGTCTATTTGCGCTAAGTACGCGGACGTGTTTCATCTCCCAGGTGATAAACTGTCAGTCACTAATTTAATGGAGCATAAAATTACTTTAAAGGATAATGCGACTCCTGTTTATATAAAACCCTACAGAATACCACACTCTTTAAAACCAGAGTTACGTAAACAAATACAGGATATGTTAGACAACGATATTATTGAGGAATCCACCTCGGAGTGGTCTAGTCCCGTCTTGCTTGTTCCGAAAAAGACCGACAAAAATAATGAAAAGAAGTATAGGTTTGTCGTTGACTATAGGCAATTAAATAATAGAATTCAAGATGATAAATTTCCACTTCCCAATATTACAGATATTTTAGATTCCTTATCAAATTCTATGTATTTTTCAAAATTAGATTTGTCCCAAAGTTATTATCAATTAAATTTAAATGAAAATTCAAGAAAATACACTGCTTTCCATTTAGATAGAATGTACCAATTATCCCTTCATCCCGATTCACGTAAGTGCACCGCTTTCACAGCTGATAAAATATACCAAATGAAGCGTTGTCCAATGGGACTTAAAACTAGCCCTAGCGTATTTTCTCGTTTGATGACTATAGCTATGTCTGGATTGAATTATAATCAATGTTTTATTTATTTAGACGATTGTATCGTTATAGGAAATTGTATAGAAAATCATAATAAAAACCTAATTTCTGTGTTAGAACGCTTAAGAAAAGTTAATTTAAAACTAAACCCTTTAAAATGTGAATTTTTACGAACAGAGATAGTATACTTAGGACATAAAATAACAAGTAAAGGCATATTTCCTGATCCAAGCAAAATAACAACCTTGCAAAGTTATCCGACACCGACTAACGTTGACGAGGTCCGAAGATTCGTGGCCTTCGCTAACTATTATAGACGATTTATTTTACATTTCGCTGAAATTGCACATCCACTAAATAGACTTTGTAAAAAGAATGTTGCATTTAATTGGACAGCTGATTGTGACGAAGCATTCAAAAAATTAAAATCTGCTTTAATAAAACCCCCAGTTTTGGATTATCCCGATTTTTCTGAAAATAATATTTTTAAATTGCAGACTGATGCCTCAAGAACAGGTTTAGGTGCAATATTATCCAATGGGAATGATAGAGTTATTGCATACGCAAGTAGAAGTTTAAAGCCCGCTGAGACGCGATATCCGATTATAGACTTGGAGCTATTAGCCATAGTTTGGGCAGTGAGGCATTTTCGACCTTATTTATATGGTAGGAAATTCCAAATTCTAACCGATCACAAGCCTCTTATTTATTTATTTTCTATGACAGATCCTTCCAGTAGGCAAACTAAATTTCGTTTATATTTAGAGGAATATGATTTTGAGATAGGCTATGTCCCAGGACGACACAACGCGGCTGCAGACGCATTGAGTCGCATCCCGGTGACATCGGATGATTTAAAAAATATGCGTGAACACTTAGTATCAGTACTTACTAGAGCACAAACAAAAAAAAATAGTCGTAATGAAAACTGTGACTTAGAGAATTATAGTAAGCCTGAAAATTTGCATAGTCATGGGACTGATCACCCCTTGGCCGTGGAAATTCTCAAGCCACCACCGGATATTATCGAATTATGTTTTAGTCACTCGGTCAAATATGACGGAAACGACGAAGTTTTTACGTCCTCAAGTGGAAATTGTGTATATGTACCAAAGCGGTCAATAATTTATCTAAATGCTCGATCGCTATCAGCTGTAGAAGCGTTAGCGAGAGATTTAGAGAGTTTTTGTAGTAAGTTAAATATCTTAGAATTGCTTATTATCAAAAATAAAATATATGAAGGACATATTAAGTTACTTGCAAGTACAATTAAAAAACTAAAGTTGAGTCGGCCGCGATTATTGATAACTAAAGATGTTAAGCGTATCAGAAATGAGGACGAAAAGATAGTTATATTAAATGACTTCCACTTGTTGCCCACCAGTGGGCATGCTGGGATAAATAGAATGCTAAACAATATTAAAAAATACTATTTTTGGCCAGGCATTACAAAGGATGTCGTTAATTATGTCAATAAATGTAAGCTTTGTCAAATAAATAAATACACCAATAGATACATTAAGGAACCTATGTCATTAACGACTACCCCTAATTCGTCTTTCGAAAGAATTAGTTTAGATATAATGGGACCATTACAAGTTGACGATTACAATCATAGGTACATACTAACTCTACAGTGCGACCTAACAAAGTTCGTTGAAGCGTATCCCTTGCAGCGCAAAGACGCCGAATCAGTAGCGAGAGCTTTTGTAAATAATTTTATCCTTAGATATGGAATCCCAAAAGAAATAATTACAGACCAGGGAACAGAATTTCTTAACGAAATTATGACCGAAATATGTAGCTTATTAGGTATTAAAAAATTACAGTCCACTGCATATCACCATGAAACTATGGGATCGTTAGAAAATACTCACAAACATCTCGGCACTTTTCTAAGAATACAATGTGAGAGTCACAAAAGCAATTGGAGTAGTTGGGTTCCGTACTGGTGTTTCTCATTCAACACCTCGGTACACACGCAAACAAAATATACTCCCTACGAGCTAGTGTTTGGAAAAAATTGTATTTTACCTAGTAACTTAAGTGACTCTGTAACTCCCTTATATAACTATGATGACTATCCTAAGGAACTTCGACATAGACTACAAAGAGCACTGTGTGATGCGCGAAAAAATTTATTGACTAATAAATTATGTAGAAAAAATACATTTGATAAAAATAGTTACCCGATAACATATAAAAAAGGAGATTTAATTTTGGTAAAAAATCAAATAAGAGATAAGTTAGATAGAGTGTATAACGGCCCTTATGAAGTAATAGAGGAATTGTCACCTAATGTAAAGATATTAAAAAATAATAGAGAGTACGTAGTACATAAGAATAATACGAAACTTTATAATGATAATATTTAGCTGAATGTATGTGGTTGAAAAAAAAATGTAACACTTTTTTTTTCTTTTTTGAGGAGAGGGGTGTAATGGAGATTTTTGGGGGGCGTGTGATAGTATGAAAATAATTTAATAAATATGTATTAATAATACAACGCAACATTGAATGACACGAAAGTAGGCCACGTGAAATGCTGATGTTTTGTAATAATATTGTGTGTTATATTTTATAAGTGTGTGTGTGTGTAACTACGTAGTGCACTAATATTATAAATAAGTATGTTTTGTACCATTAAGCCTTCTTCAATAAATGGACACCAACCTATCTACGTCTTTGTATTTATTATAACCTGCCGCTATCACCCAACATACCACAATATCGCGTTATCATATCCCGTTTCGGTGGTCATGCTAGAGGACAGGCCCACTTGCACCAACTTTGCTAAAACTCGATTTAACTACAAAATTTGTACATTTTTTTTAAATGACAATTAACATTCTTGTATGGGCTAAATCTAGTTTTAGTTAAATCGAGATTTAGCTAAGATGGTGCAAGTAGGTCTTATTCTCTGAAGAAGATGGGGAGAGAACTTTAGCCACCGATTTCTAAAGCAAGGATACTTATTACTTTTGAATGTTCAAATCCAAACTTACTTATTGTTAACGCACCAATATCACTTTTATAATGCTTACGATACTATTTTCCAACAGAGCTGTAAAGATAATCAGCAATTTTGAAGCTGACGACATCACGGGTTCGTTCGTGACCGACACCATGGAATACGCCATCACTGGTAAAGTCCTCAGTCGGGAGCCGATGGAAGTGAGTATTGGATCATCATATTAACATAATCTATATCTTGTTATCATTAAATACGTACTGACTTGTGTTGATAAATGAAACATACCCTATTGTACCGTACAAATATCGTATCTACAATAATAACTTTATTTCCAGATGTCAGTAAACCTAGTTCCCAAAGGCGATGGCAAGTCTATAGCCATCCATATGAAGTTCGAGTCATCTCCCACTCTATACAGTATGTTGGCACATGTCTCCGGGCCAGTACAGGCCACTATACGGGCCGGCGCTGCCATGGAGAACAACTATACTGATATATACTTCAAGGTAAGTGAATTTAGTCCTCAAAAGAAGAGCTCAGATAAAGTAAGACTCCTTTTTATTCTTTATGTAGCAAACTGGTATATGTACTAGTGTCTGGGCCAGTATAGAAGTCTAAAATACCAATCAATAAATGATTCATAATATGTCTTTAAAAATCTTAAAATACAAAATATTCTCTGTAACATCAAATGAATATGATAATGTCAAATTGAAGAATTCTTAAATGAAACTTTTTATGTTTCATACGAATGTCGCTATTTGAAACTCCAGGCCACTTTACAGGCCGGGGTAGCTATGGAGGACAACTAAGATCTATACTCATGTCTACTTCAATGTCATTGGGATTGATGGCATTGACCATAGACGCTTTTAGAATGTTTTTAGCACGAGAAATACATAGCCGTATACATAAAAATATGCCAAAAGCATGCAAAGCTCTTCCTGGTTTTAATTCAATCTGATACCTCTTTCTTTACCACATGTCGACATTGGTATAAAATTAATGTAATATTTGACATTTCAAAGCCCTATTTATTGGCTTTTAGTTCCCAATAACTGAATTATATTTATTTAAATGTAATATGAGGATAACCTAATTTGGCGGTAATTATAATCAATAAAAAATATGTTTCAGAGGTCTAAAATTAAAATCCTTAAAAAGTCAATAGGGAATACTCTATTACCTTTGTATTGTCCCTTCATCAATCTTTTTGAACCTAGTAACTGTCGACTTGTTTGTTTTGTTGATATAAACTATGACGCCAATTTCCAAAATAGCTTTTAAAATGCCCGCCCTTTTATCTATTGAATAAAAATATGAAACATCATATTTACAATTTTTGAAGTGAAACTTCTTTTAGCACGCTTGACTTGGGGGGTAAAATGGCGAATGTGTGACGATTTTTGCGTTACGCGCGCATCGGTGTCTCATCGGTAAACAATGAACAATACCCGTCACAAATTAGATGAATAGTTCATGAATCAAAATACTAGTGCTTGGTGAGTGATAACGGACCCAGTGCGGATTGGTGGGTGATAACGGACCCAGTGTGGATTGGTGGGTGATAACGGACCCAGTGCGGATTGGAGGGTGATAACGGACCCAGCGCGGATTGATTTTTTTCTATCAACAAATCTTCAGGTTAAGTTTATGATTTTCAGATCATTGGAGTTAAAGAAGTTTCACTTCAGTCGTGGTTTTTTCTGGGTAAAATTTCTTCATACATATCTGGATAAATAATAACATTATCCCCCTTCCACCCAGATGGATTCACCTCAAATACAGAACAAGGAAATGTACTTCAAGACCCACGTAGACGTTTACCCTGGCCTCAGACGCGCTATAACCGTACAAGCGGCCACGCCCCTCAAAAGGATCAGCTTTATTAAAGGCGACGCGGATTTTGTGTACGTAGCTTACACAGTTTTGTTAGGTCTTAAGACAGATTTAATTTCTGCCTTTGTCTAATTACATCGCGAATGTTAATATTTGTGCTTGTGGGGCACAGGCCTTCCATACGAATAGAATAGGGAGATTGGGCAATGACCGAAAACTACCCGGATTGGTGGGTGCTAACGACTTCAGGGCGGGATCAACGGCCTAACATGTTTTCCGAAGCACGAAATAATATTTTTGGACGCACATCCTATGATCGAAATTTGCTTAAATTACACGTTAATGCATTCACACACTGCACCATCGAACTCCTGAAAAATTGAATATTTAGCCAATGATAGATTTTCCTGTCCCAATAAAAAAAACACTAACCACTCATAGTATTGGTAGAGAAAGATGTTTGTTTCTTTTTTTGGTCAAGCAATCATAATCGCCTAATAATTGACTTCTATGTTATTATTGCTTAAAGGAAATTATAAACAATAGAAAAGACGATGTCAAATAGCATAATATTGGTGTCGATTCTGGCATGATTCTCTAAACTTAAAACTAAATTAAACATCAGTCTCTCCTTTTCATTCTGTATGGGGAGAATGATAAGGATACACTGTTGTAATTTTTTTAAGGTTTGAGTACCCTAATATAATCGACACCATTGAAATAATTGTATCGATTCTACACCATCGAGTAAGACATTAGACCCCTTATTAATGCACGAAGACTAAGCTTGGATTAGTTACTCTATTTTTTGTCTCTGTTCTTTTAATTACAAATGGTATGTGAGTGATATGAACAAAACAATTTGTGTTTATTAATTTTATAGGTTCGGTCCAAAAACTGGTTACTTGCTTTGTAACTACGAGTTGCCGGATATGAAGGGAGAGGGGGATCTCAAATGGAGCTTCCTTATTGGTGATCTCTTTATAAAGGTATGATCTTCGTATTAATATTGCCGTTATTATTGATGTCTCTGCTAAACTTTATCCACAAATTTTTTTTTCTTAATTAGTTTTCTTTAAGTACTGAATGAGGGCGCTTAGGAAAATTTACGCCACCAGTTGGCGCCACTGTGACGTGAGGTCTTTTGTATGAAGTTTTTTGGCGCGAATTAATCGAACGAGCATTTAAATTGATCCATATTACTACAAAGTTGATTTGAAGGATGAATAGACATTTCGTCTCAGTGCTGCCTGCATATACATATATGTTAAAATAAACTATAAACATGGCTTATTCTAAGGCCCTCATAAAGTAAACAGAGAGTACATTTTGTTTATTTTTGGCTTTTTAGTGCAGTAAATAAAAGGGTGTTTTTAGTTTTTTAAACTATTAATTTATTTCTTCTATAACTATATAACAAACCCCGTGTATCTCTTACACATTATTGTAGGCCATAGGCCACCAGCTGGTAAAGAAGACTGAGAAGAGCGTAGACCTGGACATCTACTTCGGGAACAGCACTTCCTCAGACGGACTGGTCTCCACTGATGCTGGCTTTAGAATGGACCTGGACCGCATATGGCAGTCAGTTTGTTGATATTTCATAATACTAGCGCCTACCCGCGACTTCGTACGCGTGGAGTTAGTTAGAAATAAAAGTTCACTGCTCGTTCCCCGTAGGTGATAGCGTGATAATATGTAGCCTATATGTTGTCCCGACTTCTTAATAACATTCGTGCCAAATTTGAAGTACTTTTTGAGTTTATCCCGGACATAAATACAGACAAACAGACAAAAATTCTAAAAACTGTATTTTTGGCTTCGTTATCGATTGTAGATATACAATCACAGTACACCCCAATTATTCTTTTAAAAAATATACTATGTACAGTTTTGACTTTCCTACCATTTTATTATATGTATAGATGTTAAACCTTCATATACATATACCAATACCCTACTTCCTTATCTTTAATGCTTCCTCCTTTCCATTTTCCACACGAGCGCTGCGTCGCCTTCGATAACCCTGGAATGCATATGCTACTAGAAAAACATGCTTGTTTGCTACTAGGTAGTATGCTCATTTATAGCATACACATTTGCTCATGAAAGCACATACCTTGGAGGCATACTTTTACGAGCATGCTTCTTTCGAGCATGTCTGAGATACACATGCTTAATGAGGATCCTCAACGATTATAGTTGAGAATACAGATTTACACAGCTAAGGATTCCGTAAAGTACAGTGGTAATTTTTTTGCTCTACAACAAATATTGACGAAGTTATGACCTTACTAAACGAATTTTCGGCTGGCCACGTGGTGGCTGTGACGTCACAGAGCTCTAGCACTCGGGCGCGAGCGTGCCTACAGACACTACTAAAGTTCGACCGGAGTCAATCGCGATCGAGCTCACTGACGTCACACATTTCAGCCGCCGGCGAATTTTGGGCACCATAAAATTTGTTATAAAATCGCGACGAATAAAAAAAAATTTAAAAAAAAGTAATGATCTTCATTTAGCATTCAAAACGGACGACTCTTTGTGGAATAAATTAAATTCATTTATATAATTTCTTTTTAACACACTTTTTAAAAGTGGGTCAATTAATATCGTTTATAGATTCTTAAATAGTAAAACAACGTTTCTAGAGAAAATGCATATAAAATGCATTTTCATGATATTCTGTTACATTTTTTGTAATTTACGTTGTGACCGTACATTCCATAAACATTTATAATTTTGGGTATAGAAATATTAAATTTAAATTTTGTCATCGCCTGATCTAGCCAACGTGACTACGCAAAAAAATCAAGAAGCATGCTCGCGTAGAATACGTTCTATGGCGCGCTATTTAATGAGAGGGTGGTTGCTCTAAAGCAAGTCTGAACTTGCTTGAAATTGAAATTCCTCGTCTTACACCATGCAGGTAGTCTGCTCTGCATCTGCTCGAAACTAGCATGTTTTTGTGCTATTACGTCGCATTTGTATTCAAGTCTTTACGCTATTTAATACTGCGTCGCCGCGTCGCCGTCCGTCGTTTCAACGCATCATGTGGCATGTCGTTCAGATTTATTTGTAAATCGACTTAGTCGACGCAGCGCTAGGGCAACGTACTGACAACGCCCATATGGCATCACCCTTAGCTCCCCCCCCCCCCCTTCTTTCCACTCCCCCCTTATACTTCATTCTCCTTCCTCCTCATCCTTCCTAAATCATCATCATCATCATCAGCCTATTAATGTCCCCACTGCTGGGTGCTAACGACTGCAGATGCAGCCGGGACCAACGGCTTAACGTGCCTTCCGAAGCATGGAGGAGCACGAGATAGTAAATTTTTAGTCACCCATCTAATGACCGACCACTGCGAAAGTGGCTAACTTCAACGATCGCACCCGAACGCGTTAACCACCTGCGCCATCGAGCTCCTCCTTCCTAATTAGCTGTTGATATCTTCTTTTTAAATCATGAAAAACAGTGTTTTGTTCTACTGTCATGTTACCGAAGGTTCCTACGAAAATGACGTCAAACATAAAACTTGCTATCAAAGTAACTGTGGCATATATATATGACATGCCATATCGTCCCGAGAAACGTGTCCGAGAAATATTTGAGCAAATAATGTTCAGTTTCTTTATTTTTTGATGAAATACACAACATACATATAGGGATTTTCAACAAGAACTTTGTTTTCTAAAACAAGATGAAACAAAAAAATTAGATGAAGATGATTAAATTTTTTATTGAATTACAAAGAGAAAAGTTCGGCAATTATGAATGAAAAATGATCTTGCAAATGTCCACCACGAGCACGCTGACAGATGTCGATTTTTTCATCAAAGTTTTTAATCACTGTTTGGCAAAATGGCGGGACTATTTCGTTAATCACATCACGGATTTTGAGTTTTAAGGCTGCAAACTGCTCACGGCTGCGATGCTTTCAGTTGAACGACCCGGACGAACACGCGATGGTGTTGGCACATTTTGTATCGAGCCTGTCAACTCAAATTTAACGACCAAATTCTTAATAGCGGTCTCAGCAGGACGATTATGTTGTCCGAAAATATCACGAATTTGACAAAATGTAACTGTAACAGAACCACTATTTTAATAGTGGATTTTAATTATTTTAATTCGATTTTCAAGCGAAATTGAATTCATTGTAACAATTGCCAATGCATCTTCTACGAATACGTCAAAAAACTAAATGTGAAAACTATCATATTGTTGGTGTAGCCACAATTCAAAAACAAAGTTCTTTTGTTGAACAACCCTATACATACATTTCTACTTTTAATAGATCCTTAAATATTACTTAATAAATCTTAGGTTGTTTTCTAAAACTTTTCATTTACCCTTTTATCACAGAATCGGTGGCAACGCATCATTCGGCTACATAATGGATCAGCGAATCAGTCTACTCATTAACGCGATATTACCCAAACCCAACGTGGACGTACACACTCTAAGAATAGAAGGATCCCTGGGTGGTAACACTGATCCGACCAAGTCTTTAGACGCGGAGTATAGGACAGACGTGACCAAGATCATCACTGGACTCAAGGGAACTGTGAGTATCACACTAATATTATAAAGGCGAAATTTTGTGATTGTGTATGTTTGCTTCTTCTTCACGTCTAAACGGCTGGAGCAATTTTAATAAAATTTAGTATGGAGTTAGCTGACACCCTGGATTAATACATAGGCTACGTTCTACTGCGGGAAAATATCCTTAATAAACCGCGGGGCACAGCTAGTATTAAATATGCGCGATTTCATACAAATTACGGAATCAGTGACTGTATCATATCGCACTTGCAAAATTTACTAATTTGATATAATAGCTCTTAAAATGCTCTTAAAGTTGACTTTCGGTGTTTATCATCACCATCTTCCATCTTACTCTTACTCTCATAAATTTTAATGGCATAGAATAATAAATAAATATTTCCAACACTTACTTAACCAATTAGCCTAACCCCAAAGAAAGCACTGTAGGCTTGTGTCATGGGAGACTAGGGTAACGGATAGAATACTTAAACTGTACGTATTATTACATTTAAAAAAAATATTAAACATCCATGACTGGAGTACAAATGCTGTGCTGTATTCATCACACAAACATCTGCCCCCACCATGATTCGAAACCGGGACCTCTCGAGTCGGCGACACCTTACAAACCATTCGGCCACGGAGGTCGTCAACCGAACTTTACCTAATTAAATAGAATAGAACTCGACAAGACGAAGTCATTTGATTGGTTTGGTTAGATTCACAGCTGGACTCGGCAGAGTGGCGCTGCAGGGGTTGCGGGATCAATGGGTTTTCAAATTTTAATCGGACAGAATAACGTCTGCCGGGTCCGCTAACTCAAAATCTTTAGATATAATATTTTTAAATGATATTATGTTATTTAAGTCACTGTATTAAACGAATAAGTATGTTTGATGAAAGTGTGTGCCATCTTAAACTGCTATCGCTTACCATCAGATGAGATGCGCTAAAGTTCAAAGTTCATATTAGATGAGACGCGTTCAAATTTAAGCCTAATTTTATCTCTGTAAATAAATTATAATATTCAAACTAGAACCTAAATCTGAAGGGATTATAAGATTTAAGTATATTTTTTATAGGTATCGATGATGCCGGACAGTTTCGACACCAACTCCACAATAACATGGACAGCCAGCTCTCAGTACAAACACGTGAACAACCTCCTATTCTACAAGTGGGATGTTAACGGGTCGCATTTCGTCGACTACTCGCTCACTTCGCCAATATATGAAGACATAGAGACGTTTAAGCTGAAGGGATCGTACCAGAAGGATATGGTTCACAACCACAAGATTATCAAGTGAGTGCTTTGTTATTTAGATTTTAGGAACATAAGAAGCCGTAATTACCGCATGCAAAGGACTTTGTACGTGTGTGTGTGCTCGCGTGAGTGTGTGTGTGTGAGTGAGTGTGTGTACGTGTTCGTGTGTGTGTGTGTATGCATGCGTGAGAGTGTGTGTGTGGCTCTCTCACTCTATCCAGGAAGGTTACAACCAATTAGATAAAGTTCGAGAAACATAGATAAAGAGGACTATAATTTTAACTAGCAGCAGCTGGCGAGTTTGATTGCTCAGTCAAATGAGTCTTTCATCTCAATCAATCAATCGAATAGTTGATAACCGTACCAAGGTATACGAAATTCTTTCCCTTCCCTTGTTTTTTGCGAACCTGGATGTTTCGGCACTGTAACAAGCGCCATGATCACGGAGTAACTCCTAGAACAAAAATTTATTTTTCTCAACATGCTTGGAAATAATTAGTTAGACAACCCTTTTCGAGATGAATCGAAATTTCTGTACATACTATATTGTATATTTGATATATACTTATAGTTTTATTTAAATTCCGAACTGCATTTCGAAAAAGAAAGCTGTTTATAAAAAAGACAAATGAACGGGATTTTTTTTTGTACTTCAAATAAACAAAACAAGTTTCAACGGTATAGATGCACTGATTTATTTTAAAAAATTTTTTTTTATATATTTTTGTCGTCATAATTAGTCCAGAAAAAGGTGCGAAACAAAGAAATCAGTGCATTTATACTTTTGAAACTTGTTTTATTTAATGAGTAGCGTGCGTGATAACCTAAGAAACAAATATTATTGTACTTCGTTGTTCGCCATTGATGTTCCAGAATTTCGGCAAATCTGCCTAGGTACTACTTAATTTTTAATTTCCGTGCATTATTTGGGAAAAGTACTATAGAAGCCTTTGCCACAACTAGGCATTGATGGACTAACGTATGTCGTTCGTCCATAAATGCCTCTTTTGCTGGCCGCTGCAGTAATGTACTATAAAGTGACCATGAGAGTTTAAAACAATATAACCTTAAATGTACTCGTTTTTATTTGTCCAGAGGCTTGATGCATCGCCCCGGCAACAGTCAGATAGGCGAGTTGGACATTAGGTACGGGGGTATGGTACATACGGATGGACATTTCAATCTCACTACGCCATTCCGGAGACTACCTTGGCTCAAATCGATACTCAACGTAAGTATATTTTTTTTAACAGGAGTTGGGGACATATTTATGAGAAAGCAGTGTGCGCGAAGTTTTACTTCAGTCGTGTGGTCATAAACACACTCTTTTTTTTATATATAGCCAGGTAGTCAAATGACTCTACCCCACCTGATTTTAAGTGGTGATTAAGTCCAAACGCAAATATATTGAAAACATTGAAAAGCACAGCTTTCGGTGCATGTAGACAGTAAGAGGTTTCTGTTTAACTTAGAACTTTCATTTTGGGTAATATTTTCTACTCTAGCTAAATAACGCTTTGCTATAATCTTGTGTTCCGGCAGTGACGCACATTTTATTTGGTTAAACGAAAGGTCTACACATAACTTCATTAATACATTGTTATTGCAGATTTTCTTTTTTCAAGAACTTATCTTTAACTAGTAATCTCAGTCAGGATATGTGAAGGATTGTACTTTTCAGGCGCATCATGATTTCGTATGCGCAACTAACGCTAACTTCGCAGCCGCCATTGTATTGGCTTCATTCATTATAATGTCAAATACATACCATTTCAAGTATAGTTATAAAATTCCCAAATAAACTTACTTTATTAGTATTATATTATATTTTAGATAAACTACGTCGAAGAAGAGTCTGACAACAAAGTAGAATTGTTCTGGCCTAACAAAACGGCATCTTTGAACTCCACCCACCAATACAAAGCCCGCGAAGGTGGATTCACCCAAACGGGCACCGTATCTCTATCGATACCCCTCAACACCCAGCACTTGGTCAATACAGAGTATTATTACGTACAATCTGACAAATGGAGCAATGGTAATGCAACTATAGATTTAGATCGTGAGAGATTTGTGAAGGGTTCGTTTAAGCAGGTGTTAAGTAAAAGCTCTAGGGATCTGGATTTGGCTACGACAGACATAGAAGTGGAAAACGTTCATACGCCGGTGGGAGTGAAGTATATCCACGAGTTTGATACTACTGGCAATGTTGTAAGTATCATTTTGTTATAATTGTATTCTCTTTGTGGGAAGACGAAGGATTCTTGTTCTATACAGCAAATGTTTTAATGCTTTAAGACGTAATTTTTTCAGCATTGATTATCCATGCTAGATTTCTTTGTAGTCACTATTATAATAATATAAACTTTTGAAATCTGTATTTAAGATCTTTAAACACAAATTCCCACCATAATTTATTACCTATCTATTTCTTATGTTGTAGGTAACAATAGTTATATTATAAAAGCAAAAGATATAATTTAGTTAAGATTTACATAAAGTACTGTTTTAAACATTCAGAACTCATATCCCCTCTTTTACACTAGTCCACCACTTGTTGTGGCTGTTTAAAATTCTTCTTTCTTCATTCTTTCGTTTACACTTCATAGACAGCTAGTACCTCAAAAGTATAAATCACTTATGTACTTTAAATATTTTATTTATCCAACAACTTTGATGAAATTATTGTGTACTACATATTTTATACATGTATATTGGTGTCGATTCTGGCACGATTCTCTAAATCTAAACTTAAATTTGACAGCAGTGTATCCTTGTCATTCTCTATACAGAATGAGTTTAGAGAATCACGCCAGAATCGACACCAGTAGTGTGCCAAAAAAATGAGACATTGTATCAAATCTGTTAAATACAGTATTATACCTTAGTGGAAACGAGGGGTTACAATGATAAGTATATTTATCGAAGCATAAAGTTTGTAATCTTTATTAACATAATCCAACAATCCTATTAACATCAGGACGTGAAACAAGCTACAGTGTTCCACCTCCATAACGCTACCAAATTTAACGTGACCGGAAAACTCGACGTATTCACTTACGACGTCGGCAAAAATGTGGAGCTCACAGCTTTACACGGGAATAGATCCTGGACTTTCGAGAACAAATACGAGGCGGTAGACCGGGACCTTAAACAAGGCAGTAAAATCAAATGGGCCGATGACGTGTGGTTGAAGTACGATATACATGTCACTAATATGACCAATGTGAGTAGTTCGATTCCTTTATAAGATCTATTTTAGCTGTAAAACGTTTTAATTGAGGAATATTCCAAGTGTATAATAATATTTTTTTTTTCACACCAATTAACCTAGCCCCAAAAAAAATCAATCTACATAATCCTGCACAGAGAGGAGAGGATCGTTCGGCTGCGATCGTCGAAGTTAAGCAACTTTCGCTGTTGTCGGTCATTGGATGGGTGACCAAAAATTTAGTATCTCGAGCTCTCCTTCGTGCTTCGGAATGTACGTTAAGCCGTTGGTCCCGACTGCATGTGCAGTCGTTAGCACCCATTAATTTGGACTGGGCCCGCGAGGTGGGTCTTGGCCCAATCTTCCTATTCCATCCATAAGAAAGGCCTGTGCCCCAGCAGTAGGGACATTAATAGACTGGTGATGAATCCACCACATCTCAACTTAAAGATATTTTCCTATAATATCAGACATAGACAATACATAGAGAATGGACCCCGTCGCAACTGTAAAAACAACAAAGACAGTGCGATATTGTGACAACAATGTCAACAATTCGAACATCTATGGGCTGCACCATGTCTTTCTCTCTTTCGAGAAAGTTTTCAATTTCATGCAAATGTTTGAGTCAGTCTCTATGTATATGATATAAAATTATTATGCTGTCTATGCTTTTTCTCCACTTAAAGCAAGGAAAAGTAACCTAAAATGTGTTTCTTATTTTGACTTAAACACAACAGGACGATACAGAATCGCAACAACTAATAATGAACGTATGGTATCCGTTGCGTTCGTTCAATCTCAAAGCCGTATACAATCTCCAAGACACAATGTTGGATGGCAAAGCACGCCTGAGCTGGAATGTACGCGATGAGAACAAAACTGCCGAACTCAAAGGGAAATGGGAGAACCCACCAATGGCTGAAGGGAATCAACACAATATTGATTTGTCGCTGTCCCATCCCTCTTTTAGAAAGGTACTGTTATAATATTACCATTTATTGATGTGTAACATCTTTCCTCTCGCTTTCCTGCATTTTATGGGAGTAATTTCGTGAAATGGGACGGAAGTGTGTAACAGTAAGTCGCGAAAGCGCGCGCTATTTGATTTGATTTGAGAACATAATGTTCAAATGGCTTATTCCTTCTGTACTTTATTTTATTTCTTTTTTTACTAATATAAGGTGAGGTTTCAAATGATACACATCATACGCGACTACTGTCAGGCTCGCTCGTTTTTCATTTATGGTAAGCGTGCTACTTAGCTAAAGGCAAAACGTAAGAAACTTTAGGCAGTTACAGTGAATAATAATAATTTTATTAAAAGCAAACAAAACAGCATCAATCAATCAATCTTAAGCAAAGCTAAGCGTAAGCCGATGAGAGCGGAATGGTCACGGGTAGCGGATTTGAACCGCTACACAAGCCTTTAACGTTTGTTTTTCATTTAAAAACTCTGCTTCAAGTATGTCTAAGTATTGAACAACCACTTAGACAAGAGAAAATATAGAATAGTTTTTTAACTTACTTTCTCTAAACTTCACATCGAAATTGGGGCCTTAGAATTGAAACAAGACCCAGTTGCCTACAGGTGTCGCTGAAACTCTTATAAAAATTGTATATTTATTAATATTTTCATTTCCAGGATGTAAATCTTAAAGGCCAGTACATAAGCACACCGGCGATCATGTCTAACGTATCACTTGAACTCCAATACTCCGACTACGAGAACGAGTATTTAAAACTGAGGTCCATACTCACTGACAACTCAAATGGACCAATAAGAGACTACAAATTCGCATTAAAGTGTACACACCCCTCATCAAACTTAGACTTGGACATGAAATCCGATATAAACATACGAAACAGATGGTATTACTTCAACAACTACTACAGATTTCAGAAGACACTTTTCTACGAAAAACTGAGGCATACCAATATGTTGATTGATCTGAGCAATAGTTCCGTTCATTGGGAGGTAAGATATTTTTTTATCAAATTTATCCGGCTCGAAGGACCAGTATGTGTTATAATTAAGATAATATTACTTTTGATAGTTTATAAGATCACTCTTACTTGCTTATAAAGATCACAGTTTGGTTTGATATCAAGCTAAGCGCATCGTTATTCGTTCAAACAGGTATTGGAACTTTTCTGTAACTAGCTGCAAACATTGATAACCGAGGCTTACAAAAGGATTTTTTTCCAGTTTTATCAACTATTTTCATTGATACTTCGCTTCTATTAGTCGTAACATGTTACTGAATTACACATGTACTTCCTCGATGAATAGACTATATAAAACATTTTTTTATTCAAACCAAACAAAGTCTTCATCTTTATAATATTACTAAAGATAAGAGTCTAACAGCCAATATCTTCTCTTTCATCAATATCTCTGTAAATCTACGACTATAATGTTGAAATTTCAGCTATATCTACGTAATATCTACGACTATAATTTTCAAATTTCTTTTCCAGCGTGCCAATGAAACCTATTATTACAAAGTTAACGGTACTTGGGAACTAACATACCCCGAGTACAAAGCATTCGTGAAAGTACTTCGACCGACAGGCAATGATACTGGAGTCGCTGTGCTATCTACTAAAGACAAGTCTTTGATAGCTCACTTCAACAGTACCGATGGTGAGTTTGTTTTTTTTTTACTTTTGGATAGTATTATGAATAACAGCCGTTTGATCTTTATCGCCTTTCATAATTACTATGAAGTTGTGGAATAATTTGGAAGTTTAAGAAGATGTTGCTGGTCGCAGATGATTGCACTTAACTAGCTGTCCCAGCGAACTTCGTACCGCCATAAAACGGGGGTTGGTGGTAGAAGCGTGAAAATTCAGGGTTGTATGTATTTTTGTATGATGTATCAAAAAAAAATAAAAACAAAAAAAAATAAGGGTGGACCACCCTTAACATTTAGGGAGATGAAAACTAGATGCTGTACGATTCTCAGACCTACTAAATATGCATATAAATATAATATCACGAAAATCGGTCGAGCCGTTTCGGAATAGTTCAATTACGCACACCGTGACACGAGAATTTTATATATTAGATTTCATGGTTTAGTGTTTATGAAGTGTGTAATGTGGTCATAACTTTATGGGTTAAGGGAATAGGGCACTTTTATTATATCTACCTCATAAGCTATTTTCATTAACGCAGTGGAATCTGCCGGTGGATCCGCCTTATTAAAAGATCTTTTTAAACAAAAACCATGTTTATTTTATTTCATGCTTCTCTTTTTTACAGATATCTCCTACCATATAATAGGGCGTATTATCGATACGCGTTCCGCGATACTAGACGCATGGCGAGACTTTGATGACGTCACGACCGTTGACTTAGCATCCTACATTAGGCTTAATCACTCTAGATTACTAACCAGTTCTTTCGTTTGGCGTCCCGAAATATTCAGCGAAGTTAAAGCAACCGCTGTTTACTCGCTAAAAGCTCTGTACGGTACAATTAATGAGACACTGGTCATTATCAAAGAAATGCCAATGGAAGCCCATTTAGCACTCAGAAACATTTGGACTGACGCGAAACCCAGAGTGCGAGAATTCTTAGACGACTTGAACGATTTGCACGTCATCAAAGACGACTTGGACGAGTTCCAGCGGTTCTTGAACGAGTCCTATGGCCACAATGACTTTTACGTCAAAGACATTGTTGAATTCACGTACTATGTTCTAGATGAAATGGCTATTAGGAATCATTTGGAGAGTCTTCCGGGAATCGTGAATGATATGTGGGGCATGATGGGGAATACTAGTCAGTCTATAAAACAGAGTTTAACTTACGTAGCTGAAACTGTAAGGATGGCCTATTCGAATTTCTTGGAATCCGTGAACAAGGTTTTGGAAGCGGATTTCATGGAACTTGTTTCCGCTAGACTGGAAGCTATGATAATGCAATACGACAACTTTGTTAGAGATATGCATATGAGATTGCTGGAGTATTGGGAAGAGACATGGGTTAATGCTACCACAAGACTTTATAAATATTGGCATGAACTACTGAAGTCCATTGAGCCGTTGTTCTTCAAAGTTTTGTACTACACCGAATCGTTCGTAGTATCTATATGGAAAGGGATAATGGACTTCTTCTATAGTAGAACTCAAGAGCTGACTGACTCGCCGTATTTCAACTACGTGTCTACGTTTAGCCAGGAGGTTGATAAGTAAGTAGATTTAAACAATAGATTAATATTACACGTTTAGAAGAACTTTAGTTATTTTCTGTTTGAAACGGTTTTGTTTTTGTTTTTTTTTTTTATTTTATGCCTAATCATAATCACTCAGCCAGATAATTGAACTTAAACTTGAAATAGTATTATGCAGTCAGTTGTAAAATAATTTTTTATGACTTTTATTGTCTTTATGCTGGTATTTCAACGTCTTTCTAAAACTAAATGCCCTATAATTTAGTACAATATTTTACTTACTTAACTTCTTCTTTTATAAAACTTTAAGTATCTACTGCCCGCAACTAATAAAAATCTAATCCCCCCAGAATCTACAAAGATCTAGTAAACAATGATCTCGTGACCAACATAAAGAAGTACAGCAAGAAGTTCATGAACGTGGTATGGAGTAAGATCGAAAAGTACATTCCATTCAAGGAGGAGATCATGCAACTTTATGCTGAGTTCAGGAACGCCTGGGAGTCATTCTTGAAGACTAAACAAGTCGTCTACGTTAGGGATAAGGTATGAACAAGTTTTTCATCGACGAGTGGTTGCATGTGGTAGTAATGTGTATGTGTGCGTGAAGTGCTTTCATTTTATTTATTTGGTTTCACAATAATATTAGCGCCTTATGCAGCCTACTACCGCGGCACGGATCTGTGTGCGTTTGCACTATTTCAAATTCATTGCTTATTTTGTATCCAGCATATTGAAGAATATTTTTACAAAGCGCGTAATGTAATCATGTCGTTGCATTAAAGTTTTTATACGTCAATGATCACTTGTGCTAGAATGTATTAGTATTAGAATCTACCAAGGGAAGCCGGTGGGAATCGTGTTCTAAGGAGCCTTTGCCACTGTTAGTTATAGCCCATACAATAATGTCAAATTTACATTGACGTTTTGACAATATTCTATGGGATATATCTAGTTTAAGTTGAATCGAGATTTAGCAAAATTGTTGCAAGTGGACCTTAATGATATTCGTGTTTCAACGTTAACAGTATACAGAAGCCTACACGCGTCTGAAATGGTGGTACGACTACTTCCTGATCGGTGAAGCACTGGATAAGGTCGGAGAGATATTGTACGAAAAAATCACAGACATGGCCAAGACAGCGTTGCAATATGAAGAGTTGTGAGTTTTATTTCTAAGTTTATTTAGGAGAATAAACTTTTCCTGCGATACACAGGGCCGGATTTATGGGTGCGGAGGCTCTGGGACCTCGGGCGGAGCAACGAACAGATATAGGTATTGCCATTTTTGGTACGGAACCCTTCAAGCGAGTCCGACTCGGTAAGACGACGTAAAAAATTGTGACCCGTTAAAATTTCAATATTATTTTATCTCTCTTGTGGAGGCCGTTGGGCCCCACAAGAGCCTCGCCTGTCCTGCTTTAATCCGGCCCTGACAATACATTCAAGTTATTAGTAATTAAAATATCGTCTCTTATATTTTAAAATTCAAGAGCCGATATTTTGTATAATTGCCGGTTCGACAATAGAATTTAATATACATAATTACAATTCGACATTTATTTGATTATTACAAAAATTACCAAAATGTAACTTAAAAACCAAATTTGCTTTTTGTATAAATATGCAATATGATATTATATAGCTATCAAATGATAGCAGTATATCCTTATCCTGCTCTATAGAGAACGAAAGGTGAGACATCTATCAAATTACCTTTTAAGTCTCAAATTCAGGCTCACTTTTTAAAATATTGAAATAAATACTGTCGTATATAGTTACCACAAACTTACATAGTACTCAATAAGTAACCGCAAACTATCAAATTTTCTCAATAGATTATGAATCTTATATCATGTAATATATAGCCAAAAGTCAGCTAGAGAAATTTGTAAAGTCGGTTGGACAAATTTGTCACTTTTCTATTACTTGACCTATGGCTATCTTAACATTTAAAGTCTCATATTGAATCTATTTTTCAGACATCGTACACCAAAAACTCACTTCGTGTTCGACCCCAACGAAGGCACCATCTTACTAGAACAGAAACTGCCCATGTCTTGGCACGCCTTCAACCGTACTCCCGACTTTAGCGAGATATCCGAGTACCGAGCCGTGCGGAACTTCATCGACGATTGGCTCAACACCAACAAGAGCATCTGGAATTACTACTACGAATTGCGACCTTATATGGACCTGGATAATATTCTGCCACCTTTCCCTGGTATGTCGTTGTGTTTGTTTCTCCTTTATGAACGCCCAACTTTAGCGAGATTTCCAATATGCACTGCCGCCTTCAGCGAGATATCCGACATGCACTCTCAACTTTAGCGAGATATCCGATATGCACTTCCGACCTTAGCGAGATATCCGAAATGAACCCCCGACTTCAGCGAGATATCTGATATGCACTCCTGACTTGAGCAAGATATCCAAGTACCGAGCCGTGCGAAACTCATCGACGTTTAGAACACCAATAAGAGCATTTGAAATGACTACTACGAATTAAGACCTAACATGTTAGCAATATGGTATTGGGCATTCTATATCACCTTTCGATCGCTCAAGAGTTTCGCTCGAGCTCTCTGCGGTGATATAGAATGCCCAAACCATACATTCGATCAAATAACATTTATTAACCTTAGCAAGATTTCCGATATGCACTCCCGACCTTAGCGAAATATCCAATATACACTCCCGACCTTAGCGAGATATCCGATATGCACTCCCGACCTTAGCGAGATATCCAAAATGAACCCCCGACTTTAGCGAGATATCTGATATGCACTCCTGACTTGAGCAAGATATCCAAGTACCAAGCCGTGCGAAACTCATCGACGTTTAGCTCAACACCAATAAGAGCATTTGGAATTACTACTACGAATTAAGACATGTTAGCAATGTGGTATTGGGCATTCTATATCACCTTTCGATCGCTCAAGCGTTTCGCTCGAGCTCTCTGCGCTGATATAGAATCCCCAAACCATACATTCGATTCAAATAACATTTATTAATATTTATTAACCTTAGCGAGATTTCCGATATGCACTCCCGACCTTAGCGAAATATCCAATATGCACTCCTGACCTTAGCGAGTTATCCGATATGAACCCGCGACTTTAGCAAGATATCGGATATGCATTCCCGACTTGAGCGAGATATCGGAGTGCCGAGGCTGACTTTAGCAAGATATCTGATATGCACCCCCGACTTGAGCGAGATATCCGATATGCACTCCCGACTTTAGCGAGAATGGGAGCAAGAACCTCATCAGCGTTAGATGTCTGTTGGCCTCCGACGGCCAGGACTTACTGCCAAAACTGCATTTGGAGCACTCGTATAGACGTCACAGCTCTGACAATAAATAACAAAAAAAACGAGTGTGCTTATTACCACACGACTATACACACACACGCCCACAGGTATTATACAGGGTGAAATTAAATGTTTTAATGAAACTTCCTGGGATTGTTGGGTTACGTATATAGAGTATCTCTGATTTTTCGGATTTTTTAAAATGATTTAAACATTTTTATTTTGTTATTTTTAAGTTCTTTCCTCCTTTGAGTACTAAATATTTTTTTTTTTTAAAAACGCATACAGAGTAAGTAAAAAACAACTAATAAGCACTACATAAAAAACGGAAATAAATACAAAAGACGCCCGGCCGGGAGCAATGACCACTCCCGCCGTTAAATACCTACCTACCTATGCGCGGTGCAACGCGCAGTAAGCGAGCGCAGTCTCAAGTCTATCCATCGCGCGTGCGTATCTTTTAACTTTGTGACAAGACAAGATTTTCAAATAATGCCTCGATTAGTTCTTGTTCTGTAGCCTCGATATAAGAATTTGGACATGGTGTGTTGTTATTGCGAGTGTCACGAAATACTCAGCAAAGCCGCAAGGCTTTACGAAAGTAGGTTTGGTGATTGATTCTGTTTACAAAGTGTATACGGGAACTTAGAGTGAAAAAAAAATATAGGTCATCATAGGTCTCGTAAGTACTTTTGAATACCTTTGTTATGGCTTAACATTTGCCTATTTCCAATCGCAACAAAATGATTATTATCTTTTAAGAGTTTTCTCTGCTTAAGAGAAGATGACATTTGTGCTTATTATTTCAATAAATTTGGCATTTAAGTCGATTTTATTGTATTGTGTGGAATAAAAGGAGTCGCGTCAGCTGAGCTCTGTGTAACTACTCACTCAACGGCTGGCGGGCGCGGTCGTTGACCCGCGGTGGCCGCACCCGCTTAATTTTGCTGTTTTTCTGTTTCTATATTAGTGCTTATTTATTAGTTTTTTTTCACTGAATATGTAAGTATGAGTGTTTAAAATAAATAAACTGCTCAAAAGAAGGAAAGGACATAAAAATAAGCAAATTATAAATAAATATACTTCAAAAAAATCCGAAAAAATCAGGCATACTCTATACACGTAACCCAACAATCCCATGAAGTTTCATTAAAACATTCAATTTCACCCTATATATATATCTATATGTACAGTACACATACATATTTCATTTACTAGCTATAAGAGAAGGAGAGAAAGAAAATATGTGCGCGCACTGCTTTCTCTTGCTTATATCCCCCACTCAACTCCCGTTCGCCTCGCCCGATCACACTTTTCGGAACGCATTTGCCAGCTTATTCCCCAAGTCAAGCGTGTGTAAAGAATTTTCACTTCAAATATCTCTTTTTCATAGGTATGGCGATAATGACCGCCCAAGGCACACTGGTGACCTTCGATAAACGCGTGTTCAGCATATCAGAAGCCGGTACATTCCTGTTGAGCAAAGACTATAGGCAGAACAACTTCAATCTGCTGCTGGAGAGCGGCGGGCAGGGGAGATACAACCTCGTAGTGTTGACTAGGGCATCGCTTATACATATAGACTTGTATAACGAGGTAAGTGTTATATTGAAAGCTTTTATTATTATTATTTTTGCAGCCTTAGTAATGCTAGAGAAACTTCGACATGGCCATCAGTGCCGCGGTAGCATAATGGTCAGTGCATTCGCCCGGATGGCATAGAGTGCTGGTTCGAGTCCCGTCTGCAGCCTGGTCCGCGTGAATTTTTTTCTAGTAATTTTCTTTAGATTTAATTTTTATTAATGTTAAGAGTAGTAAAAAAAACCCGGACAAGTGCGAGTCGGACTCGCCCAGCCAGGATTCAGTACAAATTTGTGTATAAGTGAAATTGTGGTTATACTAACAGTTCATCTGTAAATATACACATATAATATATAGGTACCTGTAGATATAAAAAAGGGAAAAAGCTATATTTTCCATTATTCATCAAACATCACAAAACTATACATCTTAAAAAAAGGAACCACAACTAGGCATACTATAAGGTTCTTATAGGTTTTCCTATAATCTACAAACAAAGAGCTCCAAACATTCTATGTTTTATTATTTTTTTAAACCCAAAAGTTTCGGGGATAAGTAGTGGGGACAGGGCAGACTGATGATAATGATGATATTAAAACAATACATCTCGTTATAGTACAACTAGCTGTCCCAGAGAACTTCGTACCGCCATAAAAAAAATAGGGGTTGGTGGTAGAAGGGTGAAAATTTAGGGTTGTATGTATTTTTGTATGATGTACGAGTATCATTAAAATAATAAAAACAAAAAAATTTGTCCAATAAAAAAATATTATGGCTTAATTAATTACCCTTAACATTTAGGGCGATGAAAAATAGATGTTGTCCGATTCTTAGACCTACTGAATATGCATATAAAATTACACGAAAATCGGTCGAGCCGTTTCGGAGTAGTTCAATTACGCACACCGTAACACGAGAATTTCACATATTAGGTATAATTATGATTACAAAAAAATACTTACACAATTATCGTTCCGCAGCAAGTCTCGATAGGTGATGCGGTGCTGAATCTACCTGCTGTAATAGAAGATTTCACGATAGACAGACGGACGGACGAACTCACTATACGAGGACACAACGGGCTGCTTATAGAGTGTGACTTCGTATTCCGCACGTGTAAGCTGCAAGTTACTGGTAAGTTACAAATAAAGTTATACAAAAGGTTTCCTTAGAAAAAGACTTTACTACAAACGGACGGACGGACTGCTAATAGACTGCAACTTCTTGTTCCGAATGTGCAAGTTACGGATAAGTTAGAAGTAAAGTTTCTTTAAACAGTATTGAAAGACTTCTTCAAGTACCTGTAAGAATGTGACTAGAAGAAGACTTCATGATAGACAGACAGACGGACGGACTGCTTGTAGAGTACGACTTTTTGTTCCAAACGTACAAACTACACGTTACTGGTAGGTTAGTATACTATGTCCAACAATGTGCCTCTTTAGACAGATAAGATAAATAAAAAAAAATACCATAGTGAATTCAATGTCTCAATATTCATTTTTGGACTGTCTCAATAAATTACAACACACAACGGGCTGCTTATATTTTGGACTGTCTCAATAAATTACAACACACAACGGGCTGCTTATATCCAAATGGTATTGGTAGAAATGACACATTTAATAAAAATACTAAAAATTTAATTTTATGCAAACGCACCGCATTGTAGTTTGGGGATTTTGAACTTAAAAAATTAAATTATGTGCAATAATGTCAAATAAGGTCAACTTAAAACTGATGATGCTGGAAAAAAGCTTTGTACGGAATTATATCATTAATCACAATAACTAGGTTTTGAAGTGAAACTTCTTTACGTACGCTTGACTTGGGGTAAATTGGCGAATGTTGCGTTACGCGTTACGAACACTGAGTTCGGACGAGGCGAACGGGAGTTGAGTGGGAGATATAAGCAAGAGAACACAGTGCGCTCGCACATTTTCTTTCCCTCTTTCTCCTATAGCTAGTTAGTGAAATTTGTATATGTACATACATGTATATATTGTACACATACGTATATATATATATATATATATATACATACAGATGGAGCTAAAAAAGTTTCACTTCAGTCGTGTGGTCATAAGCACTATCGTTTTTTTTTATTTTGTCTAAAAACAATCTTTTGTCACACAGGCTGGTACTACGCCAGTTTGGGCGGCCTTCTCGGCACTTACAACAACGAACAATACGACGAGATGCAGTTACCAAACGGAACACTTACCAACTCGAGTCTTACCCTTGGTAGGGGATGGAGTTTGGGCCATACTACCCCAGTACTGCCTATAGCGAGGCAAGAGAGAGGAAATGACACACAATGTGATAAATTCTTCTTGAACAAAGTGTCTCCGCTGCGGCCCTGCTTCTCTATTGTGAGTGATGTTACTGTAAAACTAAGTACACGAAACGATCCACTAATGTTTATGGAAACCATAAAAAGTGGATATTTTAAATTCTGTTGTGTGATTCTATAATTAAAACTAAATTAAAAATTAAATTGTCAAGTTACCGCGAAAACTTTTCTCTGGACATTATGGCGTGTCACTAGTATGTGACGTCACACGACTGTCATTAAAACGTCAAACTATATAATGTAATGTCACTTTTGCCGGAAGTATACTAGCGTGTGACGTCATTTTAGTGTTGGCCAATCACAGGCGGATTCGGTCACGTGACCATGGAGCATTTTAGAAAAGTTATTCATTATTTGTTCTTTTAGAATAGTAATATCGCTGCTATTATTCATATTAAATACAGATGCCAACAACATTGGTACATTATTTTTCATACTGTCAAAGACACTGAAAAAGAACAAAACAAATCAACAAAAATCTATAATGGATATAGCAGGGATAATCTGTATTCATCTAAAACATAAATTATGTGAAATGAGAGCCATGTTCGCGCCTTGGTTGTTGACTTCAACGACAATAGAAGTGATATCTAAGTGGGTGCCAATTTCAATGGTCAGTCCTGAAATTTGTTTATAACAACATAAAATATTTTATAACAACTTAAAACATCATTTCTTCTTATATACGCAGGATAATAGTTATATTGAACACTAAGATCTGACTTGGCTAGTTCTCATATACGAAATATTTTTTAGTAAAACAGTCATGGAAAAGCCACATGAGATGTTCGATGGCTGGTTTCTACAAGCAAGCCATATTTTAGGAAGAATAAAATTAGATCATACAGCTTTTGAACTTGCGAAGGCTTAGTGTTTATAATTCGTATAAGAAAACTAGCCAAGTCAGACCTCCGACTTAGATATTATATACCCTGAGGGACATGCTGCAGTAGCTTTTTTTAAAAAACGCGTTCGTTGTTAATTTATGTTCAGACTGAAACCATACATTTTACGTAATCTTGGGTTCTTCATGATGTCTACCCTATTAAAATGTCCAGGGTGACGTTCAGAATCATGTCTAATTCCAGGACGTACATTCTAGTCAATATTAATACTCATAGTCTCTTAAGCAGAGGTTGACAAGTAGTTATTGTTCCTGTTCCACAGATGACTCTGGCGCATTCTGTTTTTTTTTTGCGTTTGCTTTATTAATATTAGAAGAGTTTCCCCAAAGTGAGAGAGTATCGTAGTTGGCTAATGTCACGTCAGTAATAAAAATGACGATTTTTGGACGTTAATATCTAAATAACGATGAAATTTCTCCTATCTTTTGATTACTATGTGGCGGCGACATCTATATGCCCCATATATATCCAACGGATGGAGGTAATAATCACTAGCCGCCTCAAGAGATGGCGCTACCGACGCTGCAATCAATACGTCGAGGAAGATCTTCCTCCGACTTGGATGATGGTAGCTTGGGAGCCACGCCCCGACTGATGTTGGTCGGGCATTGTCTCTATGGAGTGTTAGCATGCGAATTTCACTTGCGCGATGTAAGCTTCCATACGTATTGATCGCATCGTCGGTAGCGCCATCTCTCGAGGAGGCGAGTGATTATTTCCTCCATCCGGGGACCTTTCCCTTTACACCACCGGACGACCAAGCGCGGCGAGGGCTTTCACCCTTATGTTGTCGAAGTTCCTCCCATTCGCACGAAGCGATTTGCTTACGCTTTCATTATGCGAACGGCTTGGGAGTGGAACTCCTTGCTGAGGTCTGTTTTCCCGGACCAATATAATCTGGACATCTTCAAGGCCCGTTTCACGAAATCACTCCCACAAATTGCAGGAAAGCGAGAGGAAAGATGTTACACATCAAAAACTATAAATCAAAATTTCATACGCAGATAAACGCGGCCCCCTTCAACGAGGAATGCTTACGCGGCGTCGACGCTTGCGCCCTCGCCTCAGCGTACAGAACGCTGTGCGCGCAACTGCATGCGCCTACGCACCTGCCCGACCACTGCGAGCAGTACGTATGAGAATAATCAAAATATATTTCCAACACTCACACCAATTAGCCCAGCCCCAAAGTAAGCACTGTAAGGCTTGTGTTATGGGATACTAGGGTAACGAATATAATACTATGCTATACTGAATATACACACATCAAAAGTGTCTAGGGATCAACATATATTTTTGCAATAACTTTTCTCCTGATTGATATTAATTAAAATTTTCTTTAAGGATTCATCAAATAAAGTGTTTTCGTTTGTCACAGTAACGATAAACCAAGTCACCTTTGCATTAATAAAGAAATTTGCCATTTTCCTAATAAAGGGATTTTTGACATTTGAACCACTAACACAAAAGTTCGAAAAAAAGACTGAAATAACAGTTTTCTCTAAAATTTTATTGGGTAACTTAAACAATTAATAATCCGTATTTCTACCGCGAACACTAACAACACAAGAACATCGGTTTGGCATACTCAAAATGAGTTCATCCAAATCACGCTGTGGAATGGCCGCCCATGTTCGTTGCAACAACAAAAAAAGGTCTTCTTGCGACTGGATACCCTCCATATTCGGCAGAGCTCTTCTCTGTAGCATATCCCATGCATGCTCAATCGGGTTCAAGTCTGGCGACTGAGCAGGCCAGGGCAGGACATTGATGTTAGCTGCGGCGAGAGTCTGTCTTACAACTCTTGCGGTGTGCGGTCGTGCATTATCATGCATTAACTGAAATAAGGGACCGATTTGCACTTGTAGAGGAACGATGACGTCTGATACAATCGTCTCAGCATAAATTTGAGCGTTGAGGTTGCCTCTGATCCAAATCAACTCTGTTCTTCCGCCGATCCAAATACCCGCCCATACCATGATGGTTCCACCACTATAAGGATGGACTTCCTGGCAGGATTTTAATCGCTGTTGGCGTCCAGGGGTTCTCCAGTGTCGTATACGTCTTGTATCCGGTCTCATACCAAAACGAGACTCATCAGAAAAGCACACGAAACGCCATTGTTCTTCTGCCCAATTTCTGTGTTCAAGAGCCCATTGATATCGAATCCTACGATTGTGCATTGCTATAGGTGGTACCCGTAGCGGTCTTCGGGAATGAAGGTTCACTTCATGCAAGCGGTTTCTGACTGTTTGGTCGCTAATTAAGTTCCCTGAAGAGTGATGAAGCCTCACGGCTAACATCATGGCGGTTATTGTTGGAGCTCTTCGAGTTAAGATTTGAATGTATCGGTCTTGTCTCCGTGTGGTGCAGCGATACCGTCCTCCATGGCGCTCAGCCACGGTACCAGTGCTTCGGTATCGTGTCCAAAGTCGACTGATAACACTCTGACTTGTATTCAGAGCTAAAGCCACAGTACGTTGCCGGGAACCAGCTTCTATCATTCCCACGGCTCTGAGCATTTCTTCCCTGCTTAAATGACGTCGCCGCTCCATAATAACGTTGGTTTTAATCAGTAGTAGGGAAACAGTAGCACTAATAATGTCTTCAATGCGTTGTATGTTTTTATAGGGAAAATATTGACAGCTGATTTTCATCTTTTACTCGAATTTGATTCACAGTTCCTGATTCAAATTATGAAATGCACCAAAAAGGATCCATATAAATTTATAAAATCATAAATTTATTACAAAGCCACATCTCAATCTCAAGAAATCCGCATAAAAATGCTTGATCCCTAGACACTTTTGATGTGTGTATATATATATATATATATATATATATATAAGTATATTTGTATAGAAATACATATGAAACATCCATGACTAAAGTACAAATGCTCGTATTCATCACACAAACATCTACCCCCACCGGGATTCGTACCCGGGACCTCTCGAGTCGGCGAGACCATGAATACAAACCATTCAGCCACGGAGGTTGTCAATTTTAAATAGAGAGAGAGCTTTTATTTTCTTCTACATAAAATATTTATGATTACATAAAAACAAAACGATAGCGCGATTCAATAGACTATTCCTGCCAGATGGCAGGAATAGTCTATTGAATCGCGCTATCGTTAAGTATACAAAATATTAATCTGATTCTTAACAAGTATCGTTACGTACACCAGCCGTCTACAGATTTCATAATATAAGACAATCAGTCAACATTGGTTTTCCTATACAGATGCATGACTCCCCAAGGCGATCTAATCGAGGAAGGTTCCTTCTATCACATAAACCACGTACGAAACACTACAGACGTTGTATTCATAGTAGAAGCTCAGTACTGCAACAAGAATATAAGGAAGAGGAAGAACATCGACTTGTTCATCGAGGCGTTTGATACGAGGCTGCAAATAAGCGGTATAATTGACAACAGGTAGGTCGTTATCATCATCAGCCTATTAACAGCACAGAGGGCCCTAATTCTGCCATATTTCTTTAGCCTATTAACAGCACGCAGGGTCTAATTCGGGTATGATTCTATAGCCTATTAACAGCACATAGGTCCTAATTCAGGCGAGATTCTTTAGTCTATTAACAAAGCAATTTTTTGACCTATTAACAGCACAGAGGGCCCTAATTCTCGCGTGATTTTTTATTTTACTAGCACCATATAGGGCCTAGTCCTGAAATGATATTCTGGCATGTGTCCTAAAATTATTAACACCGCATAATACCTACTTCTGACATGATTCTATAACCTATTAAGTGCCCATAAAGCCTTATTCAAGCATGATTCTTTAGCCTATTGACAACACATAGGGCCTTATTCTGACATAATTATTTAGCCTGTTAGCAGCCCGTAGGGTCTAGTTCTAGCATGATTATTTACCCTATTAACTCCCTATTAGGCCTAAATCTGGCATGATTCTTTACTCTATTAACAAAAGTGTAGGGCCTTATCCTGGCATATTTCTTTAGCTTATTAACAGCACATAGGGCCATACTCTGCCATAATCCTTAAGCCTATTAACAGCACATAGGGCCTTATGCTAGTATGATTCTTTAGCCTATTAACAGCACATAGGGCATAATTCTTTAACCTATTAACAGTCAAAATTCTAGCCTATTATAAGTTATAATTTTTGTTAGTAAGTATAGATTTGTATAGTTTTTGGAATTAATTGTTTCATATAGTCGTAGTATATAGTCAGTTTCATAGTCTCATCAACCTTAGGCCCTGCCAGAATATCAGCGCCGCAGCGGCCCTGGCTTCGCTGGGGCACTATGCTGAGGCAGGGACCTAGTTGGCCTTTTTTTCTGTTATTGCTTTGTTTTGTGTAATCTTATTATTTAAGGCTAATAAAATTCTTTCTTCCTTTCTTTCCTTCTTTGAATATAGATATGCAATAGTGGGTTACGGCGGTCGCGGAGTGTTCTCAGAACCGCGCGCTCTGTACGTGGACAACAAAGTGTTCTCCGACGTCATGCAAATACCGAAGCACTTCGACGCACTCAACATAGGTTAGTATACAATCTGAGGGTCAAGCACGAATGTGGGCCCCCTCAGGCTCCAGACGGAGAGGAGACTCCCCCTTTGGGGAGGTGCCATCCGCCTGGAATACCTCTAGAGCCACTCGGCTTGAGGTCCCCTTAGGATCTCGCCGTCGACAAACCCAGTGTCGCTGCGAAGGTCATCTGCGACCAACAACATACACACTCAAAAAAAACGAATGTTGACAGCTCTGCAATCGTATCGTCATCATCAAATTTGGTATGGAAGTATCCAGTTCTGTAGGGACCACAGACATAGAAAGCGGTTAGAAGGGCCTTGTGGGCGTAGCAGACACGCCACAGTTATGTGTGAGCAAATGCTCATAACTAGACCAAAACTTGGTTGTAATTGCTTCGTTGCTCTCGGCTATGAGCGTTGATTGGTTCGATTGTTAGATGTCGCGTCGTTTGATTGGCTATTTTCTATTAGGTGGGAGTGTAGTGGGGGCGAGCCGGCGACATCGGTTCCCGTGCAAACGGTCTATGATCACCCTTCTACCCTCTTCCTGAGTTTTGTGTTAGAGGCTCCGCTTTGTTTTCATAGACACTGACGATGCAATACGATTACGGAACTGTCGAACGTCGTACTTCGGCCTCTGTTTACTTTAACCCCCCCTTCCCTTGGTTATACATGGTGAGGTTTAAGACTAAACCCTCCCCCCGGCCCCTATATCACTTGTATTATAAGCACCTACAAAGAATCTTATTTTTTTTAATATTTATAAATACAAAGAAATTTATGTATGATAAAAGCCGGGTTTCGGCGACTTACCGCAAACGCTCCTTACACCGCCACGGGTACCTAGGGCTAGGCTTCAGAACGGGGTTCGTCAACGCTCTTGGGAAACTATTGCCGGCAATGTATCGCACATAGGAGTCCACAGGTCAGAAGGTTCACGATATCTTCCAGAGAAAATGGGTACTCTCACTTGATGTAACGGAAATTCGTTTAGAGCTGTTGATAGCTGCTTACACGTCGGGGACTCGAAGTGAACTACTCGCACATTGGTGCCGGCGTCGGCCGTAAAGTCGTACCAACACACAAGGCACAGTGGTAGGCTCAGAACGAAAATACGGTTTGTCACCTACCCCATACATAAATAAAAAAAAAGAAAAAAATACAATCTTCCAATATGTGTTGCTTTATTAAAAAATCTGTTACGCTACGGAACATACGGGTATTATCAAATTTTATTATAGAAAATTAAAGTCTACCATAATAGTCCGGGAGGTAGCGTTGCAAATGCAAAAGTCATAGTAAGCCGGCTGATATTAACGTCGATAGTTGATATTATATGACTGATAAGTGAACCGACCGTCAGCTGCTCAAGTAGCGGTGGGTGCGGGTGTAGGAGGCTGCGAAAGAGGTAAAAAAATAAAATAAAAAAAGTAATAGTACGCTGGCTGAAACTTTTTCCATAAATAGTTGATGTCATACTGAGCGAAAAAAAAATCGTCAGCTGCATCGTGGAGGGGGGATTATGCGTCAGCTGGCTGCATGAATTTGTAAAAAAAACGTAAAATAAAGTTATAATACGCCGAATGAAATTTAACTACGCGATTCTTCAAAATATTTAGAGTACGAAGTACGAAAACAACAATCAGCTGATTGTGTAGCGGTGGAAAGACCGTCAGCTGACCCAGTCAAGATTTAAAATTTTGGAGTATTGCTGTGAGGCTGTTCGCTTTCAAACACATATTTTGCGATACATTCTGGCCTTCCTTGAACCCATAACACGACCTTCGGGCTACCTAAGCCTCTCCCCAGTGTTGCCAACTCTACGTCTTTTTACGTAGATCTACGTATTTTAGGCCTTTTCTGGAAACCTACTAACTTCAGTCCCAGAATCTACGTATATTCTTAATTTTTTTCAAATTTGTAAAATAACTTAATTCACTAGAATAAAGAAGAATATTTTCCGTTACTTTACTTAAAAACTATACAAATGTTTATTTCTTATAAAGATGTATCTAAACACTCTTGTATCTTGTAGAAAAGGTTCCCGTTACCTATTGGTTTTGTTGACTAAATTAATGCTGGCCTCAGGATTTGTGAAAGCAGAAACGACAAAACTCTTTGACTTAGTAGGTACATTCATAACCTTAAAAATTGTATTTTTAAACTTTTAATATTATCAATGAGCACCTACTCACATCGAATTGATCTTTGCAAAAAGAAAAGACTTTCAGTCGATAAAGTTACAGGATTTAGCAAGTTTTAAGCATATGTTCATGTGTAAGTATGTTTATTTCTCTTGGCAATTTAAACAACAACTTTTCTGGAGTCTTTTACCAAGTGTATCATGATAACTACTATATTTTTCATGTGATCTATTAGAAATCATGGTTTTATAATATTAACTTAGAAAGTTTATTTCCTACGTGCTTGCGAGTGTTTGTTTACAAATGTTTTGACGTCATAGCATAGATAAGTCTATAGACTAAATAGCGTTTTTGTATGTCTTCTAGGTAAAAATATATTTTTTTTTCGTTGTGATAGAACAATTATTACCAATTTAAAACATAATTCCAAAAAGTGTCAACTAGTTATCATATAACAACAGTTTATCCTTGTCATTCTCTATACAGAATGAAATATATATATATATATATATATATATATGTCGACGATGAATAACTTTCGCGATCTTTTTATTCCTATATTTCGATTTTGTTCATATTAACTTTTAATATATTTTGGGTTCTTTTCATTTTGCCCTCGATTTTCTTTTATTTAGTTACAAATAAAACGAAACGAAAATATATCGACAAAGATTCTGTCCATTGCTAGAATAATCTTTACCTTTACTGCGTCAGCTGACGGTCTTTCCACCGCTATATACGCAGCTGATTGTTATTTTTGTACTTATGATTATGTCAACTATTCGTGAAAAAAGTTTGAGCTGGCGTACTATTACTTAATTTTTTATTTTTTCTTACCACTTCCGCAACCTCCCAATTCCACACCCACCGCGGGTGCGCCAGCTGACGCTTGGTTCAGTTATAAGTAGTTCGCGATAAATAGTAAAGGAAGGCAAACAGTCGGCGTAAAATCACTGCCAAAAATGCAACGCTACCTCCCGGACTATAATAACGCTTAGAGGTGGACAGAAAGGTTGCAGGTTGTTTTTGACTGACATGAAAATTATGATTAATGTACAGTATCCTCGGACCACGGAAATACAAGTGATATAATACTACCCTTGTGATATTTCGTGATTTTTTATGAACATTTTGAGTCTTACGTGATTAATGGACAGCCCCTAACATTATAGTAATTTATATTATTTACGGGATTGTTACCATGGCAGCCGAATTGTGAGACTGAACAGTGGTAGGGGTATCGAACACAATTAAATTTCGTCGGAGGGTAGACATATCGGTCTGCCAATAACAGCCTACCCGCAAATACTTCAGTTACTCCGTGATCATGGCGCTTGCAACAGTGCCAAACTATCGGAAACTCGCTGAAAACAAAGGCATGTGGTAAAAATCTTGACCGATATTGCTCTGCCGGGTAAAAATATAACAGAATTTCCTATAACTCGACTGCAGCGCCACCTATTGGGTAGATTTGTATGTTGTTTTATTAATTTTTCTATTTTTCTGTTCGTTTTTTGTATTTGTTTCCTTTAGAAATTTGTGCTAAGTATGAGAAAACTTTTAAAATCTTTTTGACTTATTACAATTTCTGCTTAAAAGATATTTAGAAACTCCAATTTTATTTATAGTTTTTAACGTAAGAATTATGAATGGTGCATTATGGTTCGTTATTTGAGTCTATGGCAACGTTTGTTCTCCAGTAATAAGTTAATATACAAACGGAAGGCGAAAGATGTTAAAATATAGAATCTGAATTTTAAAGAATTGTCGCCTATTAACATATCTTAAAATTAATAGTCTGTATTTGCGTTACGTTGCCATAGACTCAAATAACGGACCATAATGCACCATACAGATGCCATTCGGTTTCAACGTTTTAGGCGAGTGATTTCTGCTTCTAGCAATTTGTATGAATTTTGTGTCTTACCATACAGAAAAGTCTGATTTAGTGAAGAGCAACCATACAGTGAGGGCAGATGTGTTTGAGGCCCTCAGTTTCGCCACCAAACTGCCAATGAGACCGGCCGCGCCCAGAACTTTCATACTGATGCCTTGCACGCGCTGCGATACGGAGTATATGGAGGTAAGGTGTCATCATCAGCTTATTAATGTCCCCACTGCAGGGGCACAGGCCTTCCCTATGGATCGAATATAGAGATTGGGCCATGACCCACCACGCGAGCCCAGTGCGGGTTGGTGGGCGCTACGACTGCAGATGCAGCCGGGACCAACGGCTTAACGTGCCTTCCTAAGCACGAAGGAGTGAGAGATAGAAAGTAAAATTTTGGTCATAAATCCAATGACCAGCCACTGCGAAAGTTGCTTCACTTCAACTATTGCAACCAAACGCACTAACCACTTGCGTAATCAAGCTCGTGAGGTAATTTATAGAACATTATACATTTATTGCTCTATGTTTTGCGCCCAAACTGCCTATGTTACCGGCTGCGCCCAGAATGTTCATACTGATGCCTTGCACGCGCTGCGATACGGAATATATGGAGGTAGACTGTATGAATAATATTAATAATAAATATTTCCAATACTCACACCAATTAGCCTAGCTCCAAAGAAAGCACTGTAAAGCGTAACGAGCGAGTTAACGGATAGAATACATATATTGATACATATTTATGTATACTAGCTGTCTCGGCGAACTTCATACCACCCAAAAGTAATAATTTGCAATAAAATAATATTGCGACTATAATTTGAGATGTAAATTATCCTATCTTTCAACTTTGATCAAACTGCACACGGTGTGCAAACTTGATTAAAATTGGTTAAGTAGTTTAGGAGTCATATATTATATATTTTATCTGGATAATAAATAATAGTTAATAATCTGTTAAATACGTTCCTACAGCTCGATTACTCAACCATCTCTCACAGTCTGATGGAGAACTCTGTGACCCTGCACATCCTTATGGACGAAGACTTCATGCTGTCCAAGAAGCGGGCCGCTAAGTATTTGTTCGGTAAGTGTATTGAAGTTTAAACTGTGTTGCATTCATATAACCCATATCAATGAATCTGCCAATTTGAATCTATGGGTTGGGTTCAGTGAAGTGTCATCAATAAACAATACTATCCCTATGTTTTCCCTTATGAAATAGAGAGACAACTGATGATCCACTTCAATATAAATATGTAAAATAGACTATTTTTATGCTCTTAAAATCTGTTGTTTTATATATTCTTTAATACTATTTAATTTATATTTTCTATCAAGTATCAAATATAGCTGTAAGTTTAAAATTGTGTGAGGGCAATCTGGCATATAGGCATACATTTTTTTGGATAACAGTTTGGATCTGTACATTTTGCATGTTATATTTGTGCTTACTGATTGTAATCTGTTTTGTGTGCTTAATGAATAAAATAAAATAAAATAGGAAAGTCATTAATATAAACAAAGGAATTAAGAAAGGACCAAATATGAGTCCTGTGCAGCTCCCATCAGAACCAAGGAACCAGGCGATCTTTTAAAAGCTTTTTTTACCGTTGATGTCAACTCTTTAAACTCGTTCACTCAAATGACATACAATAGGGTATTTGACTGTATTCAAAACAAAGTGCCAATTGTTAGCATCTGTATTTAGAATGAATATTGGCAGGAGTTTTTACTATTTTTACAGAAACAATATTCATAATTTTACTAAAAACCCACTATAATGATAAAAGTTTTCTTGTCTATTGTCACGTGACCCAAAACGCTTGTGATTGGTGGAGGCTAAAATGGCGTCACACGTTAAACTTCCGGTTAAAGTGACATTTGATTGTATGGGTTGACGTTTTAATGACAGTCGTGTGACGTCACACCAGTGAGACGCCATATTGTCCGAAGATACGTTTTTCGCGGCAACTTGAAAATAGAGTTTTTGATTCGGTTTTTTTTTACCGAAATACAAAACATAATGATGAATATCCACTTTTTATGGACTCTATAAACATTAGTAAGGAACATGAGACCTTTTTCTAAAACTTGTCAAATACCCTATTAAAAAAATCAACAAAAATATAAACAAACTTCATGTAAACAATACTAGTAATAAGTAGAAGAAGTAAAACGTATTCGTTATATCTAAAGTACATCTATAGTCTAACTTCAAGTTGGTGCCATGCCAACCCCTGCAGTAAATACATCGAAAGTGACTTCATAAATTAGCTTAGATTGAAGTCATTTTTCAATTTGACGACTCTGTATATAATACAGGGAGAAAAAAACAGCCCTTGCCGAGTTTCTTGCCGGTTCTTCTCAGTACAAGGTCTCCCGCCGTAGATTTGCGAACCGATGGCGTAGCTTATAGACATTCACAAGTGCTTGTACTGACTGAATAAACGATATTGAATTTTGAATTTTTAGAAAATGTTTGATAATGAGAAAACTGTGTTGACATAGATCAAAGATATTTAATTGATAATTTATAAATTACTTCAAACCTTGCGATTTTTAACGGTACTTGCTTCATAACCTTAGGAGTGGACAGTACTCACGCGTACACGAACAAGGATTACGAGCTACTAGTGGGCGACACCGGACTCAGGAAACAAGTGCGTTTGCCCAAAGAGAAGCTAGGACTATGTGCCTCACTGGCTATGGAGACCAATGGTAAGTTAAATGCAGTTTAAATAGAATGCCTCATGCAAAAAAAATAGATTATGTTCATAAATAAAACTTCATTGTACACACTCTGGGTTCGTATTTTTTTCGAGTTATTTATTGTTATATAGGGGTACTAGTTAGAGTGCTATTTCCTATTATATTTTGATATTCCGCTTTCAATCCTAATCGACTTAAAGTTTAATCCGTATATTCGGGTTCACGGTCCCTTGAAGTATTAAAAAAAAACTTAACATAAAAAAAGATACGGCCAGAACCTTCGGTGGGCGATTTCGACTTCTACTTGTCCGGTTTTTTTTTATATTGTTGCAGTATGCATAATGTGCAATACTGGCTGTATATAGTTAAAGTAATCTATCATACTGTGTGTGTATTTATTGTTATGTGATAGAAATAAAGAAATTCTTATTATTATTGTAAAGCTAGCGGGTATTTGACGTGACGGGACCTATACATCGTCGTGTTTCCCCCGTTAGGTACGCTTCTGGCAGGAGGCAAGTTACAAGGCGAACGCGGCACTGCGCGCCGCTTCGCCACCGTCGCGGGCGCGCGCGCCGCCCTCACCGCCGCCCCCGCCAACTGCGCGCGCGCCTCCTGCGAGTGCCGCGCCCCCCGCCTGCACTGCCGCCCCTGCGCCGCGCCCTCCCCCGCCCGCCTGGTGAGTGTATACCTGCGCCGCGCCCTCCCCCGCCCGCCTGGTGAGTGTATACCTGCGCCGCGCCCTCCCCCGCCCGCCTGGTGAGTGTATACCTGCGCCGCGCCCTCCCCCGCCCGCCTGGTGAGTGTATACCTGCGCCGCGCCCTCCCCCGCCCGCCTGGTGAGTGTATACCTGCGCCGCGCCCTCCCCCGCCCGCCTGGTGAGTGTATACCTGAGCCGCGCCCTCCCCCGCCCGCCTGGTGAGTGTATACCTGCGCCGCGCCCTCCCCCGCCCGCCTGGTGAGTGTATACCTGCGCCGCGCCCTCCCCCGCCCGCCTGGTGAGTGTATACCTGCGCCGCGCCCTCCCCCGCCCGCCTGGTGAGTGTATACCTGCGCCGCGCCCTCCCCCGCTCGCCTGGTGAGTGTATACCTGCGCCGCGCCCTCCCCCGCCCGCCTGGTGAGTGTATACCTGCGCTATACCTGCGCCGCGCATCGTAAAAAGACTGCACGTGAAACAGAGTGTGAGGAGAAACCTGAAAGGACACATTGTCGTACTGGCTGGGGGCGTTATATTTCAAAGTGTAATGGCACACCGGTCGGAGTATCAAAGTCTCTTGCTGTCAAACGTTTGTGGCAAACTGAACAAAGTCATCAGAGGAAAGAGAATTTACACAAGCGTTATAGAGGTTTTATGGACGACTATGAAGAGTTACAAGATATGAAAAAGGATCCTTTTAAGAAAAGAAAGAATAACCACCAAGCTTCTGGGCCGTTCCACCATAATTCATTTTGCGTAATAATTATTTCTTGTAAAGACATTTTTCTTGCAGCTACTTGACACAATAAAATATTACTCTTTATTCAATTTAGATTTTTTCTTATATCCATGGTATGAATAAAAGCGAGTAGGTAAGGGAAGAGTATAAATTTTCAAATAATTTTCCGTTATACTCTTTGAATAATAGAGAAAAGAGAGAGTATATTCAAAATAATTTTCCGTTAAACCCTTTGCCAACTGTCAAATAATTATCCGTATTTTACGATGAATATTTTCCCTTTTATAATGTATATTTCTTGAAACCTATATAATATTTACGACTTACATTATCCAAGTATTTGTTTTATCGTCACTTATTCAAATCCGGCTCGAAGGACCAAATGTTCACACAACACACTATACTAGGTAATGAAACATCTAACGTAGGCTGACATAACTTTATTGACAGTTTACTTTTTTATAAACTACTAAACACCTATAACAATTGCTGTTATTTAAAAATGTGAGATCTTAAAGTAAATTAGATTGGCCAGTTTTTATCAGAATTAAAAATATATATATAGAGTTTATTTGTCAGTCAGTGCTAAAATTTACGACATTTTGACCTTCATATCTTTATAACCGTTTGAGCTAGCTTCATGAAATTTGAGCTTCTAGATGTCGTTATGGATATAATTAAACAGTTTTATGTGTTTGCGTTAAAGAGGTTTTGGGTTATAGAAGGGTCAACAGTGCCACCAAGTGGTTCGTGTAATATTACACTCGGCGCTGGCTAGCCAGTTCCTTTGCTTGAACTTGGCTTGACACGCTGCCGCGTGTCTAGATAACTATCGAAAGGGTTTACCATAAGGATTATTTTTTCCTAAATAAAATTTTAACATTTTAAATGAAAGGAAAATCATGATATTAAAATTTTATTCAGAAAAACTTTGGGGCTAGGCTAATTGGTTGAGTGTTGAAAATATCAATTTATTTAGTTATAATATTTTTTTAGTTTATAAATAATATTATATTATTTTCCAGTCGGAGCTCTCGTTCTGGAATGCCGACGACATTGACGAGCTCATAGACATAGCCATGGATCCACCCACAATACCATCACTGAGCTGATAATATCCATTATTCAACCACATTCTTAGGTATTAAGATTGTTCAATATTGAAAATGACGATTAGTACTTACATAAGTCCAAAATTGTAATTAATTCATCTGATTAATACATGAGTATCAAGGGCCATTTTAATGTTAATTAGCATATTCAAATAGGTACAAGACTCGTATAGACTAGATATATTACAAGCACACTGTATAATTGTATAGCATGTTCTTTTTTAAGTGTAATTATTTATGAAATAATGTAAAGCAAATCATTTTTCTTAATAAATTGTAATAAAATTATTTTTATAGACAGTATTGTACTTCTTTATTTAATCAAACACCCATATTCTATAATAACACTATTCAAAATAATTATCAGTCTTCATAACATAATATAATTAAAATATTTCAAATCAGAATCAACAATCTAATCATACATTATCACTTACTAAACTATTTTCACACTTAACAAGAAATTTTACTTATGAATTTTAAAAGCCACAGCTACTCCAACTATGACAAGCACAACAGCGGACATCTTATATAGCATATTGTAAATTACTTGATTTTGACCAGCTACTGAATTGACTATTAGATTATTCATAAGGAATACTTGATTACTTTCTTCAATGAAAGCCTGCTTTTCCTCATCAGACATTGTTTCTGCTATCTCGTTCATAACAGCTCTGAAATCGTTCTTAAGCTTGCTTATGTCAGCATCTCCAAAATCTGTCACCTTATCAGTGTAACTGTCTGAATTTTCTTTTTCTGAAACAAACAATGTATTATAAGGCAAGGATAATTTTCTGTGTGTATCTTAATAATAGATGTTTGTTACTCTTTTTCTTATAAATCACAAAATATTTCATAATCAACACCAAAGCATACTAACTGTTTCCAAACATCTTCCTTTTCTTGGCAAGGATCTGGCCACCGCTGAGCAAACCCAGGTACAAATGATACACATAGGCCATCAGTAATGTTGGATTCTCCTTCTCCAGCCCCTGTAGATGTTCCAAATAGTTTTCCAGAGCAGTCGATTTGGGAAGCGACTGCCAGTTCTCTCCAAGATAGTGAAGAAGATCTTCTTCAAATGCACTTTTTCTGTGAAATATTTATAATGAGTAATGAATGCCTATTTTGAAATATGAAAATAGCTATTGGTTTTGGTGCTTGTTTGATGTGTAAAGTCAAAGCAAAAATCTTTGACTCGAGACATTAATAGAAGTGGAGACTTAGGAATAAATGGATTATTTCTTGATGTTTTACATCACATGTCAATATTTGTTTCAAAGGTTTTCAGGCACATCACTCATTAAATAAAATAAGTTTCAACGGTTAGATACACTGATTTTATTTATTTATTGATGTTTCACCTCCTTTTTTAGCATCACAAAATAATAAAAATCATGTCAATAAATAAATAAAATCAGTGCATCCAACCCGTTGAAACTTGTTTTATATTCACATGTCAATGTCAAAATTCTGGACCACAATTGCTACTTAGAAATCTTTCCCCATATGTGACATCCAAAGATGTTTTACACTAACATCATATTGCAATATCAATGCTGGAGTGAAAATCTAAAATGCTCTCTAAAACCATGCTCTGGAAGTATGAGGAAATCAAAATGTGCTACCTTTTTCTTTCACATGCAGATAATAGAACTCTACAGACAACTTGTCACAAATGTTTCCTACAATTTAAACTCTTGAGAACCCTCAAGCACCATGGATCAAAGGTATGTATGTATATGTTGATACTAACCTATGTAAGCATTTCTGGACAAACAGCTTATTGTAATCGGGCATATTTAATCTTTCCTTAGCATCTTCTAGATATGCGAAAATGTGGTAGAAGACAAACAGACCTCCTCCCCACACAGTTTCATCACGAAGTGCTGGAATATTAAAGGACACATTTACTTTCATACCTACTTATAAACAATAAAAAATTATAAGTAAAACAACATGTTTGATTTGAAAGGTTTTGAATTAGGTAATCATTATGAGCAATTTAGTTAAATTAATTTTGAGAGTAGGTAGAATGAAAAATCAATCACGTAAATATTTTGTTGAAAACTTACAGATGGCAAACTTTGCATTCACTAATGCGTCACTGACCGAATGTATTTTCCTTGTTGCTTTCCTCATGCGAGTAGTAAATGATTCTACGTTTTCCGACATTTTAACAAGTATTTAATTAATTATAGCAAATCGGTAAATTAAAACAAGATAACCGGCAGGTAAACAAGAATGAATCAGCTGATTCTGTGCACTGTTATTTTTTTTTTTTTTTAATTTATTCTGGCCGTGGAGAGGAGACCATCTGTGCACTGTTCAGACCAGTGCTGCCAACTCTACATGTCAAAATGTCGTTATCGTACGCTTGAAAAGTCGCTAGTTATCGCTAGACGCTTTATTTTTGTACTATTTTCCATATAATAGAAAGTTAGCAAGGTAAATAATATGAAATCGATATAGCCCTATCTTTAGTAATAATAACGGTGTCGATTATAGCATGATTCTCTAAACCTAAACTTAAAGAAGGATGCCCATTTGTGACCTGTCAAATCTGTAAAAAAAATTTGCGTGTATAATTATGTGACATACCTCAAAAAAAAGGTAATTATTCGCTTATTACGAAATCAAAATATCAACAAAAACTACAATCCAGTTTTTTCATAAATAATTTTTGAAAATAACCATTATGTAGGTACATTTTTTGCTATCACACGAACGCATCCATTAGGGAAGAGTATTGTATCAAAGTAAAATGACAATTATGAACGCAGCTTAAATGTAGATTCGCACTCTCCTTTCCAATGTTGCCAGCCATGCGGTAAATACCGTATTTAAATGGTAATGTAATACTTAAAAGGCATGGCTTTAATTTAAAGTTTCTTTCCGTTCTTAACAAAGACTGGCCATTTTCTTAGTGAAACATGACCGAAATAGTTAGGACTCCATCATCTCTTCGGCTGACTACATGTGAAGGAAATTCGTTCCGAAAAAATGCCAGCAATAATGACAGCTGCTCAAAGTACCAATCATCTCAATTAATGGAAGGTATTGTAATTTTATTTTAGATTATTACCTACTTATATACTTGTCTACCAGAGATTTAAATAATACATAGTTAAATGTCTTAGATGTCTATAGATATAATTAGGTAAAGGTCAAGATTATCATTTATTCATTCGCTTGCAGAAACTAAGACATTAAGTACCTACTATTTCAATAAAATAATTGAAACTGAATTATTTAATCAATAAAATATAAAAAAAAAATGTTTAATTCCAAAGACAATATTATAAGGATGACACCTCAGCATGATACATGTTATGATATTAATCCTTTTTTCTTCAATCCTCAGATCAAGCTTCAATCAAACAAAACAAGCGAATTGAAATAAATACCTAGCTGGGCTAAGACACCACAGCTGTGACAGCACACAAATGAATAATCTTATGCTGGCACTTCACTTGGCTATTCATGTAAACTTTACTTCAGTCTGTCCTTTTCTTTCCTTAAAACATGATAAGGACAGACTGTTGTCAAGTTTACAAATAGCCAAGTGAAGTTCCGGCATTAGATAATCTATAATCAATCTCGTAACCACAGAGTAAGTAAATGACATCTTCAGCAGTTGAATAACCTCAGAATTAGTTTTCGTTATAACTTCTATTCCTCATTGCCAAATCAAACCAAATTAGCAACATTATTTCAGAAGATTGTAATAATTAGTTAACAACCTCAACAGTCAATATACATCCATAAAGAAAAAACCGAAGTGACAGGTTTTCGAATGTATGGGCAGTGGGCATTGTTCTTTGACTACAGTGAGTCGATTATGCCGTGATTCTCTAAACTTAAAGCTCAATTTAATATCAGTCTCTCCTTTTCATAATTTATAGAGAATGACAAGGGTACACTGGCGTAGATTCTGGCAAGATTCTTTAAACTTAAAACTACATTTAACATCAGTCTGTCCTTTTCACTCTGTATAGAGAATAACAAGGATACACTGTTGTCAAATTTAAGTTTAGGTTTAGAGAATCATACCGGAATCGACACCAGTATCGACCATAGATGTATAACAATAGAGTGGGGTAGGCGGCTCTTAAAGTGCCCGTCTAATAAAAAGGGAAAGAAGATGAGAGACGGCTAGCCTTTCTCTCTCTATTCGTGAATGCGGATGAATACGGATAAATATCGACCAATCACACGACTGCGCAGCGTCACAAGAGAGAGAGAGATAGCTAGCCTTCTCTCATCTTCTTTCTCTTTCTACTAGACGGACACTTCCACTTGTAGTAGAGTACATATCTCCCCTACTCTATTCTTAAACCTCTATGGTATCGACACCATAGTCTGTTTGTGGCTCAGTCTGTGGCTTGTGCTTAACTGCTTACTAGTGTTGCCGAACTATCGATATTAAAACTATCGAGAGTTTACATCGAAAATCATGTATCAAGGCCAATCGATGGAATCGATACAACCGATAGTGTCGAAACTATCGATAGGTCAGAACAAGGCAATACTATCGAATGAGTGCAATACTATTACTACTGTCGATACTATTGTAATTCGTTAATAACAAACTATTGATAGTATCGATACTATCGATAGTGTTGATTTTATCTGCAACAATACTACCGATAGTATCGATACTAGCGATTGTTTTAGACTAAAGTTTGTGATTGACTATAACACCTAAACAATACTATTGCAAATTGTTAAACTATCGATAGTATGGTTGCAAATAAAATAGTCAGTATGGATACTATCGATAGTTTGTTATTAACGAACTACAATGCTATCGATAGTATTTAACTCATCCGATAGTTTTGGCTTTTTCTGTGCTGTCAATAGTATCGATACTATCAATGGTATCGATACTATTGATAGCACAGAAAAAGTCGATCGATTGTCATACAATTGGTTGGCTATCGATAGACTATCAATTAATCATCGATAGTCAACTATCGATCGGCAACACTACTGCTTACTTAGTTACCTATTTCTATAACAATGTACTCTATGGTTACTTAGTACTTAATTTACCGGAAAATAGTGTTGGGTAGGACACGACTAGAAAAAGAGTTTGTAAGAGTAGCCTCTTTTTTGTACTGAACCAGTACAATGTCCCACTTCAAATGAGGCGAGGCGTACTAAAGCTCGGCAATACATTTGAAGTGACGAGTACAAATATGACATTGAGGCGTACAGAAGCTCGACATTACGTTTGTGTGCACGAGTAGCACCTCCTCTACGCACTATCAATCTTGCTGGATCCAGCATGCAGGACAGCGCTATATACGTAAAACATATAGATGGATAGTGCGTAGAGGACTTAAATGAAATGTCATGCCTCGCTCTCTCTCTCAGACTTACGAAGAGTGAGTGAGTAACGAGACGCGACTATCGCGACATTTAATGTGAAGTAGTACATTTTAAAATTTTGAGCCGCTCTTACAATTTGGCGTCATGTCCGGGACAAATGTACCGCCTCTTGTAAGTCCTACGCAACACTACCGGAAAACCGGATATTGATTAGAATAGTCGTAGAATTTTGTCAATGCCTTGTACTTTAATGTTTTTAATTAAATACATTAGTAATTACTAAAATAACTTAATTGTGACGTGTTGCTAGTTGCTACTAGTGGTTTCTCAATTTAATTTTTGATACAGTACTCCGAGATGGATGTAAAAACAAAAGTTAAGGTAACCAAATAAATTCTTGTGAAATGTTTGTCTAGTTTGTTAAGTTGAAATTAAATTTTTTAGGATAGTAGTATTAATGCACAACTCTATAATAAATTTCTATTTTATGATTTCCTATAAACTATTATACTATTAACTATATTTTTTTATAGTAACTTTATTTATCCTGTTTTAAAAGTACTTGTATTGGTTTAAGTGATAAGCGTTATCAGTTTGACATTACGCTGCTGTTATCTAATCTTACGGTTACTGTTTCTTGCTCCAAGAAATAAAAATATTAATATCATGGCTTATGACTTAAAAAAAGAAGACGAAGTAAAAGAATATATAGAGAACCTAGGCATCGAGTATCGTTTCGGTTGTTATAAGGAAAAGAAACCAGAAGTGTGTCATCTTTTGGGTGATTACTTGGAAGCAATAAAGAAAGATTACGAAAAAGCCGGTAAAGTTTACAGAAGTAACTGTTTAGATTACAACTTTGGGAAGTCTTGTTTGAAAATCGGTAACTACACATTGATCGGGCGTGGAAGGAAAGAAAGCAATCCAGCTGAAGCACTCCCGTATTTCGAGAAAGGATGTGAGAACGGTGACGCTGGCGCGTGCCTTCATGCGGGCATGCTGCTTACTGCGACAGGCCCTGGCGTAACATTACAACGAGATGTACCCAAAGGTATATAAAAAAACTGTCATATAAAACTAACCTATTGATTATCATTATGAAGATAGTATTCATATACACAGCCCATGCAATGGCTATGAGAAAAAAAACAACACAGCAATTGCAATAAGTGCAAAAATCTATATAACTGCAGGGTAGTGTGTTTTGCAACTGTGGATGATTCATGTGGATAGGTTACGGGCAGACTTATCTGCCACTAACCTTACTGTTACCCATATGTTTCTTTAGATGTCTCAGATGCAGCCAATTTCCAATTTGAAAGTGTAGCTGTGAATGTATTTTTATCTTAGAGTAACTGTATTGTAGTATTGCAACTTTCATGTTGTGACAAACCAGACCAGTCCGAAGATATTATTGTGATGTAAAAATACTTAAACAGATCTCTTTGTCAATATTTCTGAGACACATAATATTATATTTTTTTTTTTTTTATTGCGAAGGGTGCGGGTTCGAGTCCCGTCTGCTGCCTGGTCCGCGTGGAATTTTTTCTAGTTATATTTTCTTTAGATTTACACATAATATTATTTGATTTTTTTTATTTAAACTGTAATCTTATTATTGTAGGTTCTTACTATAATAATTTATCTTTAAAAATTATTAAAATAAAATTTTACAGGTTACAATTACTTAAAGAAAAGTTGTGACAACAAAGATGATATGGCATGCCATTACTTATCTGGAATGTATTTGACTGGAGTTCCAAGAAATCCAAAAGAATATAACCCACATAACATGGAGAAAAACAAAAACCTGGATTACCTCATAAGGCCTGATATGAAACAAGCATTTGAATTTGCTGTGAAGGGTTGTGAATATGGTAACATGTATGCATGTGCTAATGTCAGTATGATGTACAAGAAAGGTGATGGAGTGGAAAAGAATCCTGAAGAATCCAAAAGATATTTCGACATAGCTCAGAATCTACAAAATGCACACCAAACCACAAAAGAATTGAAATTCCAGCAAGGATTATAATAGCAGCAACAAAATTCAATAACAAGGAAGAGAAATAGTGATTAAAGGAAACCATGTTCTTTGCATTTATCTTATTTTAATATTAATAAAACCATTGTACAAAATAGTTATTTATAGTTGCAAATATATTGTTACTGAATACTATTCTTTTCATTATTTCATATCACCATTTTTATTGGCTTATATTTTTTTTAAATAATATTATGACAAAAATGTAATCATTCTGAAAGAAAAAGTTACAAAATATAGCTTTAAATCCTTTTTAGCGTTAGCACTTCACTGCTGTACTAATTATTGTAATCTTATGTCTTTGCTATTTGAATATTTGACAGATGTATCCTCTAAAGAAATCCACAAATAATAGCAATGTGAAATTCTAGCATAAGACAGGTAATTTCACACAGACAAATATATACCTATCTTGAGTATAATACTCAAAATAGGTATGTTTGAAAAATCTGTATAGACTTTCACACATGCTTCGCTTCTAAATGAGCCATAATTGCCTCCTTTACCTCATTGTTCTCGGAAATTCTCCTTTTTTAAAATTGGGGAATAAATAAAAGCCACTTGGGGTCGTTGTCTTGCAAGAGCAACACACCCTTAGTCAATTTTCCTCGCCGATTTCCTTGATGGCATCCTTTAATTTTTCTAATATTGTGGCGTAGTATTCTCCGGTTATAGTCCTTCCCTTTTCTTTGTAATCAATCAGGATTTTCCCTTCACAATCCCAAAAAACAGGAGCCATCGACTTTCCAGCCGACTCCGACACCTTGAATTTCTTTGGCGGTGGTGTCCCCTTTTTATGCCATTGCATGGACTCTTGTTTGGTCTCAGGCTCCAAAGTGATGAAGCCATGTTTCATCTCCGGTAACAATCCGCTCCAAAATCTGAGCAGGTTCGTCTCCGCACAACTCCAAAAAATGTTTTGAGGAATCGACGCGCTGCTGTTTTTGAAGCGGCGGCGTGAGCATTCTTGGTACCCATCTTGCACTGACTTTTGTTTTGTCCTACTTCACAAAAGTCAGGTGGATATGGTGGACATGTAGGATTCGCAAAATGGTGGTATCTGATACTCCAACTAATGCAGATAACTGTTTTTCTTCAAACGGTCATCATCCAGCACAAGTTTCTCTACTTTTTCGACGATGTCTGATGCTTGGTTTGGTTGGTGACTTCAAACGGCCTTCCTGAGCGGGGGTCGTCTTCAATCAACTCTCGACCTTGTTTAAAAAGACCATGGCACTTGTAAATCATTGACTTACTAGGGCACTGTTCCCCATAAACTGCTCCCATTTCATTCAAAATGTTCTGAGCATTCTTTCAGTATAAAAGTACTATCATTTATGTGGTAGTGATACAGATACACTGATTCTGGCGTGATTCTCTAAACTTAAAGCTAAATTTAACATCAGTCTTTCCTTTTCATTCTGTATAGAGAATGACAAGGATACACTGTTGTCAAATTTAAGTTTAGATTTAGAGAATCGTGCCAGAATCGACACCAATATTTATTTATTGCGCTATCTTACACAAACATGACAATTTATATTACATAACAACCTTTCCAGTTTAATTGTTTTCGTCAGATCCCCGATCAGGGGGCCAATCGCCTAACGGAAATGCTTTGGAAAACGCTATCACTTACGATTTCATTTTGTTATTTCTGACCGCCTAAGGTTTTCAAATACCTCACGCTCACACGCTTTTCTTTTATATTGTTACTAGCTGTCCCAGCGAACTTTGTACCGCCATAAAAAATAAGAGTTGGTGGTAGAAGGGTGAAAATGTAGGGTTCTATGCATTTTTGTTTAATGTATCATAAAAAAATTGAAAAAAAAATTTTGGGGTGGATTACCCTTAACATTTAGGGGGATGAAAAATAGATGTTGTTCGATTCTCAGACCTACCCAATATGCACACAAAATTTCATGAGAATCGGAAAAGCCGTTTAGGAGGTGTTTAACCACAAACACCGCGACACGAGAATTTTATATATTAGATTACCAATGCAAAAGAAAAAAAAGAGCGCGAGGCATTTTAAAACCTCAGGTGGCTAGAAATAATAAAATAAAATCTTAGGCGAATGGCCCCCAAGTCAGTGTCATGACGCGATCAGTCCACGTGTCCTGACGCGAGTTTAACATTTTTTACCCATACAAAAAAAAGTGTACAACGCCGCTAAAGAAGTTTTCACTTCAAAATTGAAAAATATTTAGTTTAAATTTTATAACTTATTGATATTACGACCTATATTTACGTACAACGTTACATTACGTAGCGTGCAGAACACGCGGGTTTTTACTGTTTACGGCACCCGCTGCAAGCACGCGCACGGCACGATCATCCGCAGAACCCCGCGTTCTGGCTCCTCGCACGCTCTGCTATTTTTATGTGGGTGACCAAAAGGCGCGTTCTGAATTCAAACTGCGGTCTCGTGAGTTTTGAAATAAAACGCCGCGCAAGGACCAACCACTCACGCATGCTTCCTCACGACTTAGAGATTGACATAATTATCTCTTATCTAATAGACAAGTCCGTCCGTCCGTCCGTGGTGCTGTTTCAGCGGCCAAACCGTAAGAGATAGATATAGAGAATGTTTAAGTTATAAGTTAAGAATAGTCTGATAAGACTACAAACCGGATGTGAGTAACGTAGCACTTCCGGTTTTCGAGAAATCACGTGATTTCTATATCAAACGAAACCACACAAAATCTCCGAAGTTCTCAATTAATTAAATACATTTTTTTTTTTTTTGGTGAACATATTTTGGTTCACTGGTTTGCTAGTAATTATGTATTTGATGACGCTTTTGGGCAGTTATGTAAAACAGCTCTGTTTTATTTGTCAAACGTAACTAAATTAATTGAATTAATTCGACTTCAATATTGTATAATCTTTTATGACATTTTTTTTATTATTTCCTTTTTTTATTAGTTTGACATCTTTAACTGAAATGACTTAATTAATGTATAAGATCACCATTAATGTATTAGACATTATATTTTTCACATTATTTTTTGGTATTTTTTAATGTTTCCTTGTTTTGACTTATTTTATTAACGTATTTCATCCTATCACTAGTTATTGTAATTGATTTTGACATGCTGTTTATATTTAAATATATATTTTCGACAATTGCTACAATGAATGTTCATGTATAATTGTATTCATTCATTTCATTTATTCGTTGTATAATAAAATCGTAATTACGTAACATCCCAACAATAATTTATTATATTTGATTTTGACTTGCTGTTCCTTGTTTATAAATTTTAATTATATCTTAGCTTGCTGACGTTTTGGGTAAACTGTACGTCAGTGTGTTTATTAATAATAAATAAATATAATAGCTTTGCCCAGCCAAAGGCGTCGCGCCTTTCCAGACATTTATGAAAAGGTTTATTCTTTAGCGATACACGTTAATATATTGAATAACCCAGATTGGCATCATCGGCGGGTCCGGATTCGATGACCCCGGCCTATTCGCAGAGCAATCGGAGAAGGTTGTTAGCACCCCTTTCGGAGACCCTTCAGACGTGATCCTGGAAGGACGCTTGCACGGCGTGCCCTGCGCTCTGCTCGCTAGACACGGCAGAAAACACCAATTGCAACCAAGGTATTGGCTTTAAAAAAAGGGCCTTATTTTTATTTTAGACGAAACCATCTGTGTTACTAACTTTCTAATCACCTACCGCAATATTAATGACACTACCTACTGCTGATACATAGGCCATTCCTGTAGATGTAAGATGGAGGTAATTGTCCCACGTCGCGGTCCCATTGCGGACTAGTGGGTGCTAACGACTGCAGATGCTGCCGGAACCAACGACTTAGCGTGCCTTCCGAAGCATGGAGGAGCGAGTGATAATAAAATCTCAATCCCCACCTTATGATTATCTTAGGAATAAGTTGCTTCACTTCTACAATCGCAGTTCAAACACGCTGCAACCAACGCGCCATCGTGCTTCTCGTTTTGTTAATAATTGGAAATCAATTAAATTACTTTTTGTATGTATACGTGGTATTTTCAGTGACGTGAACTACCGCGCTAACATCTGGGCATTGAAGGAGATCGGCTGCACTCATATCCTGGCTACCACAGCCACCGGCTCACTGGTAGAGGAATACAAGCCTGGAGACCTCGTCATTCTCGACGACTTTATTGATAGGTAAATAGAGTGCAAGCTCCAAATTAAAAAAAAAATCTGTATATATAATTTCAACACACACCAAAGCCTAGGCCCAAAGTAAGTATGTAGGCTTGTGTTATGGGATACTAGGGTAACAAATAGAATACATGTACTGACACATATGTATATAGTATAAGTATATTTATATAGAAATACATATTTAAAATCCATGACTGGAGACAAATACTCGTATTCATCACACGAATATCTGCCCCAACCGGGATTCGAACCCTCTCGATGTTGGCGACACAATGAAAACTGAAGTACATAACACTCGGCCACGGAGGTCATATGCCAAACTGGATTTTGTTAAAAATATAAATCGCTAGTTAGGAGCGTGCTAGGAGGATAACCACGTTTTGATTGGACACGTTAATATTGGATTAATTACAACACGTTAGATTAATTTGATGAAATAATGTATCGCCGTTCGTTAAAAGTAGAAGATCCGAACCTATATCAACCTTCACCGAGCTGATAATAGAATGAAACATATTTTTTCATGAGTTTAGTATATTACAAAATACACATATTAAAAATGGGTTGCCTAAAAAATCCTGAACAAACTAAGTATATTTTTTAATTAATTAAAAAAAATATTTTCAATTAAATTTTGCAACATAAAGCTGATAAGAAAATGTTGTCCTGACTTAAAGTATAAAACGTATAGAATGTGCAGCCATTGGGTAATGTAACTGGCATCGACATACCTGTTATACCTGGCAACCCAGTAGTTCGCCCAGGTAAATAATAGAAACTCCAACGGCTGCACATTTTATACGTTTTATACTGTAAGTCAGGACAACATTTTCTTATCATCTTGATGTTGCTAAATTTTTTTTATTAATTAAAAATAGTCTGTCTAGGATTTTTTTAGGTAACCCTTTTTAATGTATTTTCTAATATACTAAATTCATGAAAAAAAGGTTTTATTCTACTATTAGCTCGGTGAAATAGGCGATGTAGGCTCGGATCTTATTGTCGCCGCACACGGGCCACATGCCACAGCCACAAACGCCGCCACGAGAAGCTAGAAGCGGCTACTAAAGTGGCTGAAGCGCGCGACAACGGCCGACTAAGGTAAGGGAGAGAGGGGTGGGGAATCGCGCGAGTGACGTGTGGCGGCGTTTTGTATCGGCGCATTAAGTGGCCGGTGCGGGCCACAAGAACCGAGCAACGACGATTTGTAGCGTGTGGCGGCCACCGGCGTACCGTGTGTAGCGCGTCCATATAAAATGTATGAAAACTATAAGAAATATGCCGGTGGTGGCGTTTTGTGGTTGTGGTCGGTGGCCCGTGTGCGGCGACACTTAGACTATAACGTGTGCTTGTGTAGTTAGCTACATGAGCTTGACATAAACAAGTCTATTGTATCCAGTCTAGGGGGGGTGCTCTACCCTGTGTTCTATTTAGAAGTCAAGGGTTTTGATTGTATCGTTAGGACATGGGGTCGCAAATGCACATTCTACGACGCTACTCCTAGCGGTCCGCACGGCGTCTGTCACTTGGGTATGTCGCCGGCGTTTTGCGCGCGCGCCCGTGCCGCTTTACTGCAAGCTGCGCGATCAAGGGGTTATACCACACACAAGACGGGCACTGCTGTCGTCATACAGGGGCCCAGGTGAGAATAACACAGTTCTAACTCATTACTGTAATAGGGGTATCTAAGCGAAATTCTATTAAGTCCGTCAGTTGCATTATCAAAAACTAATGGACAAGTATTTTTTTCTTCGGTCAATCATCCAAAAAATTCAAAGTTTGGGAGTCAGGGCTCGTGACGTCACTTTTAAGTAAAAAATTGAACTAAAACATGAAGTCATGCGACACTTCAAATCAATATATCTCTGTAATGTTTTGATTACGTGAAAAAGAAAAAATACGTGTCCAATACTTTTTGATAATCTTTCGGATAGACGGAGAAAAAAACTTTGTCATCATCCCTATTACTTTCAAATGTTTAATATTTCATTTGACATCGTGGTTTACCTAAAATGCGAAGAGATGGCGCTACCTCGTAGCTTAATAAATACTAGAAGAAATTCGACACGGCCATTAAGATCAGGTAAAGGTAAGGTATCATAATTGGCTTCCTCCCGGATAGCGGCGGGTGCGAGTTCGAGTCCCGTCTGCTGCCTGGACTGCGAGTTTTTTGTAGATTTAAACATCAGTAAAATAATTAAAATATAACTGTAATTCTCTTTCTTCTCCTTTACTAACGGCCAGTTTTAATAATTCAAGCTAAAAAACTGATTCGAACAAAAAAGATTCATCAAAATCAGTGCACGAATCTCGGAGATATCATCATCATCATTTGCCTATTAATGTCCCCACTGTTAGGGCACAGACCTTTCCTATGGATGGAATAGGGAGATTGGGCCATAACCCACCACGCGGGCCCAGTGCGAATTAGCGGGTGTTAACGACTGCAGACGCAGCCGGGACCAACGGCTTAACGTGTCTTCTGATGCACGGAGGAACTCGAGATAGAAGATTTTTGGTCAGTTGGTCACCCATCCATTGGCTGCGAAAGTTGCTTAACTTCAACGATCGCAGCCGAACGCGCTTACCACCCATGCTATCGCGCTCCTCGTCCAATCCAATGCTCTGCCCGCTCACGTGTTCCCCCCCTCTTACAACCTGGGATCCTTTAAAAGAGGCGTGAATAAGCAACATGCAGGCCGGCAGGGTGAGGATGGCTGGTGTAGCAGGTAGAACTGCTGTATCAGCTATCTTCGCGTTTGGACTTCACCTTCACTTAACATCAGGTGGGGTGGAGTCATTTGTCGGACCTATCTATAAACTAAAAATAAAAAATAAAGCTCCATAAAGGTTCTAAACTTATTAGCTTTGTTAGAAAGATTTTTTATTATTTAGATTAATTTCTAGGAAACCAGTAGAATAAGCTTACCTTTTACTGGCAGCGCCACCTTGTCACATTGCAGACAACTCAGTATCACAATAGAAACTTTGACGAATTCAAAAGTTGAATAAAAGCTATGTACTTTGTTTAAAGCGATGCTGTATTGACATTTTCAAAAAATTTCAAGTTAGACCAATAACCGAATAATTATAATTATAAATAATTATTTATTCTGTGACATTTTAAGGTTTGATGTCTCTCGATTGTGACTTCATTGCCTAATCACTAACTTTAATCAGCTTTGCAGTTACTTTACCTGCCAACCTAATATCTGAATCACTGTATGTGACATTTTGCCTTTACAATTTTGTAACATCCCAATAGATTTTCGAGTCGCGCCGAGAGTCTGATGCATCGCCAGTGGGGCGGCCACTTAGTCAACATGACCACTGTGCCTGAGGTTAGTTACATTTACTATACCTGAGGTTAGCTACATTAACAATGGCTGAAGTTAGTTACATTTACTGTGCCTGAGGTTAGTTACATTTACTATGCCTTGGGTTAATTACATTTACTTTGCCCAAGGGTAGTCACATTTACTATGCCTGAGGTTAGTTACATTTACTGTGCCTGAGGTGAGTTACATTTACTGTGCCTGAGGTCAGTTACATTTACTGCGCCTGAGGTAAGTTACATATACTGCGCCTGAGGTAATTTACATTTACTGTGCCAGAGGTTAGTTACGTTTACTGTGCCTGAGTTTAGTTACGTTTACTGTGCCTGAGGTTAGTTACATTTACTGTACCTGAGGTTAGTTACATTTACAGATCTTATTGTAGCATGTTATTAGTGAATCCTAAGTTATTTCCGATTGATTTGGAGCATTCATCTGGAGAGGTGACTGCCACCTTACTACTTTTAACCTTAAGTAAACAAAAATAACATGGAAATTTTGTATATCATCAAGTGACGCCCAAATTTTATCCTGATTTCGAAAAGGAAGTTAAAATGAAGCTTAATATACTTAATTAAGTCTTTTAATACTGGATAAACAAAGTTTTGACACCCTAAATTTTAAAAAATCTGAGTAAATAAAGCAAACATACTCCAAGTAGTTTTAATTCATTTTGGTCGGCATTTTACCGCTCAAGACTTACAAAATACGTCGTTTCTCTAAAATTTGTGTACACACACTGAGTGACTGCTCTACAGCTTCCTGTCCCATACCCGACATCCTTCTGCACTACTTTATTTAGCTTATTAAAGCAGTAGTCCATAAGCCTTTTACAAAAAACACATATTTTATTTATAATAATATTAAATAATATAGTATAAAGCAAATAAATAAAGTACAAAAGCAAACTTTTATAATGAAAATGAGTTTTTCGGTTATTTTTCGATGTAAACAATCAGACAATAGTCATTAAATAACAGACTAAAAAAAAATATTTTGTTGACTTCTTTAATGTAATAGCCAATCAAACGACGCGACATCAAACAATCGAACCAATCAGCGCTCACAGCCGAGAACAACGACGCAATCAGAACCAAGTTTTGGTCAAGTTATGAGCATTTACTCACACAACTGTGGCGCACCTGCCCCGCCCACAAGGCACTTCTAACCTCTATCTGTGTTCTGTGTTACTAGTTTACTATACAAAAAGTATGTCGTCCTTAATAATGTCAAGCAGCTAATATGTAGATCTGTTAGAATTCTAATAATATATAAATATATGTATAATATTATTAGGTCGTATTGGCTAAAGAAGCGGGCCTGAGTTACGCAGCCGTCGCTCTCGTCACAGACTACGACTGCTGGAGGGAGAACGAAACTTCTGTAAGTTATATTTCTTATTTTTTCTCATCTCTCAATCACACTAATATTATAAAGGCGAAACTTTGAGAGTCTGTGAGTGTGTATGTTTGTTACTTCTTCATGTCTAAACGGTTGGAGCGATTCTAATAAAATTTGGTATGGAGTTTAATGACACCCTGGACTAACACATACTACGTTACGTTATCTACGCTACGTTTTACTGCGAGAAAATATCCCTAATAAACCGCGGGTAACACCGCGGGGCACAGCTAGTAATTTAATAAAACACTTTGAACGAGTATAAAGCAGGCAGGCTTATCTTGAACCCTGTAAAGGCCCCGCAACGTGTAAAAGAATGAAAAATCGCAAATCGCGCTTTCTATTAATAAAAAGGATATAAGTATACATTTATAAAGTCAGTCCTGTTTCTCAGAGTGAGACGAAAGGAAGTATTGTTAAACAATATCTTACAATAATTCAAATCGTTAAGCCATTTTTTGCGGAGAGATATTACATGCACACAATTGCTGTTCTATATATACACCGTGAATTTTGAGTTATCTCAGAAACTGTACCAGCTAATTCAGATAATGATATAGATATTTTATTCGAAAAATATCTCCACGTTAAATCACTAGTACAATGATGCTACCTTTACCATTTTAATTGTTATAAATTGATTCAATCAAATAGAACTACTTTAACGATCTACGTACTTTAAACGTATAATAATTCCATAAAAGGTATGTCGTCGTTGCGACTTCAAGTTTTTGACGAAATACCTTTTTTATACGGGTTTATTTCAAATTTTGGCGCTACATCGAAAGCAAGAACTCTCATGTGAATATCTTTTCAATTTATATTTATTTACTTTATTCAATATATCTTAAGTGCTTGCTCAAGTAAAGTTGGCATTTAAAATATCTTATGTGTAAAAGCGCTAGATAGGTAAAAATTGTTATTGGTCAAATTTTCGAAATAACTAACCAATAGAAGCACTGGAATGAGAGGGATGCATAGATCGCGTGATTATTTTCCGATTGTAGGTGTTAGATGGGGGTAGTAATATAAAAATTACGTTAGCTTCGACGGGTTCTCGCTCTGTGGTTAAATTGTGGTTATAACAGTCGATGTGTAATACTTTGTACTTTATTATTTAGACTTAAAAGTCTTTCTAAGGTAGCTCGACAAAGTAAATAAAAGTCATTATTCTGAAGATGCATTCCTGAAAAGGATGCGAAACGCCAGTAAATAAATTAATTCAGTGCATATAACCCGTTACAATCGGTTTTATTTAATGAGTGATGTGCGTGAAAACCTAAGAAACAAATACAAAATATATCTGCTTTTTTCGCAAGGTATCTGTGAGCGAAGTTCTGGAAATGTTCAAGAAGAACGTGAAGAAAGCTGCGGACGTGATCATAGACGCGGTGCAACTGTTGGCCGCGGACGACGACCTCTCATACTTGGATCAATACAAGGTAAGTACTGTGGATCTATAGACTATTAAAGATTTAGTAGAGAGAGAGAGAAAGAGAATTTAGTACTAATAGTTTAGCAGACTTATAACCTCTCGTACTTGGATCAATACAAGGTAATTACTGTGGATCTGTCTCCTATTGATATACTATCAAGGACGTAGCGAGTATTTAGTGGGGGGGGGGGGGGCAGGCAAGTAAAACTATAGTGGTCCGTCGTCCGCATTGCACAGTCTCATCCGTCGAGGGGGGATGCCGGGCATACCCCTGAACGCCAGGAGGACGACCCCTGCCGGGGGTAACGTGGACATTCACCAGGATCCCACGAAACAAGTTCCGGCAGGCGAGGAAGCATTGTTGGGTTTTAAGTTGGGAACCCCCCCCCCCTCATTTGGGGGGAGAGTCCCAAATAACCTCATCTCTTACCCAGGGGCTAAATATGCGTCACGCATTTTCCCAACAATAAAAACAAGGCAAGTAAAACTAATATGTTCGCTACAAAAATGAAATTTGATATCCTAATTACAAGAGCAATCTTCTCGGTTCTTCTCAGACCCGTTTCAAGACTTCACCTGAAATTGCATATAAATTTTTTCGCACTATCTTTCGGTATACACTTAACATTCACAGGTAATTTAAGCAGTTAGACATTAATTAAAGCTGATGATAATGATGACTGTGGATCTATCTTCTACTAGTGTATTGATTTGCTACTGCCCGGAGCGCATAAGAAGCGGTCGTGTCGCCAAATATTTTATAATTCATATTTAATTTTGCTATTCAACTCTAAACTGCAATGTAAACAAGACTGAGTCTGTTTTGAGATTGAACCACGTGAGTGAATTAAGTTCTTACACTCCTGAGCAACAGCTGGCAGCACCTCCTCGGGTAAAAAGGACGGGCTCCTATTTTTCACCTCGCTTGCACGTACGTCGCGCGCGCAAACAGTGAGTACCTCCTTACATAAGAATAAACAAATCACCACTATGAGCGTACAACGATCTCCTCCAACTGGAAGTGACACTTTGTCCGTACGAAGTGGATCCTATCCTGATTTACCAAGTAAAACCGTATGTCAAGATACACCAGAGGTACAAAAGACTTTCCGTAACAAACGAAAGTTAGGCAGTGACTACGAGGAAATGATGACGGAATTTTCGGAGATGAAAAAACAGATAACAACGATTCAAAATCAGATGAGCGAAATGATGACATATTTATCTACTATGGTAAATATGCAAACAGAAAATTTTAAAAAACTTAATGAAGATGTGTCAGTTATTAAACAACAAATGCACGACATTAAGTTGACCTCCGACACGTTATCTGTAGAACAGGCTAAATTAAAACTAGATATTGACAACTTAAAAATAAACAATAACATAACTGAAAAGAAAATAGAATCGATTGAATCTAGCCTACAGCATGATAATACTTATCCCCTGAGCCGTTTCTCCATGTCAGATACACGAGAAGAATTAGTAGCTGAACTTAGTGAAAGAAACCTGAGGAGCAGAAATATAATAGTGATGGGTGTCCCCGAACCAAAAGCTGATAATCCAAAGGAAAGACGAGAAGAAGATATGAACGCAATCCTTAACATCCTTAGAAATATCTTAGGTCTTAAAGACATTCCTGACCCCGATAAAATCTATCGCTTGGGTAAATATCAATCGAGTAGGCATAGACACATGAAAGTGTGTTTTGCATCTCAGGAAACAGCAAAATTAATACTGAAAAGTAAACAAAATCGAAATGACAATAACATTAAAATATTCTCCGACCAAACACCCCAACAACAGGAATACATGAAAATGTTAAAACACGAACTTGAAAAGCGCACGTCAAGTGGTGAAGAAAATCTTTGCATCAAATACATCAGAGGAGTTCCAAAAATAATAAAAGAAGTTCCAAAAAACTCCCACCAGCACTTTCTACACACAAAGTCGTAGAAAATCTTAAGTCAAACAAAGTGTCATATCAAACTACTAGCAAATACACTGAAATAATAATTAATAAGAAGTCCCTAAAATGCTTCTACGCCAATGCCCGAAGTATTGTTAAACCTGGCAAATTTGACGAGCTCGCATGTGTAATCCAGTCGTTTCAATACCCAATTCAGGTAATTGTATTAAGTGAAACATGGTTAAAGTCCGAGGACCAGGCTAAAAGATTCCAACTACCAGGATACACTCACTATTTTAACATCAGACATAGCAGCAGAGGCGGCGGCGTGTCAATTTTTGCTCATAATTCATTAAAACACAATTTAATTGAAGAAAGCTCATTTAACGAAAATCACTTTCTCTGGATACACGTAAACAAATTCTCTTTAGATATAGGAGCTGTTTACAAACCTGAACGTACTAACAACAAGGATTTTTTACAATATTACTCAGAACAGCTAGAAAAACGAAAAAGGGGACTGGTTTTTGGAGACTTCAACGAGGACCTTTTAAGCATGGATCGATCAGTTGCTGACTATAAAGCAACCGTAAAGGAATGTGGATTTCAACTCATCAACAAAATAGACACCCATTTCTGCACCAGAGAAAGTAGCACAACAAAAACAATACTCGACCATGTCTGCTCCAACTTGAAAAATAATGTTTTCCACCTAGCAGTTGTGGAATCGGATATGTCTGATCATAAGCAAATATATTTCGAAGTAATAAATTACAAATCTAAACCTATAAGATCAATCCAATATGAAGCAATTGACTATAATAGTTTGTATAATACGATTGAAAATATGAACTGCAATGCAAAGCTTGATTATCATGTCTTTGAACAAAATCTTATTTCATCCATACGCCAAAATAAGATCACTAAAACTAAAAAGTGTAACCCACCGAAACAAGACTGGATAAAGAAAGATATTATAAAAGCAATAGAAAAAAGAAATACACTAAGACTAGAACACAAAAGAAATCCAACAGACAAGCAGGTAGAAGAGGAATACATAAAAAAGAGACAAGCATTATCACGAAATATACGAACAACAAAATACCAATACTACTACAAGGCATTTAAGGACTGTGAAAATAAACCTACTAAAATATGGAATTTAATAAACACTCTGTCACACAACAAAATAAAAGATATCTCGGTTCCAGCCAAACTCCAGACAGATACTAAAACTATCACAAATACCCAAGAAATATGCGAATACTTCAACCAATATTTTTCAACAATCGGAGCGTCTTTAGCAAACGAGATACTAATAAACTTTCATTCCCATACCACCTCGAATACAACAAGATTAGACCAACATACACAGAAACTGTCGCAACTAACACCTACGACTGAGGAAGAGGTTACCAAGATCATCGATAATCTAAACTTAAAAATAGCGTCAGGTATAGATGGCATAAACACCAAATCTATTAAGTGTGTCAAGAAGCTTATTGCCCCTGAGCTCACAAAATGTATTAATAAGTGTCTTGAAATTGGTATCTTCCCCTGTAGTCTCAAAATAGCGAAAGTCACTCCTATACACAAATCTGGAAATAAATCCAACCCTGGCAATTACCGACCAATTTCAGTTCTCTCAGTACTCTCTAAGGTGTTTGAGAAAATTTTATACAACCGTCTTGAAACTTTTCTGACCTCGATTCAATTCCTTTATAACAAGCAGTACGGTTTTAGGCGCCAATCGAACACCTTATCAGCAACTGTAGATTTGACCACTAAAATAAAAACTAAGATTGATGAAAAGCATATCGTGTTAGGCATATTCATAGACCTAAAAAAAGCGTTCGATACCGTGAGTCTGATCTGCTTTTGAAAAAGTTGGAACAGATTGGCATCACGGGTGTCGCATACGCAATGATAAAATCCTACTTAACAAATCGCATTCAGGTAGTTAAAATCGGTAATTTCCAGAGCCAGCAAAAACCTGTAACATACGGCGTGCCCCAGGGCTCGATTTTGGGTCCCTTGTTATTTCTGATTTACATAAACAGCATAAGTGAAATAGGCTTAAGAGGAGACGTAACTTTATATGCCGATGACACAAGTTTATTTTACTTCGGAAGGTCAATAAATACTATTATTGAAGACGCTCAAAATGATCTTGACGCATTGCATCATTGGTTTCAATGTAATCTACTGACTATCAATATATCTAAAACTAACTACATTATATTTAAAGCTAAAAACAAAAAAAAATACCAGATTTTAAACCACTAAGCATAAATAACCAAAAACTTAAAAGTTCGAATTGTGAAAAGTACCTCGGCCTGCTTCTTGATAGCAATCTGTCATGGAAACCGCACATAGAGAAAATTAAATCAAAGTTATCCACTATTACTGGTACTCTTCGAGGAATAACACGATGTTTTCCATATAAGATGCGTTACCTTATATACAATTCCCTCGTGAAACCACACATAGATTATCTGATTGAGGTCTGGGGTGCTGCTGCAAAGAGTAACTTGGACCCAGTCCAACGAGCCCAAAATAAAATTATAAAAGTGCTCTTTGATTATGATTATCTCACGCCAACTAATAAATTGTACGAGAAAACGAAACTGCTAAATATAAGACAGTCGTATGTTTATTTTACATGTTTATTAATTCGTAAAATATTAACAAAGGATATTCACACTCAAATGAGCTTCACTAAAAAGAGACAAATCCAAAAAATTAAGCTAAGAAATGCCAATGACCTTATTTTACGTGCACCAAGAACTAACTATGGTAAAAAAAGCCTTTTGTGTGAAGGAGCTGTATTATATAATAAACTTCCTAAAGACATAAAAGAATCACAAACAATTTTAGGCTTTAAAAAGCGACTTAGATATTATGTGCAAAAATCTGTAACATAATTGAGTACGCGATTTTATTTAAAAATATATTAATAATCATACATTATTAATAATTATAACACCTTGTAACAGATAAAACTAAAAATATATTCCTCGATATGTCTATATATTTATATAATATGTATTTCTCCGTATAAAATTATAAATTTAACCATCTCAAATAAAACAGCATAAAAATAATAAACTGTAAAAAAATATGAATATACAATACAAGTCATAAATAAAGTTAATGTTAAAGTTAAATATCAAACTCATCAGAATAAAAATAGACGAAAAGGTGTTATAAAATATGTATATATATATATATATATATCACTACTTCGGTTTTTTCGTGATAATTTACATGCATCAAATAAAAGATGATGAGCGACGTTGAATTACCAATATAATAAATATAAATTATTTACAAACTAAACTCCTAACACAAGCAACTCAAGCCACTTCTAGTACGACGCGGAGCTATAACTGTGATTAAAGTTTTTTTCATTTGTTAACCGAGCCATCTATGCCCGAACGTAATCAATGAGCAGTGACACTGTTTTTAGTTCTACCCCCGACTTCAATGTATCTCCGTATTTAACCAAAATGTTATTTAAAATATTTTATGTTCTCATGGTAAGTGAATTTTGTAATTTTTTATGAAAATAAAGATCTAAAACCGTATTTGTTTTTTAACACTGCCCCTTTCCGCTATCCTTTGTCCTTGTCCGGGACTCACAGTATCTCTTATACCCAATTTCAATCGGTTCAGCAGTTTAAGCGTGAAAGGTAACAGACAGACGGACACCTTCTCATTAATAATGGTAGTTTGGATGGGATTATATCCGTTCTATAGGTTAATTCTTTTCACTGCCTTGTCCCGCTTTTTCATTCTACTCATTTATTTCAGTTCTATCACTCTTATTTCTTCAATTCGTTCAAATATCATTTATTCAGTGTAGGCTTTTGCATCCTACCATCATTCATTCATACCATATCCATTTGACATTACCTATGAAAGTCGAAAGCTACGCCATCAGATTGCAAATCTACGGCGGGAGACCTTGTACTGAAGTAGAAGAACCGGCAAGAAACTCTGCAAGTGCTGCTTTTTTTTCGTTGTTTTTTTTCATAGTGTCATCAAATTGAAAGCTGCCATCAAAATTGCAAGCATGTATTGAGGTCTTCATACTTTAATATCGCTGCCGCTATTGTTGCGGCCAACAACTTGGAAATGTGTGCATTATGTGGTTGCAATAGGGATCGAAATGCTATGTACATTTTTGTTTACACTTTGATACCCTTTGACATAAACCCTGATTCCTGCTCCCGTAGCATGAGCACTACAATTTACATTACATCACGTTTTTTAACGCGTCTAACTGTCAAACTCCATAATAATTTGACAAGTGAGCATGAAAATAACGCGTTATATATCATACGGCAGTGCTTATGCTAGGAGGGCTGATGTTTTTCTTTAGCTCCTAACCTTTTTTGGAAATTGATGAAAGTTAAACAAAATATTATAGTTTGTTTTGGAAATTAAATTGCATTTTCTTATGATTACAGGAACAAGTCGCTTCAGCTATAATGTTGAAAGAATGATACCAAGTGAAGATCTGTCTAATATCAGTCCATTCCGGGTCACACACAAAGTAATGTTAAGAAATTGTTATTATTAATCAATAAGTTAATAAAATAATAATTAACGCTTTTATCTACACCTGCACACTCATTATAAAATTTTGGTAAATTTATTTTTATACACTTTTTGTACTAAGTACACGTTATTCTACGAATAAAACAATTTAATCCATACCATTGTATCATTTATTTTAAATCTTTAAAATCCTCATACAAAACGATCAAATTATTCTTAAATACTAATCTCGCACGCGTCCTTTTAATCCTAACTTGTCTCGTTAACTTATTAATTACATACGATTTACGTATATCATTCATTACAATATTGTGCATTACTAAACTTGATCTATTGAATAAAAATGTTCAAAGTTCCTTACTATCTATTAACTATCTAGCTTAAAGTACATTCGATCGTAGACATTCTTGTGTCCGTTTCTGTGCAACGCCGCGATTCGCAGATCCTGCAATATGAAATCAAAATTTTACTAAAAAAATACATACCGTATTGAGAACCGTCCGTTTTTATGTCGGTTAATGAACCTGTGAGGAGCTCGATAGTGCAGTAGTTAGTAAAGTGACCGTGGAAGTTAAACAATGGCCAGTCATAGGATGGGTGACGAACAAGAGTAAGTTTGCTACTGAATCACACAAAAACTACTAAACGGATTTAGATGAAATTTGGTACGCACACTGTTAATGACCTGCCCCCCTAACATGAGCACCGCGATATGATATATATCGCGATTTTATTTCACTCAATTGTCAAATTACTATGGAGTATGACAGCTAGACGCGATAAAAAACGTGGTATAATGTAAATTGTGGTGCTCATGCTACGGGGACTGGAATGAGAAATAAGATACGTTCTATCCCGGAAAAATGCTATAATTGCTATGAGATTCACAATATATAGAACAAATTAATGCGAACGAAATCGCAGGCGGCCGCTAGTCTATCTATATAGATAAAAATCAATTGCTCTTCGTTAGTCTCCTCGCTAAAACTCGAGAACGTCTGAAAGGATTTATCTTGGGTCTTGAAATATTCGTGGAGGTCTAGGGAAGGTTTAAAAGGTGAGAAAAATAATTATATAAAGAAATTCATTGTGTATCATACAAGTCTGAGAACAAAAACTATAGTCTACCTACACTACAGCTCTACACCACTAGTACTACACTAGTATTAAATATAAAAAAACGAGCGAGCCTTACAGTAGTCGCGTATGATGTGTAACATTTGAAACCTCACCTTATATTAGTAAAAAAAAACCTACTACAAAAGTAATAAGCCATTTGAACATTATGTTCTAAAATCAAATCAAATAGCGCGCGCTTCCCTAACTTCATGTTACACACTTCCGTCCCACTTCTCGTAATCACTCCCACAAATTGCACGAAAGCGAGAGGAAAGATGTTCCACGTCAAAAGGTTGCAAAATATACCTGATGGCTTAGTTCTTGGGCCACGGGTTACGGCCGTGTTGTCCCGGAATCATATCCAGCAAGTACTGTCGTTGTGCTTCTGCCACTCGCTGCATTTCCGCTGCCATCGCTGCGCTGCTGCCGCCGCTACTACCTTTGCCGGCTACGGGAAAAATACGATGAGCAGATACTTTGTTCACTAATTTGTTATACAAAAGACTTTGGAAAATTGCCAAATAATAAGTTATATACCACCAAAACTATTTTTTTTTTTTTATTTATTTATTTAAGGGACAGTACACAGCTTATATGTATATTGGAATTACAATCAATGATATATAATTTGAAAGCCAATTACGACTATCCACAGATTACAATAAGGTTTTAAAACGAACAGACGTGGTTACAAAAGAAAATATGAGATGCTGACAGTTGCTAACTTAGTGAAAAAAAAAAAAAAAGAAAAGAAAACTCCAAAGTTATAATAATACAGACCCTATCTGTTTTGTTCTCAGGGGAAAATATAGGTGTACATTAAGAACCTAATATATATTTTTTTTTTCTTTACCCATATATACATACATACATATATATACATTCAGGTATATACACATACAATACATATTTATATATTTTAAGTGGGGACTGAATAACCATAATACAATATGTGAAATATACATATTTTTAATGTTTACAATATGAGGGTTCTATAATTCACGATCATAAACCCACGATTATGAGGATGTTGCTGTTTGGAAGTTCTTAAATAGTAATTGTTTCACTTTATTCAGAAATTGTTTTTTTGAACCAACAAAAGGATCGGCTTCACCAAACTTCACGTTATAGATTTTTGGTAGACGAAAAAGCACAGCATTTTGACCATATTTAGTATAATGATGTGGGACATATAATAAATTGGAAGACCTGGTACGACGAGGAAGTGTATTATAAAATCTTAGTTTAAGCAGTTCTGGACAATCAAAGCCACCACCAACGATATCATGCAGCAGACCCATATCAAGGACCTCACGACGCTCCTCCAGGGTAAGCAAGTCGTGCGCTCGGCAAATTTCCTCGTACGTCGATTTAACACGAATTTTCCGAAATCTAAAATTCAAGTGGCGTGCAAATTTCTTCTGTATGCCTTCGATACGATTAATGTAAATATTGTAACACGGGCCCCATATTGGGGCCGCATATTCTAAGAGACTACGCACGTATGCATAATAGACTATTTTTAGACTTAAGGGACTATTAAAAGGACGACATGTACGCATAACAAAACCAAGGTTGCGATAGGCCCTCCCCACTATAGTGTCTATATGTGTAGACATTACCATTTTACTGTCAAAGTACACTCCTAGATCACGGACCACATCAGATCTCACAATCGTTACATTATTGAAATTGTAAGGAAACACTATAGGATTAGGTTTACGGGTAAAACTTATGCATTGACATTTACTAATACTTATTTTTATATTATTTTTGTTATAATAATAGAAAAGATTATTTAGATCGTCCTGCAACTTTTGGCAATCAGCAACATCGCGCACACTCATGAATATCTTTTTATCGTCAGCATACAGAAGATGGTTTGAGTTCTTGATTACCTTATCTATGTCGTGGATATACGCATTATAAAACAGAGGACCGAGATGCGAGCCCTGTGGAACTCCAGAAGGGACAGTGACAAAGTCAGATCTGTATCCACCAAGAACGACCATCTGAGACCTTTTAGTTAAGTATGATTGGACCCAGCGTAATAAATCACCATGAATACCGAGGCATTGAAGTTTATGGATGAGGATACCGTGGTCTATTTCTAATATTAATAAAAATAATATTAGAATAGAGTAATATAATGTGAATCAAAAATATAATTAAATCAGTATACGTCACTAAAAATCATTCATCATTTATATATTTCTGAGTAACACATAAGCAGTCAGAATACAACTTCTGTGAATTAAATAATAATAATAATAATAATAATAATCTTTATTTCTTCTTCCACAATCTACAAATTCCATGACAACTTATTATACTTTAATTCTTATATAAAAACAGTAAATAGATTGTGAGAGACTGGTGCCTGAACTAGGCAGAACGCCTGTATCTCAGAGCACCAGGACTCTCCCTCCCCTGGAGAATGTACATTGATCAAATTATAAGGTCATTGATCTTACATATTAAATTGTAGGTATAGGAAGAAAAGAAAAACATCTTAAATTACAAAAGTTACACGACTACGCTTAAAATAAGAATAAGTACCTACAAGCTTTGATTAATATCAAAGCCTACAAGTAACAACTTGCCTTAATTTTTAACTGTAACAAGTGTGTAAGCATATTTGGTACTTCAAAATTTGAAAGAATGAGAGAGATTTATAAGGTTAGGCTTATTTATCTATGGAAATCCAATAAATTCTCAGTTTCTATGTATGTTTGAGTACGTAAAAATTGAGTAACAAAGATTTTGATGAATAGGGTATTTGACAAGTTTTAGAAAACGATCGCACACTATTTACTAATATTTATGGAGTCCATATAAAGTGGATATTTTAAAATTCTGTTGTGCAAACGGTAAAAAAACTAAATTAAAAACTCAACTTCAAATTGCCGCGTCATCGTTTTTCTGGGCATTATGGCGTCTCACTAGTGTGTGACGTCACACGACTGTCATTAAAACGTCAAACATTAAAACGTTATGTCACTTTGGCCGCAAGTTCACTAGCGTGTGACGTCATTTTAGCCTTGGCCAATGCAAGGCGTTTTCGATCACGAGACCAAAGAGCAAAAAATAATTTATATTTAATGATTTTATAGAAAAATTATTGATTATTTGTTCTTTCAGAATAGTAAAATCGCTGCTAATATTCATATTTAATACAGATACCAACAATTGGTATAGTATTCCCCACGACAACGGCTAACTGAGTCTCGGAGACGCCCTCTGTTGAGCCAACCCCTTCAGGTTCGAGTGGTCTAGAGGCTTCAGACGAAGAGAAGACTTCCCCCGTGGGGTGATGCTATCCGCCTGGAATACCTCTAGAGGCACTCACCAATTCTCGGCTTGAGGTCCCCTTAGGATCTCGCCGTCTCCAAACCCGGTGACGCTGTAAAGGTCAACTGCGCCCAACAGCATACACATTCAAAAAAAAACAAGCGAGCCTTACAGTAGTCGCGTATGATGTGTAACATTTGAAACCTCACCTTATACTAGAAAAAAAGAAATAAAACCTACTACTACAAAAGGAATAAGCCATTTGAACATTATGTTCTATAATCAAATCAAATAGCCCGCGCTTCCCAAACTTCCTGTTACACACTTCCGTCCCACTTCACATAAACACTCCCACAAATTGCAAGAAAGCGAGAGGAAAGATGTTACACATCAAAAAAAAAGTAGCCTATTATATAATTGTGGCTTTCAAGAGAATACAGTATAAATAAAAGTGATTGGTCGGCATACGTACATCGCTTACCTATGGCGGAGGCTTGCGCCATGGCCAGTTGGTAGGTATAGAGGAGGGGAGAGAACTGCATCATGGCTGCCGCGGCTGCTGCGGGAGACATCGCACCGCTGCCGCCGGCACCGTTTAAACCTGAACATTTAAACAAAATTTTACTATAAAAAATAAAGCGAGTGTGCTTCTGACCACACTACTGAAGTGAAACTTCTTTAGCTCCAATGATCTGAAAATCATGAACTTAAACTGAAGATTTGTTGATAGAAAAAAAAACACCAATATGCGCTGGGTCCGTTATGACCCACTAATCCAAGCTGGGTCCGTTTACACCCACCAATCCGCGCTGGGTCCGTTATCACCCACCAATCCGCGCTGGGTCCGTTATCACCCACCAATCCGCACTGGGTCCGTTATCACTCACCAATCCGCGCTGGGTCCGTTATCACCCTCCAATCCGCGCTGGGTCCATTATCACCCACCGAGCACTAGATTCATGTATTTTGTGACGGGTATTATCCATTGTTTACCGATGAGTCACCGATGACTCTAATCGTAACACATTCGCCAGTTTACCCCCCAAGTCAAAGGTGCCTAAAGAAGTTTCAATTCAAAAAAAATCTACGCATACCAACCATCAGACGGGACTCGAGCCCGCATCCTTCGCTATCCGGGCGAATGCACTGACCATTATGCTATTTATTTTTTCATTTTATATTAGTACTTTATGCAACTGTCATATAAGAAGGGGTATTAAAACACGCTGTTAGTATATTATTATGAATACCTCTTAATAGTTGATGCTGCAGAGCTTGCATGGCGGCTGCACTATGTTGTTCGAAGGCCATTTGAGCGGCCGCAGCTGCCGCCAACTGCTGCGATAATAAAGGCAATTTTAACTATGTTTTAAGTAAGGTAATAAAAATGTAAACTCCAATCGCGCTGTATAAACCTTAGTAATAAAAAAATATATAATATAAACTATACCACCAAGTACATTTGTCTCTTTCTGACACCTATAATCATCAGTGAACAGAACGAGAGAGGCACATTATGATTCAAATCCTAAATCTTTTCAGTAACCAGATATTTTGACAGCATGTTTACAAACGTTTGATCTCATGCAGGCACCACACTTAGGTGTTCGTGTTTGCTAATTGTCACCTTGATTTAGTTTGTACTTTTCATTCCTTATAAATGTGTACAGACTGTTGTCAAATTTACAAATCGCAAACACGAATAGCCAAGTGAAGTGCCGGCATCATATTCTCTGCCAATTCGAGTGTTTAAAATATTTTTTCTATTAACATGATTTTTTAGATAAATTATATTTTTATTTATGTTTAATCTAAAGAAAATTTTACTAGAAAAAAAAACCCGCCTTCTGCCTGGTCCGCGTGGATTATTTCTAGTAAAATTTTATTTTCTTTAAATTTAATTAATTTGTCAATCTTTTTTTGATAAAATTCACATTGAATACTATATGCCAACCATTTGTTTTGTAATTTTCCTGTCAAATAATCTATACGCATAACCTTATTGAAACCTATAAAATATATACAGTTCCATAATATACAACATAAAATATCACTATTTAGTAAAAATAATTTCAGAACTATTTGCACAAAGTGTATTTTATAATACAGTTCCAAACACATCTGTCAGCCCACAAGTTTTGACGGAGCCTAGATCCTAAAAAAAGAATTTTAATGTTATATTGAGCAAAAAGTCTTAACACAGTTTTTTCTTAAAGTAAAAAATATTAGCCATTCCATCCATAGGGAAGGTCTGTGCCTAATGGCACAAATAGGCTGATGATGTAGACTATATAACTTTTTGCTCAACCTAACATTTATTTTTGCTACAGACCATTGAAACTTATAAATGAATGTAAATAAACTGGAGAAGTTGGCTATCATGGAAAGCACTTTATTATCTAAATAATCCCGCAATTTCGATAAATTCAATTATAGTGTAACCCAGATTGACACAATTACAGAAATGACACTTGCCTTGCGCGTATGAAATAAAAATATTGTGAAAGATGTCCTTATTGAATAAATACATCTAAATCATTAATGTTTTCTTATTAACCACACCACCACCTCTCACACCTGACATACACACATACTCGATAGGATATTAAAATATCGATTGTCGAAAAGCTACGCCATCGGTTCGCAAATCTACGGCGGGAGACCTTGTACTTAGAAGAACCGGAAAGAAACTCAACAAGGGTTGTTTTTTCTCCCTGTATTATATACAGAGACGTCAAATTGAAAAATTACTTCAATATGAGTTAACAAGTCACTTTTCATTACAAAACAGCGTTGCCAGACGTCCCAATTTTTAAATCAAAATTAAATATCCCGCGCGGGACTGCCTCAATCCAGTGCAGCGTACTGAGAAAGCGCGGGCGGGTGGCAGACAAGTGTGGAGTGGTGGCGTGTAATGTAATAAGAACACTCAAACAGACTCAACTATTTAACGATAGGGTAAATGTGATTTAAAATATCATATTTTTATTAAAACACATTTTCTATGGATATTTTTACTAGGCACCTATCTATTGTCACGTAAACGTAATTTGAACTCAAATAAAAAGATAAATATTCAAATACTTTTGATTAAATACGTGTTTTTTACTATGCCCCGCTTTCGACGAAAGAATCCCGCTTTTTTCACTCAAAAAATTGTTTGACCAACTTGGCAAAAAAAAACTGGCAACGCGGATTACAAATGTAAATGATATAAAAATAATGACTTTAACATGAAAAAAATATAAAAAACTGATATAACAATGTTAACGATTTTTTAGGAATTACCGTGTCCAACGTTTAGGCATAACTACTAATATTCTCTATAACACTGGCGGATAGTTGTGTCCGGAACTATAATTATTGACTTACTTGGTGCTGTTTGCTGCTACTGCCCTGGCTGGTGCTGCTCGACGAAGAACCTACACAGACAAACACAGCAGATAACACTCGATACTAACGGCCACTAGTAGGACGTGATTTGACGGATGATTAGACATTTCGGCTCTTTGAAAAGATTGCGGCTGAACCGTAAGAGAGGTGTAATTACTTAACAAAACAAACGTACTAAAGAATAAATTAATTCATGATCCACTTGTCCAGTAATTTGGACTTAACGACTAAGCGTGGACTTGTCAAAAGCATTTGCATTTCGAGACAACTTATAACTTTTCTGCGGGTAATAGAGCATTTTTTTTTATCAAGTTTTTTTTTGTAGAATTACACGGAATCCTACGTTTAAAGATAAATATCAAGTTTGTTTCCAGAGAAATGATATGGAGTGAAGATCTTCGCAAGGTAACTGGCAGAAACTGGATAAAGTAAATAAACAGTAGAATAATATGGGCTGTTGTTGATGATGGTTGTAACCAAAAAAACAAGCTTATCAGCTCAGGAATCAATATGTTCTAAAGCACCTATAATATCTACATAGACGAAAGACTTTTCTCCGCAGAGGACCAAAGTCCCTGTATCATGAAGAAAATGTCCGCAGAGAACTTGTCACGGACTCAACGGACACGATGTACAAACAGTTGTACGCGGTTAATTTAGCATAGCGCGCTATGGAAGTAGATATTCTCAGATTATGTTGTATTGTAATGAACATTAAGTTTAAGAAAGAGTAAAAGACGTTTTATAGGGGATACCGTTCCCTTAGTACGAGTTTTACAATTATGATAACTATGATAGTTTTCGTGAGCTCTCGTACTAAGGGCACTGATTTTATTGTTTTCGTTCCAAAACAAATAAACAGTGTTTATATTCTGTCATTAAATCATTTGCGTCTTCTTAAATTTTAAGTATTTTGGTTACTTTTAACCAATATGGACATAGAAACATAATTTATAATTACGAAAACTAAGATAGTTATCGTGAGCTCAAAATAGTACTAAGGGTACTGGATACATTTCTCTAAATCGGGTCGAGCGCACAACGCGGAGTAAAGCTCGCTGTGTATTGCTGCGCCTAATCACATGAGTTCTTATTATTAAGGAGGAAACCCGTATACTTTTGTCTGTCCGGTCTCTCGGTTTCTTCGGTTGTTTGGGGGACTTTTTATACGCGGTACTTTTAACACGCTCAGCGCCAAGCCCTATATGCGAATACCACCAAATTTGACTCAAAAAAAAATACATTTTTCTTAATAATTTCTAAAAAAAAGTTATTTTGGTTGTAATAATATATGAAAACAGTGCTCGTTAACGATACAGGAGGCCTGGAGCTTTACTCTCTATCTCCGAAACAAAATTTCGATAATGAACGAATTTTTAACTCTATCCCATTTTGGAATAGGCACATAAAGTTCGGATTCACAAGCAATTTTCGTGAACGAATTAAATGAGTCATATTTGTGAGTTCTTTTTATCTCCACTTTTTAGATTTGGTTTTTTACTTGGAAACAACATTACTTTACGGCAAAATTAGAGTAGACCTACTGGGTATTAATTAACAAAACATTATTATGGGAGTACGTGTAACGAAAAAGATACACAAGTGTATGTACAGTGTTCAACGAAAACTATACACGTGGCGCTTAGCGTGTTAATCGTGTGCGGTACTCGGATGCAGTTGTAAACGATCTAATTTGGCAGACAAAAGTCCCTCGTGTGTGCAGGGTATAAACTCAACGATATTAAATACCCTAGATACACCACGAGCGCTCAAGATGTGTCCCAATCAAGAAGTGCTTGAACTCCACTCAAGCACTACTTGGTTCACAGTCACGCGCGGACCGTGTAAAAGTCAAGATGACGCGGAGCTCCGTGAAAAATGCGAAAAAAATACTTATAGTACGTAAAGTGTCATTTTTTGGATAGGTACCTAATCAATGTATGTTAATTTAACGCATTTGAAGCAAATTTTGTTCTAATACTTACTATAAACTGATGTAATAGAAAACATTGGTGATGGTCGGTAATATAGCAGTCTCTTTTGTTCGCGGTCCGTACCTGTTATATTGCTAACAGCGAATTCAGAATTGCGCGTAGAGTCAAAGAAATAAGGTCTATATTCTTCCGCCTTTAGCAATAAGTCGTAAAATTTTACGAGCTTGCATTTGATACTGTCACAACACTTAGACGCATGCGTTTTAATTAAGACCTTATACAGTATGCAATGAAGACGACTTTCAATGTTAAAAAAATGCCTTATATTATTTTTGACTACGCAACCATCTTACGAAGGTAGATCGTCCAATGTACCTTTTGGACAGGTTTCGGCTATTTGTTCGTGTTGTTGTATCTAAAGTATTTAATATCATTGTATTAATTAAACAAATATAATTATAAATAAAACATAACAGTTTCGATACGACTCGTTTACCTTTACCTTTCTTGGCGGGCACCGCGTCGCCGGCTTCGCGCCTCTCCGCATGATGCGCTCGCATCGCGTCCGCCTGCTGTGGCGCTAGAGACCTGTCAATCCAGCCACTAGCACCGTAACTATACCACTCGTCGACTGATAACCATAGAGGTATAAGAATAGAGTAGGGGAGATATAAACTCTACCACAAGTGGAAGTGTCTCTTTAATATAAAGAGAAAAAAAATGAGAGACCGCTAGCTTTCTCTCTCTAATCGCGCATGCGCATTGGCAACTGTAAGCATCTTACTATTCACACGAGAGAGATAGCTAGCGGTCTCTCGTCTTCTTTCTCTTTCTACTAGACGGACACTTTTCGAGCCGCCTTCCCCACTCTATTCTTATACCTCTATGACTGATAAGCGCAGTTAACCAGAAACCAGATAACTATGAGACTGTTGTACTAACGGTATAAAATAAATAAATTAAAAGCGTGTGCGTCTCGGAACGCACGACAGAAGCGATAACTTAAACTTTCCTATTTTGAGCACAGAAGATTGGAGGGTGTAAAGGGGATTCGAGGGTGAAAAGAAGGATTGGTGGGTGATAATAAGGGATTTATGGGTGATAGTGGGGTGGGTCTGGGAACACCCCGCTGGTACTTGGGCGGCCTGTGGTGTCTATGTCCTAATAGAGAGACTTGCGCCGTAACACGTTACGTAACGAAGCGGGTTTACCCTCCCATAAGAAGTTATAACTTCAATAAAAGTTTTGACAATATTACTTGGGAGTTTGTCCCGAATAAAGTATCATCTAGCTAATATTATAAATGCTAAGTTATTTTTTTTTTGCTTCTCTTGTTCCTTTTTAACCATAACCGCGCAGTTGTGAGGAGATCCTATAATTCCAGTTGACCAATGGGTTATTGTGTTCGGTATTTAACTGGGGTTAAACAACTCTCGCAATGGCCAATCATTGGTTGGATGACCAAAACCTTAACATCTCTCGCTCCTCCATGCTTCGGAAGTCACGTTAAAACCTTGATCCCAGCTACATCTTGAAGTCTTTAGTACACATAAATGCATACTGTAGTCTTATCACGAACCATTATCGAATTCGATCTTGATATACGTCAAATGTGTACTGCTTTTTAGTTTACGCTACGTCCGTTGGCGCTGTTGTTCCTAAGTTTCCGTACAAAATTTGACAATGACATTTCGCACTCGCAAACGTAACGAATTCGATATTGGTTCGTGCTCAGGGTACAGGGAACCCGCATAGTGGATCATGGCCCTTTCTCCCTATTTAATTTATAAGAAACACTCGTTCCCCAAAGTGGGGGCAGTTGTAGGGTGACGATGATTGGACTCTTTTTTCTCAATGTTAATTTGTAATAGACAATATGCTTGTAATTCAAATAAGGCTATTTTTAATATAAACTTTTAATTTTCTACTCCATTTTTTTTGAGCAAGAATTTTATAGTTGAAAAGTGTAAAAAAACTGCAGGTTGAAATTTAAACATATGAAAGGCGATGAGGACAGCATAGAAGTCAGAAGAATTACCGTGTTGCGTGTCCGCACTTGAACGATTGTAACGTTGCATCGACTGGGAATCAAACCCAGAATTTCGGAATGGAAAAGTAAGATAACATTACACCTGGTAATAAATAAAGAGAAATATGCAATTCCCTAATTCTGATTTCTGGTTCCGTTTTATAAAATCGTATCACGTGACACGGTATTAAACATTATTCAACTTGTTACCGTAATAATGTGTGGTCACTTACTTTTGCTGATGACTGGACGAAAACAAAAAAAAACAATTTATTAAAGTTAATTATTTAAATACACTCATACCCCCTTATTAACAAGCGAGGAATAGACTAGTTACACCGTTTTTTGTTAATATCACTGAAATGCCATTTGTCAATCGATGAACAGAGACAAAACGTGAAGTAACTAATTCAAGCTTAATCTTTGTTTATTAATAAGAGGGTTTAAGCTCATTTCAATACTCAATACATACAATAGTAGCAATAACCGAAGGTGTATGAAAGAGGGATCGTGAAAGTTTGACAGTGGCCGGTCATTAGATGGGTGAGTAAAATTTACTATCTCAAGCTCCTCCGTGCTTTGAAAGGCACGTGGAGCCGATGGTCCATTTGCACCCACTAATCTGCACTGGTGGGTTATGACCCAAACCATAACAAATTTGTATGGTTGACGTTAAGGAGTGCCTATAAATTCTTGAGTTGAAAAAAATATTTTCTGATTCCCAAATTTTTCACCTAGATTATTACATAATAATTAATATAAAGGGTTTTGAATAACTTTTTTTCTGCGTTTATCAAGTAGATACATTACACAGTATTAGAAACGTATATTTTCTTTATCCGCATGATTAATTACAGAGATATATTGATTTGAAACGTGGCATGACATCACGTCTTGGTACAATTTTCACTTAGAAGTGACGTCGGGAGACCCCACTCTCAACCTGTGGCACGCTTTTTTCTTTTGTCAATTAACCAAAAAGTGTCAAATTTTATCTTTGTCACTTCCACAAAAAAAGCCGTAACAAACAAAACAAAATGGTTCAACACCGAAAAATAGCCGGCCAAGAAGTGGTTCTCGGTAAACAATCTGTACAGATTCGGAACAGAAATGAAAATCAAGCGAGCCTGCACTGACCAGACCCCGATGAAGAAGGCGTCTGTCAGTGACAACATCAAAAAATAATGTTCAATTATTTTTTCTTTTGTCGATCAACCAAGAATTACAAAGATAAAATTTGACACTTTTTGGTTAATTGACAAACGAAAAAAGCACGCCAAACTTTGAGAGTGGAGGCTCCCGACGACGTCACTTCTAAATGAAAATTGTACCAAGACGTAATGTCATGCGATGTTTCAAATCAATATTTTATATCTGTACTTGATTATGTAGATAAAGAAAATATACGTTATTATTCACTTTTTGTTTAGTTTACCCCGTCATCTTCCCGATTCATTATCTTTTGTACGGATCCCGTACATTAAATGATAGATAAAAATGATATTTAACCGTTTATTGATATGTAAAGTTACACGTCAACTTATGTTAAAATATTGCTAAAATATAATGATCAATGAGTACACGTCGATTGCTGATTGTGAACTGATTTTACAATTATAATAAAATTGTCGCCGAGGGCGTAAACCGCTGACCGCGCGGAATGTACGGTCATTGCACCGTACATGTTCCCGGGGGACAAAGATAAGAAAAGTTTAACAAAAAATAGATTAATACTATTAAAATCATAGATGAGATATGTTGATCTATTAAGTCTTTAAGTTTTACACTATACTATTTGTTCACGCACTTTGAACACTGATTTTTTAACAAAAGGCGAAGTGCCTCTATCTATTTTCTTACGGCGCTCACTTGCACTTAGTACCTTACACTGACACTTATCACTGTTAGTGTTGTTGGAGGAGGTGGCGGGCGCCTGGGGCGGAGTCCCCGGCGCTGCGGCCACCTCGCTGGTTCGCCTGGTTACCTCGCCACTAGAAGGGCGAGATACTGCGTACCTTCGCCACTGCCATACGACCAGGGGGCCAATCGCCTAACGGAAATGCTTTGGGAAACGCTAACGCTTACGATTTTATATTGTTATTTCTAGCCGCCTGAGGTTTTCGAATACCTCACACTCATTTTTTTTAATATTGTTATTACCAATGCAAAAGAAAAAGAAAGAGCGCGAGGCATTTGAATACCTCAGGCGGCTAGAAATAACAAAATAAAATCGTAAGCGTTAGCGTTTTCCAAAGCATTTCCGTTAGGCGATTGGCCCCCAGGCAGGCCAGTATGATAACAATGCCTACCACTACGTAAATTGCTGTGTAGTGATGCACATCATGATATGATATTTTATCAAATTGTTCCTGATTGTCTTGCAAAACACGTATTCTCTCATGTATTTCCTTCATTTTCTCTCGCGTTTCTAGTGTTGCTGACTGATCTGCGCTTTCTATTCGTTGAGGCAGCGAAAAGTTCATCACGTGATTAATTGGAGGTATGTAGTAAGGACAGTCTAGTTGGGACACAATTTTCAAATCACTACTCATTTGTCTATGTGCATATATGGTAAAATTTCTTGTTTTTAGCATACAGCCTTGACCGAGATTGATAATGCCAGCGCGAGACAGCTGTTGAGCGGTAACTTGATCTTCGCATAGTATCCGCACTTGACACCCGTCGCAGCAAAAGTAAACAAACGTATTTAAATTGTTCATTCTTATCCATTCATTACTGCAGGGCTTTATTTTAAATTCGCATTGATGAGTTTCGTAATTCAATTCACAAAGGTCATTATCATTTGTGAGGTGATTGATAGAGTTTTGTAATCGACACAAAGAGATTTCTGAGATATGTAAACATTCTTTTAACTCTGTTTCGGTGATAGTAATATAAAGATCTTTTTTCAGATTGATACCAATATATGCTGTTTTTGGCATTATGCTGATTTTGTTATTCTGGGATTGCTGAGGAATAGGGATTAAATTATAAATTTCGAAAAAGTCGTGGCTTACCAGTGGGACCGTTATCTCAAAAAGACAATATTCTTCTGTCGTTCTTATTTTTACTGATAGCATTTGATAAATATTTTTAATGTCGCTTTGTATGTCATCAGTTGGCAGGGCTAAGTCTTTTGGTAATTGACTAGCTATCTTGCTTAATTCGCGTTTCAGTTGCTCCGGCGATATTAAGTGTGGGTTAAATCGACCATGGTAAATATCAATTATCGTATCGGATAATACGTCTTGTATATTTCTTAAGTTTTGCAGCATGTTGTTGGCTATAACTGTTGTGATTGTAAACGTGTTTATATCAAGCTGCTGTTGCATTTCTTGTTTCATTTTATTAGCGGCCGCGTCCAAAAGCAATAGATGTTGATTTATTTCTTTGTGTTGTTTATCAATCAAATTTTCTGTTCTCTTCAAGACGTCGTATTCTGATTCAATGATAGAAGTCTGATTTTTCCACAACGATGCCATATGTTTTTGATTTATTTTGATAAGCTCAATGTCTCTTTTATACTGCTCTGCAAATCTTTAATCTAGCACGCCGAATAGACCATTTGCGACGTAGCCGACCCCGTCTATCAGGCCGCGCCGCTGTCGCCGCGTGCGCGAGTGTTGACTCAGCAGCATGTGATTATAATATTGTAGTTCATTATACCCGTGATGTAACTGTAACACGAGTATGTCGCATTGAACACCTTTGTTTATTTTCATGCACTGATCACCTAAGTATTTAATATATTTACTTAGAGCATTTATTCCTTGTTGATAAGGATCCATGTCGTAAAAAGCTAATATTTTCCATTCGTCTCTGATTAATCTCATATTGGAAACTTTATCGAAATATAGCATTTGCTTGTCTTGAATTTCGGATATGTTGTAAGAACAGGATGCATTTGCTACAATTGTTATAAAAAATAACAATACCATGACGACAGAATTGAATGAAAATTTTCGGTTATGATTATCGTTCGGTTCTGATTGTTGCTGTTTTGATGACGTTTTATTTTTATTTTCCTCTGTATTGATTATCGGCAAAATTGATAATTTAATGATGGGTCTCTTAATGAAACCATTTTTTGTTTTAAGGGTTACTACTCTGACGTAACCATCTGTTCCTGGGTGCAACTCGACGACACGACCCATTAACCATTTGCCTGCTGGTAAGTTATCATCATGAATGAGTACGATATCGTTGACCTTGATATTATCTTGAGTTCTTTTCCACTTGCTTCGGGCAGTAAGCTGGTCGAGATATTCCTTGCGCCATCTATTCCACGTGTCTTGGAAAATTTTCTGTGTTAAATGCCATCTAGTTCGAAGGTCTCTTTCGGTTTCTGTTATTGTTAGTGCTGATCCTCCAGTCAGAAAGTGTGCTGGTGTTAGGTAATCCAAATCGTCTGGATCCTCGGAAATTGGACATAGAGGTCGCGAATTTAGGCATGCTTCTAGCTGTGCTAGTATGGTGGAGTACTCCTCGAACGTCAGGTGTTGATCGCCTATGACCCGTTTTAAATGGTACTTTAGACTCTTGACGGCTGCTTCCCACAACCCGCCGGCTGAAGGCCAGGAAGGGGCGTTAAAGTGCCACTGAATTTCCATTTCAGTAACTTCTTTCATCACCTCTTCATTACTGACTTGCTGCTCAAACTCTTTTTGGAGGATGTTATTTGCCCCTACAAAGTTGGTACCGTTGTCACTGTAGATATGACGGGGCGATCCTCTGCGTGCTGCCATTCTACGCAAGGCTGCTAGAAAAGATGATGCTGTGAGATCGGATACGAGTTCCAAGTGGATGGCCTTTGTGGTCATACACACAAAGACTGCTATGTATCCTTTGGTGGTCTTTACTCCTCGGCCTTTGTTGGTCTTAATCAAAACATATCCTGTAAAATCTACTCCAGTGTGGTAAAAAGCTCTGGGTGAAGGGTTGCACCTTGCTTCTGGCAAATCGCCCATGAGCTGCTGCAATTTACTGGGGTTATGTTTCCGGCATGTCACGCATTTACGTATTTGCTTTTTGATAGCACGCATTCCGCCAAGGATCCAATACTTTTGTCTTATAAATGCTATACACAACTTTGCTCCTCCATGAAACGTCATTTCGTGTGCATAATTGATTATTAACTCTGCTAATCTGCCTTGCGTAATAATTATTGGATTTTTTCTTTCTTGATTCATCCGAGCGTGTCTTAACCTGCCACCTACTCGTAAGAGACCTTTTTCATCTATAAAAGGATGTAAATTTATTAATTTGCTTTTATTATGAATATTCCTGCCTTCAGTGATACAAGTCAATTCATTATAAAATTCATTATGCTGATGATGTTTCATGATGATTATTGTAGCTTGCCTTATTTCGTGAATTGTTATGTAGTGTCCTTTGCCTGCTTGTTTTATGATAGCGCGCCGCAGCCATGCAATTACGCGTATTATAAATAAAAAGTTGCTGTGTCTAGTTATTAGCGAAGTAATGACGTCATAATTTTCTTGATTTGTGACAACATTAACTTGTTTTATTGATTTTTTCACCTCTTGATCCGTGTAATATGTAGGTTGTGTGATATTACAATCTATGTTGAAATTCTGAAGCCAAATTGGACCTTGCCACCAAAGTGAATGATCTTTAAGCTGCGTCGCTGACAAGCCTCTGCTAGCGCAGTCTGCTGGATTTTCTATAGACTTTACATACCGCCATGAATCTATTGGTATGACTTCTCTTATTTGACTCACTCTATTTTCCACGAATGGTTTCCATCGGCCTGGCTCTCCATTTAGCCACCCGAGTACTACCATGGAGTCGATCCAACAGAATAATTTGATAGATTTATTTTCTAAGCAATTAATAACTTTATACATTAATTTTGATAATAAATGTGCGCCCATAAGTTCTAACTTAGGTATCGAAATATTTTTGTTGATAGGCACTAATCGGACTTTTCCTGCTACAATAGTGATCTTACAGTCATTCTCTGTTTTGGTTCTGCAATAAATGACACACGCATATGCTTTATTCGATGCGTCACAGAACCCATGTAATTGAATTTCTTGCTTTTCATTAATACCTAACCATCTTGGTATCTGATAATGTGTTATGTTATCTACATCTTCAACGCTTGTAATCCATTTTGATTTTACATTTTCAGGTAATAAGTCATCCCATTCTAATTTTGTTTGCCAAACCGATTGAAACAATGATTTTATATTAGTCGTAAGGGGCGACAGCCATCCTAACGGGTCAAATAATTTTGAAAGGTCCGAAAGCATAGATCTTTTCGTAGGATTTATAATATTAGGTTTCATTTTTGCTTCGAACAAAAAGGTATCTTGTTTACTGTTCCAGCGTAACCCCAATGTTTTTGTTGACTCTGCTCTTCTAAAGTTATAGCCATCTTGCTCCGGCTCTTCTTGGTCTATTTGCTTCAGTAACTCTATTGAATTTGATGCCCACTTGCGAAGATTGAAACCACCTGACCTTAATATATCTGCGAGTTCCTTTTGTAAAGTTTTTGCTGTCCGTACGCAGTGGGTTCCGTGCAGTATGTCATCCATATAAAAACATTCCTGCAAAGCTTTTATCGCTTCACTTCCCTGATACTTATTCTTTTCGTCTTTTGCTAATTGTTGTAACGTCATCATGGCCAAAAATGGCGCTGCCTTCATGCCATAAGTGACTGTTGCTAGTTGATAGTCTTTCAAAACTTTGCTTGGTGAGTCTCTCCAAACAATTTTTTGCAACTTTTGATCTTCCTCGTGGACCCAAATTTGTCTGTACATTTTCTCAATATCAGCCGTAAAAGCGATCTGATACTGACGCCACTTCAATATTAAGGATTGGAGATCTTTTTGTAAATTTGGACCCCGCAACATAACATCGTTCAAACTTGAGCCATTAATAGTTTTGGAAGACGCATTAAAAACGACACGTAATTTTGTTGTTTCAGAGTCTGCTCGTAGTACACAATGGTGCGGCATATAATAATCGGGCTTCGTGTTACATAATAGTGGTTTCATATGACCGAGGCCAATATACTCATTCATAAATAACTTATAATCTTGGGCCAAGTTATTATTTTTTCTAAATTTTCGCTCTAACTGGTGAAATTGAGCAACTGCTGTTGATTTTGAAGACCCTACATTTTTCTCATACTCTTGATTGAGAGGAAGACGTACTTGATATCGTCCATCGGGCATACGCATGGTCGTTTTTTCGAAATAGGTTATGCATTGTATGTCTTCTGCTGATAATTTTTTGTCTTCTGTGATCTCTTCCATCTCCCAAAATTGCTGAATATCGTCCATGCTATTTATGATGACATTACATTGTCGATTTTGTGACTTGATTTTCATGCTGCTTCCACAGATTATCCAACCGAGTTCTGTGCGTTGCGCAACAGGCATCGATGGTGAACGGCCCTTGCAGACTCCGTCTAATATAAGTTCCGGGAAAATATCTGATCCTAATATGATATCGATGGGCCGACTGATATTAAAGTTACTATCTGCTAATTCCAAACCCTCCAAGTGCGGCCAGTTCTGCTTAGCCATCGTTTTACTTGGGAGATTTTTTACTATTTTATTCATAATATAAGCTTCAACATTAAACTTAAAGTCGTTGTTAAATACTGGCGTACAATTTAATTTGACAATTCCTTTGCACATACTTTCTTTTTGTCCCACGCCTGATACGATATCCTTACATCTTGATCTTGGAAGCTGGAGAAGCTGCGCCGCTTTTTCAGTTATTAACGACATTTGTGAGCATTGATCTAAAAGAGCGCGCATTTTATGATATGTTCCATCTCGGGCCTGTACGTTAATAATAGCCGTCGTGATCAGAATCTCGTTGGTATCGTTTTTCTGTGAGACATACGAACTACTTGATGATGGTCCAGGGTTCACCTTGATATTTTTGGTTTCATTTGATGAGTTTGCAAACGCCTCGTGCATAATCGTGTTGTGCGGGCCATTGCACTCACGACACGTTTTGCTAGAAAAACAATTATTTCCATGATGATCGAATAAGCAATTTTTGCATAAATTATATTTTGTAATTGTTTTTCTTTTCGCGTCCGCTGACATACTTAAAAACTGTTGACAATAGTAAATTCCGTGTTCCTCGGCGCAAATTGGACACGATTTAGTATTCTTTTGACAATTTATTTTCTTGTTAATTGGATTGACTGTTTTTGATGAAACCTTGTTGGTGGAGAATGATTTATAGTTAGAGAATTTGATTGATTTTTGCGTCGCTACCGAAGGTGGATTACTTGATTTGAATACATTTTCTTGCTTTCTACGTGTTGCCGATGACTCCATAGTTGTAAATTTTATCTCCAGGAAATTTAAAAATTCCTTCAATGTAGGCAGTTCGCGTGGTTGTTTCAGAGACTCTAAGTAATCATTGTAGGTGTCAGAGTCTAATTTCAGCGACATAATTTGAACCAACAAAGGGTCCCAGGTGCTTACGTCAACACCCAGATTTTTTATAGAATTAAGGCATTCGTTAGTGGTATCATGAATACGTTTGATCTGCGTAACATTAGGATGCTGCATAAGCGGTAAATTTAAGAGAATGTTTACATGCGACGTAAATATAAGCCTTTTATTATGATATCGGTTGTTTAACAATTCCCAGCAAACTTGATAATTATCTGAATTGATTGAGAGATGCTGTATCAATTTCTCAGCCTCCCCCCTCACTTTGCTTTTCAAGAATTGCATTTTTTGTGCATTGTTAAGTGAGGGGTTACTGTGAATTGTTTCTGTGAATAAATCCTTAAAGGATACCCACTGGTAGTAATTGCCACTAAAAGTAGGTATTTCCATTTGCGGAGTAAATTTATCCCTATGAGATGCGGACCACAACTTGCTACTTATTGCTTTTTTCATGAATTTGTACGTTTTTTCATTAGCTATAAACGACTTTTCATATTCTATATTCATGCCATTTAACTCACTATCAATTTCCAAATGCAAAGAATCAATAGTTGCCCACCTTGAATTTAGCTGTCTCAACAAGTCCTCGAATTCCCATTTTTCCGTGACTGCTTCTAAATCCATATCCTCTACCGTACGGCTGAATGCTCGAAACTGGCTAGCTTGCTTCTTTAGCAGTTCAGCAGTCTTGCTGTCAGTTGCCTGTGTTTTAATATTAGGATTTCCTACCTTGACTGATGATATGGTCGGGCTTGGTGTCGGAAGAAATCCCTCTCCTGTGCTGCAGCTCGCGATTGCTGTTGGTGGTTGGCACTTTTGTATGTATATTTTTGCATTATTATAGAAATCAGAAGCCTGCTCAAATTGGTTGTCACGGAAATAAGGAGTTTCCGCATCTGAATACTCACTCAGTACAGGGTGATTTGTTTCATACTTCCTCCAATATGTATCTAAAGTGTCCAACTTTGTCTTGATATATTCGACAGTCCGACGCTCGCGTCCCGTCTTCTTGAAAGACGAGAAAAGCTGCTCCATGGCGCCGACCAACTGGTCCTGATTTGCTAATAAATCTTCCATATTTATTTGTAAAAAATTGGAAAGATCTTACTTGACTATAGTTCGATTCACCGCTTGCTCGGTACTGCACAGCTACTGGATCCTTGCTTGCCAGCACTGCAATTCCTGATAGTCACTGATACTCCTCACGCGCGAATGATCCTGCTTTAGACCGACCCGCACGAAAGGTCAAAAGCTCGAAGGACCATAAATGTACGGATCCCGTACATTAAATGATAGATAAAAATGATATTTAACCGTTTATTGATATGTAAAGTTACACGTCAACTTATGTTAAAATATTGCTAAAATATAATGATCAATGAGTACACGTCGATTGCTGATTGTGAACTGATTTTACAATTATAATAAAATTGTCGCCGAGGGCGTAAACCGCTGACCGCGCGGAATGTACGGTCATTGCACCGTACATCTTTACTTAAGATTATTCTAGATGTGAGGACCTGTAATTGGCTCTTTGTCGTTACTATTCACTTCTAGTTTATCAAGAGCAGCTGTTGGTCTTCCATGTAACCAAAAAATAAAAATAAATAAATTCTATCATTTTACTCACCTAGCAGGCGGAGGGGCTGGCTTAGCGGCGGGCGGAGGCGCCGGTGTAGAACTGGGAGTTGCTCGAGGACTCGCTCGAGACACCGACATCTATATCAAATATATACGAGATCATTGGATAAATCATTTAACGAAGTCGAAGGTCACGTATTTTCCACATCATGACGATATTTTTTTTCTGCTGGACCATACTTGGGAAATTTATGGTTATGGAGATATTGAAGGTGAAAGTCACATTTTTTTTTTATTCAGTTCTTTATTAAACGCAACCTTGGTTATTTAGGAACTTTTTTATCGACGCACTTACACACACGCACACACATACACTCAGGCACATTCTTTGCGTAGCGCGCACAGAAGCGCGCCGCGCTAAATATTGCGTACTGTTTTTTTTATTGTATTTTTTTAACTTAAAAATACAAATGATTCCCACGTAATATTTTGTAATATAACTTGTTTGGGTGTACAGAATACTTTGTTTTAGTCTTTGTTATAGGTTTTTTTACACCCTGTATAATTGGCCATTTGGCCCATAACAAGCAACCTGCCACTACAAGGCTGAGGTTCTAAATATACGTTCTGAGTGCAATTTCATTTATTGAGTGATGTGATATTGTTATACGCTCATAACCGACGCTCCAGGTGCAACAAATGTCACATTTGAAACATAAGTTTCATACATTTTATGTTAAAATTGAAACTTCAGCGTAAAAAGTTGCACTTTCATTTAACATGCAAGCTAAGTAAAAACGAGCCTTCCTACTTTAATGTCAGGTAAGCATAGTTTTAACCACATTCCAACCACGTGTTTTAACCTTTACCAGTTTCGGGTGTAGTATTGAGGCGGGCCGAGTGCTGGGGTCACTGACCTGCAGAGGGCGGTGCGCGGGCGGCGGCGCGGGGGCGGGCGGGGGGGAGGCGCTGGGCGCGCACAGGCGTCTCTCTATCTCTTGTTCCTGCTGCAGGGCGCGGACGAACGCGGTCTTGAGGCGGGCCGTGTGTTCCGCCTAAGGAAAATGCAAATAATACATAATTAGTTATACGTTTTATATTTTTGTTGTCATAGTTTACATTCCTTTAATTATAGGTAGTTTAAAAATGATCAACGTCTTTCAAAAGTGTAATGTGTCTAAAAAAATAGTAATAATAGTCACTTTGCACTAGCATTTTAAACACTCGCTATTTTGAAACTCTTAGGCGTCGTCCTAATTGGCAACGATCGTACGATGACACGATGCGTTCTCGTCGTGTGATGATTTCCAAACATATGGATTTCTTCAGAGGTGTCCCAATACAGCTTTTAAGCCGTCGCACGAGCACATGTACATTATTTTTATCGCACGATGAGATCGCATGTGTGTCGCACGATCGTTTCCTATTAGGACGACGCCTCAATGTGACGTCACAGCTGGCACAGTCTGTCTGCGGGCGGAGTGAAGTCAGCCGCGTGCTGCCTACGTCACACACAATATGGCGTCACCTTGAGCGCCCGCTTCACGTTGCCGGAGACGCACAGCTCGCACAGGCGGCGCGACGCGGCCGACGCCGTGAAGGTAGCGTCTTGTCTGCGGGCGGGCGGCCGCTCCCAGCGCCAGACCGGTGTGAAGTCGCACCCGCATTGCGCGCAAACGGCGGGCACTGATGAACGCGGCATGCTGGTTGTGTAAATCGAGAGAAATAGGTTGAGAAAAGCCATTATCCTAGTTATATTATAAATGTTAAAGTTTGTATATTTGTTACTTGCACGCAAAAACTACTAAACGGATTTAGATGTATTTGGTAAGCTATGGTTTATGGCCTGGATTGACACGTTATCATCAGCCGATTAATGTCCCCACTGCTGGGGCACAGGCCTTCCCTATGGAGGGAATAGGGAGATTGGGCCACGACCCACTACGCGGGCCCAGACTGCAGATGCAGCCGGGACCAACGGGTTAACCTGCCTTCCGAAGCCCGGAGGAGCTCAAGATAGTAAATTTTTCGGTCACCCGTCTAATAACCAACCGCTGTGAAAATTACTTGACTTCAACAACCTCAGTCAGCAGCTTTAGAATCTATTGATGACTTTCAGAATTGGGGTGGCATCTTCTTACTATTTCTTTCAGTACAACCCAACCAATGCAATAAGTAACGCTTTACCAATGTATTAGCTAATTAAGCTATTTTAAGAAGTTATGCTGACTTAAACAAAAATATACTAACAGATTCTGCTCAAAAATTATTGAAACTGTAAATAAATATTCTTCTACATATCTCACTACAAAATTCAGAAAATTGATAAGTGAAGTAAGTATCGATATAACAAAGGGGCAATGGTTTCAGTGTACGTAACTAGAACGAATTTGAAATTATATGGAAGCATTACTCTCTAATAAATACTTACCACTAAGACATGGTTACAACTAAACTTTAATACTAACGCGACACGCACACAGACAAAACCAAATACTTTGGCAAATCAAATATCTGCAAATGAATTCGGCTATACATACATTCATTAGGTAATATAATATCAAACTTAAATCCCAACCAATCCCATGATCAGCGTAGTGATCGCATTTTTTTCGATCAGCCCACTTGATCAGTTTGTGTGGAACCACGTTTTAGGGCAGTTCGTTTTCAATATTATTTGTAACTAGCGGCCGTCCGCGACTTCGTACGCGTGGAGTTAGTTAGAAATAAAGGTTCACTGCTCGTTCCTCGTAGGTGATAGCGTGATAAGTAGCCTAGATAGTGGACCCGACTTCTTAATAATATTCGTGCCAAATTTGAAGTAAATCCATGCAGTATTTTTGAGTTTATCCCGGACATACATGCTGACAAACAGACAAAAATTCTAAAAACTATATTTATGACTTCGGTATCGATTGTAGATCACACCCCAAGTATTCTTATAAAGTAAATATTCAATGTACAGTTTTGACTTTCCTATCATTTTATGATATGTAATGTATAGATTCGTTGCGTAACTTGGACTAACTCACCGATCTTCATTAGTGATGTAGTCCACGACATGCTCCAATCCCACTAAGTAAACGAAGTCAGTGTTGCTCGGCGAAGGGATGAAGTTCATTTCAGGCGGAGGCGGTTTGGGAGGAGGTATCTGTGTAACAATTCAAACGTAATAATAATAAAAATTCGTAGAGTAAGATTTTAGTACCAAATTACCAATATCCTGATGTATTATTCCTTAATTTTTAATGGTTTTGTTTTTATGAAGTCGGTGTTTATTTTTGTAAGAATAGTTTTTTTCTTTTCACTTTTTATAAGCCAGAGCAACATCAACTTAATATCTGGCCTGCAATCTCTTTTATATTTCGTACAATAACCAAACACGATAAGTGTACTGTTCGTATTGGATGCGTTCCGTTGTTCATCGCCGAAAGTATTTATCAGATCTTCATGGATGCCGCCGAAAAACTCTTCCAAACGAAAAAAGAACCATCAAAAGCGGTACAAAAAAAAATTACTACATAATTGAACTAATAAATGAGGAATTAAGAACCTCTTCTTTTTTGAATTCGGTTAAAAAACATAGTAAATTATAGGTTGGACAATCTTCTTGAGCAAAACCACAGACAAATAAACTTGCGCAGTAGACGTTTTTGTATGTAAAAGTGCTACTGCGCAGGCTCCCTCGTCTATGGTTGTTGCTCATGAAGTTTTTCCGGATGTATACCTGCAATAACGTCTTCTCTAGTTGTTTCCTTAGCGCCAGTTTCGCAGCGGCCTGACGCTGCGCAGGCGTCTGCGTGTCCTCGGAACTACGGGAGCTAGCCTGGTTTGGACGAAGTACGATATAAATATAATGAAAACAACGAAGTAGAATTGATACTGAAGCATTATTTTCTAAAAAAGGCGGCTAAAACTTGGTTCTAAACTCATACAACTTAACTTATACTAACAAGACACGCGCACATAGACAAAACAAAATACTTTGACAAATCAACTGCAAACGAATTCGGCTATCCATTCATTGGGTATGATCGGCGTGTTGATCGCAGTTTTTTCGCCCCGCCCACTTAATCACAGTTTGGGTGGAATCACTTTTTAGCGCAGTTCGTATTCCAGATCATTTCTAATTCGTTGGATAAAATCGAAGATTTTAACGCTGCAAAAATGTGATTTATACTTTATTATTCAATCACATAGACATGTGGAATATTAGACCTACGGAAGGCGGCCTGCTTCGGTATAAAAAATATTTAACAAGTTATAAAAAGAAGGGTAATTTCAAAGCATTGTTGTGTTGCCAAAATGTTAGTTTACTTATAGAATTTTCAGCTTCTCGTGAAGGCGGCTTTATTATAGAATAAATTATAGAAAATGGGCGGAGCTTCTGGCTTTCCACCTCTTTTAAATTGAAATGAAGAGAAGACGCGAAGACAGTTGATAGAGCAAATGTATAACTGGCTCACTGGTTGATAGAACAAATGTATCTCAGTACAATGTCTCCCGCCGTAGATTTACGAACCGATGACGTAGCTTCTAGACATTCATATGTGCTTGTAACAGCCTAAACTGAATAAATGATTTTGATTATAATTATGGCATTAATAATAATAAAACAATCCGTCCTTCTTGCACATCATATCGATAATTATGTGTAAGAGGGTCAGAATTAATTTATTGCATCTTTTTTTCTCATTCGTTTCTATATTGGCGGGTTGTAGGAGAAGGGAGAGATATCTTAGTTACTTAACTATATTTATGAGTTAGAAAATAATAATTCAAGTATGAGTTGAAATCACATTTCCATACTCACTGCATCGCTTGTGCTACTGGTCACAGAGGAATTGTCCTGAGGCGGCTTGTAAATTATAAAGGGGATATTACTATTTTTGATACGAATTACAATGTTATGAACATGTTTTTCAAGTCGGTTTAAAAAAATCCTAAATAAGGTGTGAAGATCTTAAAAATCAGAATCCTAAAAAAATGCAGTAAATGACGCAATCAATGGCGGTAATTCAGTTTCATTTTTAAAAAACAAAGACTAAATTTGTGTACAAATTTAAGTGGTGAAAAAGCATGAACCACACCTACCCGTTTCAATTTCACTGTTTGTAAAATGGCACAATTAGGCATTTATTTAGGAAATTATAATTCACATCCAGTATCGAAAACAGTGACACAATAGGCCATTAGACAGTGTAAAAATTAAAAGTACTTACTAATTTTGTCATGTATAACATGAATATTGGGAGCGATATATTTATTCAGACAAAAAAAATATTGATAATATTACTTAAAATCATGAGGTAGAAAAGTATTTTTTGGTATATTGGCAAGTGATGGAAAACGCCTAGGATTGGCGGAGCCTAAAATGACGTCATCTGCCTGTAAACACTTCGTATTTACTAGAGAAATGTTTCCGCGGCATATTTGAAGACAAAAATTTTAGTTTCGTTTTTTTACTGATATAAGCAACAGAATCATAAATGTCCACTTTTTATGAAATCACTTTACACTAATAAATAACTTATGAACGTTTGAAAAATCTTGTCAAGTAGCCTTTTCGCCCTGCCAGAAAATCAACGCCGCAGCGTCCCTGGCATCGCTGTGGCACAATGCTAAGACAGGAACCTAGTTGATTTTTTTTTGTTATTGCTTTTGTTTTCTGTAATCTTATTATTTAAGGTTATAAATATACCTTGGACGTTGCATGTTGAGAAGCGGGCGGGGGCGCCGGTGTGATAGTAACTGACGGCGTGATACTCGCTCCGCCGCTTGTTGATGACTGCAACAAAATATATATATATATATATATATATGTGTGTGTGTGTGTATACAATATATAAATTTATGTACTTATACATATTTCATTTACTAGCTATAAGAGAACAAGAGAAAGAAAATGTGCGCGCGCACTGCTTTCTCTTGCTTATTACCCCACTCAACTCCCGTTCGCCTCGCCCGAACACACTTTTAGTAACGCGTAACGCATTTGCCAGCTAACCCTCCAAGTCAAGCGTGCGTAAAGAAGTTTCACTTCAAAAATCGATCTTACGACTGTAATAAAACGTTTATCTAAATGAAATCAAACAGAGAGGGAAAAAGCGGTCTTGCCGGTTCTGCTCAAGTCTCCCGCCGTAGATTTACCGGCTTTCTTTTTAGTGATATCGCTGACACGCTGTCTGTTGTTGGCAGACGTTGCGAGAAGTCGTCCATGGAGTTTCTTTCTGCGTTTCTATTAAAAAATTGTGACTACTGATTGTGGACGGTTGTTTAAGAGTTACGCTGAAGTTGGACAGTTGTTCGCCTGAATAAAGGTCTAATGGCGTGCGCAGACGAAAGACTTTTGTCAGCGGAGGACAAAAGTCCCTGAATCGTGAAGAAAATATCCGCCAAGGACAGCTATTTTAAAAAAGAATACCGGGTCCATTTCTCTAAACTGGATCAAGTGCGCAACGCGGGCTAAAGTTCGTTGTGTACGTTGCTGCGCCTAGTCATATGACTTCTATTTTTTTCGATGACACCCCCGCACTTTGTCCAAAAGTCACATCTGTAGGCCCACTTAGTGTTTTAGGTTTTTAAGGTCTGTAGCAAAAACACAATTAAGTTAGGTTGAGCAATAATAATATATTTGTAAAAACACTCGAAAAAGATGATGTTACATTTATTTTTCTCTAGGGACCGTCAAAACCATATAGGCCAAAACTTTAAATTTTAGTTGGGCCGATAGATGTGCCTGGGAGTATATTTCGGCGGACAAAAGTCCTTCGTTCTGCCCAGGCTACAAGTATCAGGCACGAACCCTCACGTGGCCCCGCCCGGTAGAGCGGAGGGACCCCGTGCTGCAGCCTGCGGTGCCACAACTGCCATAGGAGCGTTCCTGCGGACGGGAGCGGTACCTGGGAGCGGTAGGGGCCGGGCGTGAGGGTGGCCCCGCCCGGTAGAGCGGAGGGACCCCGTGCTGCAGCCTGCGGTGCCACAACTGCCATAGGAGCGTTCCTGCGGACGGGAGCGGTACCTGGGAGCGGTAGGGGCCGGGCGTGAGGGTGGCCCCGCCCGGTAGAGCGGAGGGACCCCGTGCTGCAGCCTGCGGTGCCACAACTGCCATAGGAGCGTTCCTGCGGACGGGAGCGGTACCTGGGAGCGGTAGGGGCCGGGCGTGAGGGTGGCCCCGCCCGGTAGAGCGGAGGGACCCCGTGCTGCAGCCTGCGGTGCCACAACTGCCATAGGAGCGTTCCTGCGGACGGGAGCGGTACCTGGGAGCGGTAGGGGCCGGGCGTGAGGGTGGCCCCGCCCGGTAGAGCGGAGGGACCCCGTGCTGCAGCCTGCGGTGCCACAACTGCCATAGGAGCGTTCCTGCGGACGGGAGCGGTACCTGGGAGCGGTAGGGGCCGGGCGTGAGGGTGGCCCCGCCCGGTAGAGCGGAGGGACCCCGTGCTGCAGCCTGCGGTGCCACAACTGCCATAGGAGCGTTCCTGCGGACGGGAGCGGTACCTGGGAGCGGTAGGGGCCGGGCGTGAGGGTGGCCCCGCCCGGTAGAGCGGAGGGACCCCGTGCTGCAGCCTGCGGTGCCACAACTGCCATAGGAGCGTTCCTGCGGACGGGAGCGGTACCTGGGAGCGGTAGGGGCCGGGCGTGAGGGTGGCCCCGCCCGGTAGAGCGGAGGGACCCCGTGCTGCAGCCTGCGGTGCCACAACTGCCATAGGAGCGTTCCTGCGGACGGGAGCGGTACCTGGGAGCGGTAGGGGCCGGGCGTGAGGGTGGCCCCGCCCGGTAGAGCGGAGGGACCCCGTGCTGCAGCCTGCGGTGCCACAACTGCCATAGGAGCGTTCCTGCGGACGGGAGCGGTACCTGGGAGCGGTAGGGGCCGGGCGTGAGGGTGGCCCCGCCCGGTAGAGCGGAGGGACCCCGTGCTGCAGCCTGCGGTGCCACAACTGCCATAGGAGCGTTCCTGCGGACGGGAGCGGTACCTGGGAGCGGTAGGGGCCGGGCGTGAGGGTGGCCCCGCCCGGTAGAGCGGAGGGACCCCGTGCTGCAGCCTGCGGTGCCACAACTGCCATAGGAGCGTTCCTGCGGACGGGAGCGGTACCTGGGAGCGGTAGGGGCCGGGCGTGAGGGTGGCCCCGCCCGGTAGAGCGGAGGGACCCCGTGCTGCAGCCTGCGGTGCCACAACTGCCATAGGAGCGTTCCTGCGGACGGGAGCGGTACCTGGGAGCGGTAGGGGCCGGGCGTGAGGGTGGCCCCGCCCGGTAGAGCGGAGGGACCCCGTGCTGCAGCCTGCGGTGCCACAACTGCCATAGGAGCGTTCCTGCGGACGGGAGCGGTACCTGGGAGCGGTAGGGGCCGGGCGTGAGGGTGGCCCCGCCCGGTAGAGCGGAGGGACCCCGTGCTGCAGCCTGCGGTGCCACAACTGCCATAGGAGCGTTCCTGCGGACGGGAGCGGTACCTGGGAGCGGTAGGGGCCGGGCGTGAGGGTGGCCCCGCCCGGTAGAGCGGAGGGACCCCGTGCTGCAGCCTGCGGTGCCACAACTGCCATAGGAGCGTTCCTGCGGACGGGAGCGGTACCTGGGAGCGGTAGGGGCCGGGCGTGAGGGTGGCCCCGCCCGGTAGAGCGGAGGGACCCCGTGCTGCAGCCTGCGGTGCCACAACTGCCATAGGAGCGTTCCTGCGGACGGGAGCGGTACCTGGGAGCGGTAGGGGCCGGGCGTGAGGGTGGCCCCGCCCGGTAGAGCGGAGGGACCCCGTGCTGCAGCCTGCGGTGCCACAACTGCCATAGGAGCGTTCCTGCGGACGGGAGCGGTACCTGGGAGCGGTAGGGGCCGGGCGTGAGGGTGGCCCCGCCCGGTAGAGCGGAGGGACCCCGTGCTGCAGCCTGCGGTGCCACAACTGCCATAGGAGCGTTCCTGCGGATGGGAGCGGTACCTGGGAGCGGTAGGGGCCGGGCGTGAGGGTGGCCCCGCCCGGTAGAGCGGAGGGACCCCGTGCTGCAGCCTGCGGTGCCACAACTGCCATAGGAGCGTTCCTGCGGACGGGAGCGGTACCTGGGAGCGGTAGGGGCCGGGCGTGAGGGTGGCCCCGCCCGGTAGAGCGGAGGGACCCCGTGCTGCAGCCTGCGGTGCCACAACTGCCATAGGAGCGTTCCTGCGGACGGGAGCGGTACCTGGGAGCGGTAGGGGCCGGGCGTGAGGGTGGCCCCGCCCGGTAGAGCGGAGGGACCCCGTGCTGCAGCCTGCGGTGCCACAACTGCCATAGGAGCGTTCCTGCGGACGGGAGCGGTACCTGGGAGCGGTAGGGGCCGGGCGTGAGGGTGGCCCCGCCCGGTAGAGCGGAGGGACCCCGTGCTGCAGCCTGCGGTGCCACAACTGCCATAGGAGCGTTCCTGCGGACGGGAGCGGTACCTGGGAGCGGTAGGGGCCGGGCGTGAGGGTGGCCCCGCCCGGTAGAGCGGAGGGACCCCGTGCTGCAGCCTGCGGTGCCACAACTGCCATAGGAGCGTTCCTGCGGCCGGGAGCGGTACCTGGGAGCGGTAGGGGCCGGGCGTGAGGGTGGCCCCGCCCGGTAGAGCGGAGGGACCCCGTGCTGCAGCCTGCGGTGCCACAACTGCCATAGGAGCGTTCCTGCGGACGGGAGCGGTACCTGGGAGCGGTAGGGGCCGGGCGTGAGGGTGGCCCCGCCCGGTAGAGCGGAGGCCCGTCGGGACGCGTACCCGCCCGGCACTATGGACGCGGCGGAACCGCCGGCGCTTGTCCCCGTGCTGGAGCTTGTGCTAGACCGCTGCGATAAAAAAAAAGATGCAAATTATTTTCATTTTTAATTCGCTTAGGTCTTAATTGAATCGAAAAGGCCTCCAATACTTTTAAAAAGTGCAGAAATGGATTAGGTTAAATAATAAATGTCGCGGCATCACTCTTCACTCGCAAAGCTATAAAAACGTTTTTATCTCAAAAATCACGTGAGTTTGTCGTGAATGTCATGCGCTTATATGCGCCATTTGCTATCGAGAAAAGAACAACAATACAGCCCAGCCGTATGTAAAAAAAAAAAAAGAAAAGGCAGTCGATTGCCATGCAACTCGAAATCGGTAACAGAATAAATATTTTTCATTTTCAATTTATAAATATATGCAGGAGTCCGCATACATGCATGACATACAATACCTTAGCTTGTTGGTGTGCCGGGGGAGGCGCCGGGGTCACGGTGACCCCCGGTGGGACCACACACCCGCTGCCGGCTAGCGCGGTGCCTGTGCTTGTGTCCTACCAAATAAAACACAAAACGATACGGATTTAAGGTCGTATACAGAAAGAAAGCTGGAAGTCGACCAGCGGACCGGTCCTTACCGGTAACAAGTAAAGGCATTTTAATGGACCAACGCCGATAAGCGCCGAACGTCGCCGACAAGTGCAGACACCGCTGATCAGCGCTGGCACCGCTCTTCGAAATTATTGAACAACTACGCTTCAATCTGCATCCTTTAAGTAACTGTTACCAGTAAGGACCAGCGCTGACAAGCGCTTGTCGGCTTCCAGCTTTCTCTCTGTATATGGCCTTAGAGCGGACGCGAGTTGGGAGACATTTGAGAAATAGGTATTTGAAAAAATTGTTGCCGTCACGCATTGGCAAATACAATGCGACAGGGACAACAGTAGTTAACGCTGAAAATTTCGTATAAAAATTACCAAATTTAAGGTTTGGCTCTCGACGATTTTCTCCTCGAAAATTAGATTTATGTTAAAGAAATTTTACACTATAATAATATAATAATAAATAGTTTTACTATGCCTCTGTGTTTTGATTTTTTTGTAAATGCTTGATAAACATTACGTAGCTTCTCTTTTGGGTTTCAGAGTTCACAATAAAAATATTAAACAACAAATAAGTAGGTATATCGAAAAACCAGGGAAAACCTACCTCTTAGTACGCTAAAATATAAGCAGTCGCAAAATAAACTCTATCACAATAAAAGCTAAAGATCAAATTACCTTGGCGGGCGGCAAGCCGGTGGACTGCTGGGACTGCCTGATCTTCCTGAGCAGAACCAACCGGGTCTCTTCGGCGCGTAGTTTCTCTCGCAACGCGCGCATTCGACGTTCGCGCTCCCAAATCTCCGCGCTCGATAATTCCTTCACCAAAGATGGATCGTTCAAAGAAATGCCAAATCATAAATATTTATAACTAACGGCCGCTCGTGACTTCGACCACTTCAATTTATTTATCTTTGAGAATCCCACAGGAACGTAACATTTTTTGGATAAAAAGTATCCTATGTCTTAATCCAGGTCATAAATTATATGCGTACCAAATTTCATTTACATCCGTCGTTTTTGCGTGATTGTATGACAAACATAGAAAGGAGAATGGCAGGTTTTCATAGAAAGTTAGGCCACGATTGCCCTTTATTGAAGTTTGTTTCAAACGATAGGGAAATAGCTATAAATTGTGTAGGAAAAATATCGTCTCATTATGCTGTAGAAGTTTAGAGAAATCATATCGTACAGTTGTAAATTGGGGTTATAATTGACCACATATTTGACAGACGATTGATAGCCGTCAAAAAAGCAACCTCGCAGCGGGAAACGCAGTGTCGATAAACTCCTCACCAGGTGAAATGACATCAAACGAGTCGGAGAGACCCACTGCATACGGAAAGCGCAGGATCGTTGTGTTTGGCAACCCTCAATAAGGCCTATATCCAGCAATGGACGTCCATCGGCTTCTTCTAATGATGATGAATGGTCTAATACCTATTTGTGGAGATAAAACAGACTCACTCTATGCCCGATAATAGGCAGCGGCGGTTCATTCTCGTCGTCCTCCGAGTCCTCTTCATCGCGCGGGTCACGCGGCGACTCCGGAGCCGGCAACGAACTCGGTGTTATAGACACATTCACCGCTCCCGTGTTCAATCGGTTGCTAGCCTCTGAAATAGAGTGGAAGCTATAGAGAAAGAGAATGGAATGCACGTTATCTGTCCTAAAATAAATTTAAAACAGGGCAGATGGAAAGAAACTAGGTGATACAGATACAGTTGGCTAGCAAGTGGCTTGTGTTTGTTACGTGGGCACTTCACTTGGTTATTCGTGTTTGTCAACTTGAAGTCAGTCTGTCCTTTTCATTCCTTATATAGCATGATAAGGACAGACTGTTGTCAAGTTTATAAATAGCAAATACGAATAGCCAAGTAAAGTGCCGGCATTAGCGTTTAGCGCAAATTAAAATGACAAATGTATGGAATTATCATTATTGAAAGTCATACAGTGCGATCTTCATGAATGTGCGTGACAGTAGGGTATTTGACAAGTTTTAGAAAACGATCTCACATTAATTACTATGATTTGATTATTCAGAGAAGTTATTAAGATTTTGTTCTCTCAGAAAAGTGAAGGCGTTGGTAATATTCATATTAAATACAGATGCCAACAACTGATACTTCATTTTTCATACTGTCAAATAGCCTGTTCAGGGAGGGCGCCTTTGTCTACGTAAATAAACATAAAGGCAGCGGTGTTGGTTCCAATTTTCGCCACATTCATAAAGATCCTTGTCGCACTTTATATATCACGAATTGAAACTCGACAGTGCAGTACGCCTTCATCACATTTTCTATTTCAACGTGAGTACACTACGAAGCGTTTGAGCCTGGGCGCATAAGTGTGAAAGAGAAAAAACGATCGTTTGGTCAATAGCAAGTATACGCTTTGACTACACGGTCGCTTTCACCTTTCTAGAGAGTTTTCCATGCGAGTGGCATTTAGTCCATACTCTATGTCTATGGTGGAAGCTGAGCACTTGTCTTTTGATGCCAATTGTAGAAAAGTTGCCAGCTTGATAATAGGATTCCTAATAACGCATTCTAAGTTTTAATTTTGCTCGCAGAGCAGCCTTATAATACATAAGGTCGTGGCAAACTTCTTGAGCAAGTCTACAGACAAATAAACTTGGACCGGAGACATTTTTGTATGTAAAATTGCTACTGCGCAAGCTTCCTTGTCTATGGTTGTAGCTCAAGAACTTTGCCGGGATGTATATAAAAACTAAAAGGATATTATTTTCTATTCCTTAATTATTTACAGCTTACACATAGTTATTTACAACTACAAACTAAAATTCAATATATTTTCGGATGAGTCATGTACTTTAATAGTTATCATAGAGTCATTGCTAAATATTATTTACTAATGTATGCAACTTAAATATCATTATTAAAGTGCATGCTTCAATATATTTTCCAATATCAGTTGCACAGAAGCAGTGGTTTCCCGAGGATCTTACGGATGAAGTGGCAGTAAAGCTAATGTAAAAACAACCTTATCTCAATATAATACAGATCAGAGATACTAAAGCTAGAATATGACTACAGCGACAAAAAGATTAAACACTAAAGGCTCGCGTTCACTAAAAGGACAAGGCAAAGGAGTTTTAGGTAAAATTAATTTATTACTTGGGAAGGTACCAATGAGGATCATACATGTTTTGTATTATTTGAATAAGTTGCTCTGCCATGTTTGAATGTGTATAGCAAATTAAAAAGGAATTTAGTGCTTGAAAAATCCCTGGCCATGCATAAATATTTAGACACTAGTCGAAAAGATCACCCAAGCATATCAAAATGTACAGAATACTTTAATAGACTGTAGTCTTCTAAATGGTTAGTACTAAAATTTTACAACTAATTAGTAGGAGTCTCAAGGAGTACCCTAAAAGGAGGCTATACATAGCATAGTAGTGGGACCTCACTTAAAATCACATTTCAGCACCTTTTAATTTCAATACATCGTTAGAGTTGTGCTGTTTGTTGGCAGTGGCAGAATCTGCCCAGATTGGTGTTGATTTGTGGCCTGGGGTGGTTTGCTCTTTAGCTGAGAAACACAAACAAAAGACATTTCTTACGTTGATTACAAATAGCTTAAATAGGTACCTATGTATGAATTGACACAATATTTCAACAAGAAAAAATACAACAAATTAAACAATTCTCACACACAATATGAATTATTGTGTGTAATAATTCATATTGTGTGTGAGTGTGATTGAATCATTGTGAAAATTCTCAAATGTGTTGAAAAATTATTTTAGACTATGGTCTTTCTATACCTTAAGAGCTTTTTAATCATGGCAAATTGGAAAAAAAATCGGCAGTCGAAAATTTTGATAAGTATCTTTTTGGTTTACAATTATAACAATATAAAAAAATGTATAAAAATGAGTAACACCCTAAAGTTAACCTAAACTAGTTTTAACGGGTTAATGCACAAACTTTATTTATTAATTGAGGTTTCGCTGCCTTTTCAGGTCTGCAATGGGATGACGATGACGATGCAGACCTGAAAAGACTGCTTAACGTCAATAAATAAATAAAGTTCGTGCAATAACCTGTTAAAACTTGTTTTATTTGATGTCACTATATTTAATATAAATAATGGAATCACTTTGCCCTACATTACATATTAAGTTAGTTAATCTCAATTCAAAACATGAACTGAACATAACTATATTTTGTTTAAGAACTCTGTTAGACACGTCTATATCTATGAAGATAAGACAGGTCCGGACAGCAAATCTAGAAATTAAATTTAAATAGTAAACTTGTGATCTACCAGTATTGGGTTGATCTCAGATTGTCTAGTTGCAATGTGACTAACCACTATTAATGACATACAAAAAAAAGTGGTTTGCGTGTTTTTTTTCTAAAAGCCAATAAAATTTACTGTCGAATACATTAAAAAAAAATTATATCCGTGATGACAAGTAAAACATTTTTTTTGACATTGTTTCGGCAATAGGAATCCACGCATACCGAGCTTAATTTATTCCTATACTTATGTTCTAGTTATTTTTTTTTTTGATTACTGACTGAACTGAGTTCAATCATGCTTATGGCCAGAAGGGCCTTACAAACTTCATCCGAAACGATCATACTCTGAGAAGGGGATGATGCGGTATAACCGCCGATCTTTTCAAGTGATTACAAAATGCTGAAAGTAATAAAATGATTTGTAGTCATTTTGCGATAGAGTCATTAAAAGTTAGTCACACTATGACCAGACAATCTGAGATCAACCTCTAGCATTGATACAAACTGTCACAACTCAAAAATTTTGTGAAATTTGTTAAGTTCCTAACATTCAATAAATAAACAAAATTATATTATCATTAAATAATAAAAAGTATTCATAAATACCTGTAAAAATGGCAGGTGTCGGCACTGATGGTTTCCTAAGCGGAGGTGCAGCAGGTAACAGCACAATGTCAGGGCTCTCTGCATAACTGCGCTGTTCTGAGCGGGGCCGCAACACTCTCCTGCCACTTGCACCCTGCATAAACATTTCATATTTTAATGAATACAAATTTAGTTTCTGCATATTAAAAATAATAATACACTATAATAAACTAACTGTAATGACGAATTTCGTACTGGCATATTTTGTTGGTTACTTTTTTTACAAACCTTTTCTAGAGAATACAATCCCTTACAGAATAAAAAAAATATCCCATTAAGTCCAATCCTTCCAAAGTTATGGGTTTTAACATACATTTTGGAAATTTATTTTTATTTATGAAGATTAGAATGAAGATGTATAAGAAAAAGAAAATTACAGTTTTGAAAAACCAAATTTTGTCAATTTATCAACCTAATTCATAAAATATTGAAACTTTATGCAATACAATACAAAACACTATTGTACACCACATATAACATTAAATTTAGTACATAACCAATTAAAACTAGTGTAACAATGGGCGGCCTTATCGCTTAGAGCGATCTCTTCCAGACAACCTTTGGATGGAGAGGACTAGAAGGAAGTGGGAGAGACAGCGGTGTAAATCACTTGAGTGATATAGGTGATAATATATATAATTATATACATACATAAATATAAATACACACATCAAAAGTGTCTAGGGATCAAGCATTTTTATGCGGATTTCTTGAGATTGAGATGTGGCTTTGTAATAAATTTATGATTTTATAAATTTATATGGATCCTTTTTGGTGCATTTCATAATTTGAATCAGGAACTGTGAATCAAATTCGAGTAAAAGATGAAAATCAGCTGTCAATATTTTCCCTATAAAAACATACAACGCATTGAAGACATTATTAGTGCTACTGTTTCCCTACTACTGATTAAAACCAACGTTATTATGGAGCGGCGACGTCATTTAAGCAGGGAAGAAATGCTCAGAGCCGTGGGAATGATAGAAGCTGGTTCCCGGCAACGTACTGTGGCTTTAGCTCTGAATACAAGTCAGAGTGTTATCAGTCGACTTTGGACACGATACCGATCACTGGTACCGTGGCTGAGCGCCATGGAGGACGGTATCGCTGCACCACACGGAGACAAGACCGATACATTCAAATCGTAACTCGAAGAGCTCCAACAATAACCGCCATGATGTTAGCCGTGAGGCTTCATCACTCTTCAGGGAACTTAATTAGCGACCAAACAGTCAGAAACCGCTTGCATGAAGTGAACCTTCATTCTCGAAGACCGCTACGGGTACCACCTATAGCAATGCACAATCGTAGGATTCGATATCAATGGGCTCTTGAACACAGAAATTGGGCAGAAGAACAATGGCGTTTCGTGTGCTTTTCTGATGAGTCTCGTTTTGGTATGAGACCGGATACAAGACGTATACGACACTGGAGAACCCCTGGACGCCAACAGCGATTAAAATCCTGCCAGGAAGTCCATCCTTATAGTGGTGGAACCATCATGGTATGGGCGGGTATTTGGATCGGCGGAAGAACTGAGTTGATTTGGATCAGAGGCAACCTCAACGCTCACATTTATGCTGAGACGATTGTATCAGACGTCATCGTTCCTCTACAAGTGCAAATCGGTCCCTTATTTCAGTTAATGCATGATAATGCACGACCGCACACCGCAAGAGTTGTAAGACAGACTCTCGCCGCAGCTAACATCAATGTCCTGCCCTGGCCTGCTCAGTCGCCAGACTTGAACCCGATTGAGCATGCATGGGATATGCTACAGAGAAGAGCTCTGCCGAATATGGAGGGTATCCAGTCGCAAGAAGACCTTTTTTTGTTGTTGCAACAAACATGGGCGGCCATTCCACAGCGTGATTTGGATGAACTCATTTTGAGTATGCCAAACCGATGTTCTTGTGTTGTTAGTGTTCGCGGTAGAAATACGGATTATTAATTGTTTAAGTTACCCAATAAAATTTTAGAGAAAACTGTTATTTCAGTCTTTTTTTCGAACTTTTGTGTTAGTGGTTCAAATGTCAAAAATCCCTTTATTAGGAAAATGGCAAATTTCTTTATTAATGCAAAGGTGACTTGGTTTATCGTTACTGTGACAAACGAAAACACTTTATTTGATGAATCCTTAAAGAAAATTTTAATTAATATCAATCAGGAGAAAAGTTATTGCAAAAATATATGTTGATCCCTAGACACTTTTGATGTGTGTATATATTAAATAAATACATACATACACATAAATAAACAAATCTAGTTCAGTTGGTAGTAATCACAAATAAGATTAACATCAAAAGTTATAAGGACAAATAATGGGACTTTACAAGGTTTTTAAAAGCGTGGATAGATTCAGCACGTCGTATGGTAACTGGGAGAGAATTCCACAAATGTACGGCACTCACTGCAAACGAATGGTTATAAAATGTTGTAACATGTAGAGGAGTCATGAGAGTAAGATTTTCTGATGACCTAAGGGATAACGTGTTAGAAGTGTGAAGGAAATTAAAACATTCCTGGAGATAGCGCTGGGTCTTAGGATTTAACAATATATTGTAAAGGAGAGCAAGAATATGAGCATTCCGGCGAAGACGAATAGGTATATCGTAGGTATATATCAAATTTATAAAGGATTTTGTGCTTTAAGATAAAAAAACCGGCCAAGTCCGAGGGTTCCCTACAAACCTGTAGGTATATTTTATTAATTATTAAAAAATATTTTTTATTATATGAAGTGACTAAAAATTTACGATTTTCGCAAATTTTTCGTTTATTTGTACTTTAAGACATTACTTGGTAGCAAATTTCAAGATTCTAAGTTCACGGGAAGTACCCTGTAGGTTTTGATTCCCATGCAGGCTTCGAAAATTTGCAGCATAAACCGCTGTATCTTTTGATTGCTTTAGCTCAGAAGTTGGATTTTTCACAGCTCCAAGGGACAATAGATCTGAATATTATATATGAATTTCAGTTTGATACCTCCATGCGTTCCTGAGAAAAATGGTCTTGACAGACGGACAACAAAGTGATCCTATAAGGGTTCCGGTATTTTCCTTTTGAGGAACCCTAAAAATGCATAACATAAAGCTTTAATTCCAAATCATTTTTGAGGCAAATTTCATTTTTACAGAATACAAATGAAATTTGTCATTCTCCTTTACAAGTAATAACTTACAGCAGTATCATATTATTTCATAATTTACCACTTCTAACAGGAAAAAACAGTCTATTCCTTTATTTAATTGGCTACTGTTAGCAAAGATACCTCCAAATAATCATTTCAAATAACACATAATCAATGTAAAACTTTCAATTGTGTAGTACTTACTCTATCAATCTTTCCAATGGATGCATGTACAGAAAATTTATATTTTTTAATAGGGACACTAAGAAATGCTACATTGAATTATAAGTTGTTTTAGGTTTTAGTTTTAACAACAAGTCAGGCCAAACCATAGTCACATTTCAGAACAGTTGGAAAGATTACAATAGGGATGATGACTAATTTTTTTTTCGCCCCTACTCCCAAACTTTCCATTATTTTTTCATCATCTAACTGACTTACTAATTAGAATTTCATTTACTGTACGCCGTCATCACCCCTATTGGATGATTAGATATAGTGTGGCCCCAACTAAAGAATGGGTGCAAGATACTCCAAAAGATATTGAAAGGAGCTGTCTCATATAAAAAATGCATGCGTTATAATATAAATATTAAAATAATTATGGCAAAATCATTACCTGTTGGAGTAATAAAAAAGGACTAAAACTAAGAATAAAGGCTTCTTCAATTAAAGCATATTTAATTTTTTTTATTTATAAATCTAGCAGTTAAATTCTAACTTATTTATACTTTTAGTTTATATGTTCAGGCTTAATTTTTGAATGTTATTTATGGTTTCATTATGAGTACAAGAAACTCAAAAATAATTGCAAATTTTGAAGAGCTTAGTCTATGTAGCAGCAAACATCTTGAGCAAACCCACAGCCAAATAAACTAGCGAGAAATTATTTTTGCCTGTAAATTGCTACTGCACAGGCTTCCTTACCTATGGTTGACGCTCAAATTTGCAGGGGTATATAGTAGGGTAATGAATTCCCCTTTAAGCAACAATTTTATACAAATTATAAAATTAATAGGTACTTACATGAGGAGGGGGTTGTGCTGGGGTTATTGTCAGACCACTGGCAGTAAGAGCTCTGAGTTCACTTAGCTCAGGAGGTAATGACCTGATGTTCAGAAATTATATAACACAATTAGTGTTAAATTAATCAAATTTCTAGTTAGTTGATAAATAAACAAACAATAATACACAACAAAAGTAAACAAATAGGTACTAATATGAACTTTACCTCACACTAAGGTCAACCGCAGAGTCGTCTACGTCCATTTTAATTAGTCACTGAAACAGGTAAAACGTAATGTATCTTGTAAGTATATCAAAAATCAATATTTCAAATAAAATCAAGTCACTTTTGTGCATAAAAAAACACAGTAAATAATTTAAATTAATATTATAAAAACACTTTTGAAGAAACTACGGTAAAAGATTTAATGAGACAAGAGTCTTTTTCATCAAAATTATTGAAAAATGTATTGAACACGCATGCACCGACGGGCCGTGACTTTAGACCAGACAATAGTTAGTAATAGGCACAAATTAATTAGAAAATATTTTCTCAGGCTATTTCATTACTACATAACATGAAAAATAAAACTTTATAAGCAATAAATGTATGTGGTTACCGCATAAAACAGTCAAACGTAAACAAATTTAATCACAATTGCTGAAATTGACGAATATCAACATCTCTACAACAAAAGTATGGATGGACGACAATCACCAGTTCACCACAGACTAGCGATGTGCCGAGCGGCTTGAATGGGCTTGACTCGAATCAGAATCAGACTCCATTCCTGCCTTGGATTCGCTTACTCGAATACCAATTTATTTTGTTGCGAGTACACCGGACTCGATTCCGGTACTCGAGTCAGGAAGAATCGATTTTGTACTCACTGACTCGGTTGTATTATGCGAGCCGACTGACTCGTATCTTGTATTCGAGTTAGGTTGACTCGGTCGTACTCGATTTCTGTGTAAGCCTTTTGGTATATTTACCTTTCTCTATGGTGTAAGCAATAAAGTGTCACATATTCATAGAAGTTTGAACTGAAACTAATGGAACAAATACGTTAATTTATTAACAGTAATTATATAAGTAGCATAAGTAAACACTTTTATTCATTTAAGATTAAATGTTACAGTAAACTTGCCCGCAGTCTGCAACATTACATCAGAAAAATCACATTCACATAAATTTTGCCGGTTCTGGGATTTATGGATAAAAACGTATAGGCCAACCCACAAACAGAAACATGCCTTGATAGTTTGAGTATACTATGCACATATAATCAATAAATAAATCAATATATATAGTTTTCATATATCATGCTTAAACATATTTAAACATGATATAATATGAAAACCAGTAGTAGTAGTCCGATTAAGCTGTAGAATAAGCTCATAGACAAAAGTAATTATCTAAATCAGCTCCCTGTAGTTACCAAAAGAATCTCAGCAAGGTTTTCTTCAAAGGAGGCATAAAGAACTTTCTAGTGGGTAAGCAACATGAAGCGACCGCTTACAATCAGTGAGATTTTTTTTAAAATCGGTTACGAAATTAAGTAACATTTGATGATTAATAATTTATCATATCGATTATAAATTAAATTTGATTTTAAATATTCAATTACTGCATCACTACGAGACACCTACGAGACATCATTGCGTACTTACACTCCGAGTGGGTGGAAATTATAAAGCCAGAAACATATTAACATGTCTAGGCGTGTCGTGCGTGACGCATTGGTTTCATTTATTATGGGTTACAGAGATACAGAGAAGTAAAAGCATCGACACGACACGACACGTAAGTATGTCTTTAACCATATAGCGCAGCGGCCGGGGCGTTAAATACATGAAAACCTCGGATTTTAGTTACAGTGAATGAAATTGAAAAAATCCAAATAGAATGTTCAGCTAATAATACATATAAAAAAGTTAACCTATTAAAAAATTGTGTGTATGTTTTTTAATGAATGTGCCTTGCTGTAGTGTCATATGATTTTTACCTACTTGGTGTATAATTTTCATTACTTTAATTTCAATATCCGTTTTTAATATATGAAACTCCTCTTCTTTTCAGGTTTCCGCAGAAGAAGACTCCACTAATGTCCATCTGTCTGTCACCAAGCTGTTTATTTAAAGCCGTAATTAAATTATGAAATATCCTACAATCAAATCAACCAAGGCCGTTTAATTAACATTCCCAACTAGCAATATCGCAATCAAATAATAACATATCAATCCCTTTCATCGTTGTTATCATTGATTTCAACATCGATCTTTTTGTAATATCGAGCATCCCTAGTGCCACTTTTTGATATGAACCGATTCTGGATAGATTCTCACATCATCCTCCAATCTTAAAACTATAGAAATCAATCTATCCTTTTCATTCCCTATGGAGCGTGGGACAACCTATATAGTGGTGCCAATTTTGGCGTGATTCTCTAAACTGAAAACTAAATTTAATATCAGTCTCTCCTTTTCATTCTGTATAGAGAATGACAAGGATATACTGCTGTCAAATTTAAGTTTAGGTTTAGAGAATCATGCTAGAATCGATACCAATGTCAATATATCGATATATTTGTTTTCTAAGTTGCACCCGGAGCGTAAATTGGAGCGCAACTAGGGTCACGATATGGAATAGAAAGTATCGATACTGTACTCATGAGTAGGATCAAAAAGTATCGTTCTCGAAAAAGTATCGAAACAAAAGTATCGATACTTAGAAGTATCGAGTACATTTCATAGGGCCTGATGAGCAAACCCGGTTTAAAATTGAAAGGAAAACAATCAAATTTTATTATAGTACGTATAATCAACAGCAAAAAAAGAACATATAAATTCACAAATTGCTACATTACTTACTACTCTTAAAAATGTGTAATGTTATTATAATCAACTGCAAAACTAAATGTGCGTAATTAAATAAATAATGAACAGAAAACAGCTGAGATTTCTGACAATGAAAAGTGTTCATTAATATAACATTTATAATCAACATTTTAATTCAAAAGGATAGAAATATTAAACAATTTAAAAGTATGGTACTTTTCAGATTTGTAACAAAATAAACTTATTTTCCTGAATTTTAGTCATTAAAAACATTATGCCCACTTATGTTAACTTGAACCTAACATGCGGTAACGGCGGCCATTGGTATGCTTCACTTTTCACTTAAGATTAGACGAGGTTACGTGCGTCCATTTTTCAGGTCTGTGGTTTTAAATAGGTATACATAGCACAGACAGAATAATAGAGTTACACTTGAATCAAATACGCTCAAGCGAAAAGCACAATAAACAAGCAATTACTCTTCGTATTAATGTGGCCGCTAAATAAACCATGAAACAAAACAAAGCGCAAAATATACACAGTCACAGATTGGAAAGAATTTGAATATGTCAGTTACTTACTGTCCTAATTCAATGGCGTCATCTATTCGTCTCAGGCAATCTAGTGTAGATTGCTTGTGCTTCCAATTATATCAACGCAATGGAATGTTTTAGAAGGTTTGCTATGATTCAACAAGATGGCGTTGCCATCAATATGAGGCGCATATCCAAAATTTTAAAGGAATCGATACTTGCCAAAAAGTACTCATTAAGTAAAAGTATCGAATACAAAGTACGAGTAGCAAAGTATCGGTATCGAAAGGATAAGTACTCGATACCACAAAGTATTGATACTTTTTTCGTGTCCCTAAGCGCAACCCAGTCGCTGTGCTGACTTTTTGAAGTTTTTGTTGTGTTGTGATTTGTGATCTCGTCTCGGTTTTGTAATTATAGTAACCTCAAAAAGTAAATATATAAACGTATTTAGGCGCTAAAACTTCATTTTAAATATCATAGGTGGTACTTATAATATCAGTAGTGCATTGGAATGTAATTTAGAGCTCTAAAAATATGCCGGGACCGGATCTTTTATCAAGCCAAGGCCTTCGTCTCGACGGTCGTAGACCCAATGAGCTACGCCGGATAAGATGTAAACTTGGAGTTTTCACTCAACCAGACGGTAGTGCTTATTTGGAACAAGGAAATACAAAAGTTCTTGCTGCAGTGTACGGCCCTCATCAAGTAAGCACATTAAATTCACCTAAAATACATTCCTTGTTTCATGTATGAGTAAAAACATTACACTTCTTTTTAAAGTTATTTATTGTTGACTGCTTATTATTATTATTTATTTCCAGGCCTCTAAATCGAAAAGTACTACCGAGGGAGTAGTAGTGAATTGTCAATATAGTATGGCTACATTCTCCACAGGTAGGCACATAAACTTAATAAAAGTGCTTACAAGCAAGGCTTCTTTGGTTGCTAAAAGTAACATTGAAAATTAAAATTTAAGTGACAGTCTTGAACTGCCAGGGTACTAAATTCCATTATTTGTGGTGGAATTTCGGGTTAATTTTGATGATCGGGATTGATTTTATTGACGCCCTACTAAAGATTTTAGACGGAAATGCATGTCATGAAATCTCAGCTCGGTACTCAACCACAACTAATGGAAAGCTGAGCCACTGCCAGTCTATGTATGTTTTTTAAATACGATTAGACTGATTGAAGAAAAAATCATACTAAAATTACTATTGCTATGTTTATTCCCCTTATATTTATTTATTGGTGAAACACATAAGAGTCAGACACTCATATTATGTATGTAGACGACCTCCGTGGCCGAGTGGTTTATACGCCGGGTTTCATGGCGTCGCCGACTCGAGAGGTCCCGGGTTCGAATCCCGGTGGGGGCAGATGTTTGTGTGATGAATACGAGCATTTGTACTCCAGTCATGGATGTTTAATATGTATTTCATATAAATATACTTATATATGTACAATATATGTATTCTATCCGTTACCCTAGTATCCCATAACACAAGCCTTTACAGTGCTTACTTTGGGGCTAGGCTAATTGGTGTGAAAAAAAATAAAAAAAAAAAAAAAAAAAAAAAAATATTGAAGTGTAATTATATGCATTATCCTTATCCTCTTTTAAGGAGAAAGAAAGAATCGACCCAGAGGTGACCGCAAATCTCAGGAAATGTCTTTGCATCTCAGACAGGCATTGACTGCTGCAATCAAGACTGAACTGTATCCACGCTCCCAAATTGATATTTATGTTGAAGTGCTTCAGGTGCAATGTTTTTTTAGTAATTACATACATTATGGGTAACAAATATTTTTATTGATTGTTCACACATGTTATCTTTTCAGTAATCTGTCCAGTGTCTAAAAGTTTGAATATATACAAGCTGTGCCGCTGTGTTACCGCAGTAACACTGCGGGGCACATCACAGCGCACTGTTTCCCGCAGTAAAATGTAGCCTATGTGTTAATCTAGGGTGTCAGCTAACTCCATACAAAATTTTATTAAAATCGCTCCAGTTGTTTAGACATGAAGAACAAACATACACACTCACAAACTTTTGCCTTTTATAATATTAGTGTGATTTTATCTTGCCATTTTTGTCTTTCATTTACTATTCTCCATTTTTTACTCTGAGCTATGAACATACATAAAGTGTACAAACAACATATTAAAAAAGTTATATTACATGGAGAAAAAGTGCTTGTTCAAACTGCAGCTATTCTCTCATTAATGATATTTTTTGCGATTTTCATTTTATCCCCTCAATATGCATATTATCTACTTTAGTAATTACCTTTCTATGTAATTCAATCCATTAAGTATTCTATAACACAATTTTACAGTGTTTATTTGGGGTTAGGTTTTTAGAAACATTCATTTATTATTAGGCAGATGGCGGAGCGTATTGCGCTGGCGTAAACGCCGCTAGCCTAGCGCTCATCGACGCGGGCATACCGCTGCGAGCGTACGCCTGCGCTTGTTCCGCTTCCATGGCGTGGCGGAATGGAGAACCGGAGCCGTTATTGGATGTGGGACATGTTGAAGAAGCCGCAGGTGGAGTCGTTTTAACAGTGGCCAGTTTACCGAATACAGGTACGACATTACCTACAATGGTCCACATAAGAACTAAGGCCTGAGCTGAAAGCTGTCTTAAGTACGATCTTGATATGATATTTTGTAATAGTATCTCAAGATTGTAGTATTAGAGTTGAGAGCAATCTATTACTAGCAATCGGGCCTAAGTGCAGAAACTATAACCTTTAACATACAACATACAGGTACAACAATTGTTGTCATTAATTAAGGTCTACTGATACTTTACTCGGACTGTACAGTAGAGTGCGAACCAAAAAGTGTTTGATAAATCACAAGACTAATAAAAATAAAAACCAGAGCTATTATTGGATGTGGGACATGTAGAAGAACATGTTGTTGTTGTAGAGTTTACAAAATACAGGTAGGATTCACTAGTAAAGACTTTCAGCACAGCAGCATTCAATTTCCCATTTTGAAGGGGAATCCCCTAAGTCAGTAACACAGGGATGGGATTAGTTTAAGGCCCGTATTAATAGATTGCTGTCAACTGTGAGAGTGATTTTGAGATGCTGTTTTGTAATGAAACAATATATTTTTTATATATTGTAATAATTAAAAAAGTATATTAATTACTCTAAAACACAGCAGTTAAAAACTTCTGCTACTATTTTTTTATATGAAATACAATGTATTAAAACTATTGACAAAAGTGTTTATGACACTTTTTTTAGTAACATTTTTAATAATTATGGCAATTAACAAATGGCGGTTTTTTTTAATTATATTGTTTAAAATGATCATTTTAATATTATAAACCTCTGTCAGATGATGAAAATTTATTTCATCATGAAATCATAAAATAAATTTAATTACTGCCACCAGCTCATTAGTGTCGATTCTGGTATGATTCTCTAAGGCTAATCCTAAATTTGATAACACAGGTGTCGACTCTGACATGATTCTCTAAATCTGAATTTAAATTTGAAAACAGTGTATCCTTGTCATTCTCTATACAGAATGAAAAAAAGGTAAATTTAAAAAATCAAAAAACCCGACTGCTTAATTATTCTTCAAATAACAACTGAAAAGAAAAAAACAAGTCCAGTAGTCTATAATTCTGTTAATAATAAACAAAGCTACTTTAACAGTCGGGACCCATTAGATATTCAAGAATACATAATATTTTTCAACAGTGTTCAACTTCAAATGTTTTTAATCACCTTATATACAATACCAATCAATGACGTTTATGTCGCAGGTTGAAGAAAGAAGTAATTCCCGTCTGTTGTTTTCGACAATGGTGGTAACTGCCTTAGATCACTAAATTAAATAATTATGCAATCACCAAAGCAAAGTTTATAATATTTGATTAAACTAAAGGCGCATAATAAAATTTTCATAGCGTTAGGTAGAGCACCATAGCAATCTCATTTATTATCAATTTATAGTTCTCTTTGTAGTTTTCTTTTAAAGCGTTCACATTTAACAGGTCAAAGACTTTGTGTTCGACCCTTTTTTATTGGTAGTGTAAAGCTCGAATGAAGAGTACTCCCAGTAGTGCAATCATGGCAATTATTTTCCAAATACTTTTTTTGTTATAAAAATACCGAATAACGTATCACTCTTAAGCACAAATGCTAAATAACTTTTACAAATATAATCAAATAAACCTATTACTTACTTTATTTTTAAATCTTTTTCATCAATTAAATACTTATCTTATCCTAACTATCTATACTAATATTATAAAGAGGCAAGATTTGTATGTTTGTAACAAATAATCTGTCAAACTACTGAACCGGTTTCAAAGATTAATTCATCATAAGGTAGCTACATTATTTATTATAACATTTTTCTTTATTTAAATACATTTTGTCCGAGTGACATAGGCTATATTTTATCCCGATAAATAAATTTCGCCCGTACAATGCCCGGGTCACTAGTAAGTATAATATAATATTATATATGCGAAAGTGAGTTTGTTTGTTGCGCTTCCGTGCCCTAATAGCTAAATTGAATATAATGAATTCGCATAAAGAAGTAGATGGGAACTTGGTTCTTAGCTACAACATCGCAATACTTATAGGCGTAGGGTGATGAAGGGGGGGTTACCTATAAAAATCTACATTATTTACTTTGAATTTTGCAGAATTATTACAAAACCAATATTATCGCGAGCTGATTAATAAATACAGGGATTCCAATAAGTATGTACTTACTAGCGAAAAATGGGTTATTTGTCATTATATTAAGTAAACCTTTTTTGTAACATTAAGTAATATCGTTAAAAAAAATGAAAAACAGTAAAATTCTGAGTTTTTCATTAAAATTCAATAATCATAAATACCTATTATGATAATATATTTTTCATCATTTAATAAGAAGGAACTGTATCACAGTTTTATTGTTAGTACTTCGTATAGAATCAGATACTGCGAATACCCCATTTTTTTTTCTTTTACATAGTACACCGCGCTATCACTTTGTCATCGTTGTAACTTTTTAAATATTTGTCGAAATGACATAGTGTAAAAAGCAAAGTTTATCGTCTTTAAATATCAAAAGCGATAAAAGTATTTGTTTGGATAAAAAATGATTTGTTAATACAAAATGTGCATTTTGGAAATAGATATCAAATAATATTTTAGTTTTGATTCACTATTTTAGCGGTAATGACTTACACATTAAAAATAGATATATGGTGTCACGGACTTTTTTTAGAACTATTTAAGAGATACATTTTCACTCTACATTACAGTCAGCACAATTATTCAATCAAAATGATGGTATTGTAATCTATCACAAAAGTGAACTTGATGTCAAGGTTATGGAACCTCCTTTTCAAGAAGGAAATTGTTTGATAATTCAATATCATGATATCGCCATAGTGGCAATTTACCGTCCACCTTGCTTCCACAATATAGATTTATTTTTAACTTCGCTTAATGATGTGCTTGTGTCTCTTTCATGTTTTAAAAATGTCGCTATTATTGGCGATATCAACTTGGATGTAGTAACAGGATCGACGGATGCTAGAGCTATGGAATATTTAAACCTTAACGCTTTTCACGGCTTACTTCCTGCTCACAATATTCCAACGCGTAATAAGGCGTGTCTCGACCATGTAATCCTTCGCTCCGCTATGAAAGCTACTACGATAGTCCTTAACTCATCCGTTACCGATCACCAAGCTGTCATATTAAGTTTGGCAACTAAATCGAATACAAAAAGAGGGTCCAAAACTTTGAAAAGATTAAATTACGATAAAATTAGGATAGAATTAAAGAACAATAGTATGGATTTTATCATTCAATGTAGTGATGCTAATGTTGCAACGGATTTATTTATTTCATACTTGCAAAAAATAATTTCAGAAAACACTTCAACCATTACAATCCCTAACAAAAAAAGAACTATAAAACCCTGGATAACTCCAGGTCTGTTACGCTGCATAAGGAACCGTGATAATCTGTTCAAAAAGCACAAAACATCCCCTAATGATGAAACAATTAAACTCACATATTCGAGATATAGAAACTACTGTAATGCTCTAATAAAAAAAGCAAAAATCAATTACAACAAAGATTTAGTCACAAAAGCTGGTAAAGATAACGGGAGGTTGTGGAAGGCAATTGGACAGATTTCAAACACTGTTAAAATGAAAGAACAATCGACTGAACTTCTCAAAGTTTCATCCACCCAAACAGAGTCAATAAATGCAGTGAATTCTTATTTTACAAGAGTGGGCGAAGAATTAGCAGAAAAAATTGCTTCTAATAAGCTCCCTAATCATGCAAAGGCTGTAAGACACATACCGACAAGAACGGCATCATTTGCAATGTTAAATACTGATGAAGATGAAGTCGAGCGTTTTATAATGAGTCTCAAGAACGTGTGCACTGATGGTTGGGACGGCATCTCCAATGTATTCATAAAACAATTTAGATCATTTCTCATCGCTCCTTTAACACATATCTTTAACCTTTCCCTCAACTCAGGAGTTTTCCCCTCTGCTTTTAAACACTCTATCGTTCATCCGATTTACAAATCTGGTGATAGAGACTGTGCCGGGAATTATCGGCCTATATCAATTCTCACTGCGTTCTCTAAGATCTTGGAAAAAATTATTAACTCTCGACTCGTGAACTATCTTGAATCGAACGGTCTGCTTTCTTATAATCAGTTTGGATTTCGACGTGGCAGATCTACCACCGAGGCTGTGCATGAGTTGACAGATTTTGTGGTTAAAAACTTAGACAAGGGTAACAAGGTGATAGGCCTTTTTCTAGATCTCGCGCGGGCCTTCGACACGGTCTCGGTACCAATCTTATTGAAAAAGTTAGAATCATATGGCTGTAGAGGTGTGCAATTAGATCTGTTGACAGACTATCTTTCTCATAGAACACAAAGTACCAAAATAGGGGATTATGTGAGTGACAAAGCTCAGATCAACTACGGAGTTCCTCAGGGCAGTATTCTGGGTCCTACACTTTTTTTGGTATATATTAATGACCTGTCTTCCTTGCAGATTCCATTTGCCCGTATTATATCTTACGCTGACGACACATGTCTTCTCTTTTCTGCTTCCACCTGGGAATTGACACAGGATGCTGCCCAACAGGGATTCAACTTAATTAATAGCTGGTTAAAAACTAACTTGTTAACCCTTAACACCGATAAAACGAAATATGTCAAGTTTTCCATGCGTAAATTGCCATTAGAAGAGAGACCCGCCAGAGCTATAATTTCACATGAATGCAACAATTTTGAAGAAATTAAATGCTCATGTAATAAATCAATAGAACTTGTCTCAAACATAAAATATCTTGGTGTAACGATAGACAGTAATTTGTCATTCAAAAATCACCTGCAATTGATGTCCGCCAGGTTGCGTAAACTTATTTACATTTTTAAAAATTTGCGATATGTGTTGGATAAGGAAGCATTAAAACGTATTTATTTTGCACTTGCAAGAAGCCTACTTACATATTGCATCACTTCTTGGGGAGGGGTTGCAAAGGGTACCCTAAAGCAAATAGAAGTTGCGCAAAGGGCTATTTTAAAAGTATGTGGATTCTTCCCCTTTAGATACTCCACCGAGCTTCTTTATCGCCACTGGCAAGTCTTAACAGTTCGTCAACTTTTTATTTTGGAGACTGTGCTAAAACAACACTCTGCAATTGCATATGAGGCAGGTAGTAGTATCGTTGGTGACAGACGAAGGAGCAGGAGTGTTTTTCCGACTTATGCAGTTAGAAAAGCTTTTACGAAAAGGTATTCTTGTTTTTTGGGTGGCTTTTTGTATAACAGCATAGATAGAAGACTACAAATATACACATGTAATACTTACGAATGCAAAGTAAAGGTGCACGAATGGTTGAGTGCCATGAATTATGACAGCACGGAGTCCCTCTTTGTAACTCAACAGTAGTGTATAAATAACTTAGGTTTAATAGACAAATAGCACTAAACTAAGTGATCGCTAAATTATTGAGGAAGAAGTAGAATAATAATATGGGTAATATTTATAAGCTATAAGTTATATTACAATATATGTCAATGTAGGATAATTTCTGTGGGGTGGGAGCCTGGCGACCTGTACTACAGGCCTTTAATGCCTACTTCAGGCACCAGCTTCTCACACTTCAAATACGCAGCTTTTGCAATACTTAATGATGTCTGATGCTTAACCGACTGTATTTGTATAAATTACCTATAGTATTTTGTAAATTTCAGTGTGTGAGAAGAGAACAAATAAATATTATTATTATTATTATTATTATTATTCATGTAACTTTTATTGTTTTTGCAGTGCAGGCCAAAATGGCTCGCAGATGGGAGATTTTTTTCCGTCTTATGTGACACTTATTGTTATATATTGGCCAATTCACTCAATAACTACAAAAATTATTATATATATGTAATTATCATATATGAGCTATATTACTGTTAAGTTTCATTAAAATCCATTCAGTATTTTTTAGGTGAAAGAGTAACAAAGATCCATACAAACGTAAGATTGAAATTAAAAGCGTAAGTGGTTAATATACAACTTTAAAGCGTTGTAGATCCTAAACAATCATATAAAATGAAAAATGATGTTAGGAACCTAAATATGATTTTTGATTATTTAGACAGTGATACCCCACTCGACATATTTTGTCAACTTTTTTTTTACTTCGTCACAATATGGTGCCTAATTTTGCCCATATTGAATTTTGATTACTATCATATCTTTAGTAGCACTCCCATGATTGAGACGAATCGATTGATATATGAATCATCAAAATCGGTCCAGGCGTTTGGTCTCTAGTGTGCCACAAATGAACAAACATACATATATAGACTGTTAAACACATAACCCTGTCTGCGCGTCGCGCTTCGCGCTCTTGCATTGCGCAGCCGGGTAAAAATTTAGTCTTAAGTTTAGAGAATCACGCCAGAATCGGCACGAGTGTATCCTTGTCATTCTCTATATAAAATGAAAAGGACAGACTGGTGTTATATTAAGTTTAAAGTTAAGAGAATCATGCCAGAATGGACATCATTGTATAGCTAATCTAAGCATCAAACTGCTAGATTAATAAATCTAAAGAACACTCGGTCTTGTTTAATAAATTGACTGAGCACCATTTTCCCTACTAAAAAAAATCTTTTGGTTCGTTTAAAAATTGATAATTAACGTTTTATTTTTCTTCCAGGTAGCATTGCCTTACTGGAGATGTCCCACAGGTTACACATGGATTACTTCAAGGTCGTCTTGAGCAGAGCTATGCAAGGTTGCAGGGATATAGAGGTAGGAATGCAAAGAAGCTATTTATAAGATGATTAAATGAAGATGATAAGTACTGCTATAATTTTTAAAATCTAATGGTTAGTCCTGAGCTTTTCTTAACATCTGGGTCCCTTTGGTGTTTTTTTAAATTATATTGTAATAATTATGCATACAAGCAGTTGGTTCACCTGATAGTAAGTGATCACCGTCGCCCATAGTCATTTGCAACACCAGGAGTATCACAAATGCGAGCCTGCCTTTAAGGAAGCAGTAGGCTCTTTCGGAATCATGATGATACATCTTTCCGTTCTAGTAATAATACCATAATCAATGAATTTTAATCTAAAGAAAATTTCTATCAGTTCATTTAGCAGTTACATGCTTAAACAATAACAGATATAAATGAATTTGCTGTGAAACTGCTGAACATATTCTGATGAATATTGGAATACTACACACTGACGGTGGCGGGTTGATATGGGAATTACGGAATTGAGGGACGTAGACGAGTCTTGTACTCGTAACATGGGCCCTTTTGTTTATTTTTCCACAAAAAAAGTGACATAAACCTTTTTATTTAGTGCAATTAAATATTCGTGTTTTTTTCACAGATTATTCTTGATAAAGCTGTAAGAGATCACTTAGCAGAAGGGTGGACGAAACAAGACGTAGTTACCATATGAAATAAAGTAATTGTTTATGAAGTATTTTGTGTTTTATTAATTTATTCACTACTAGCTTTAGCCTGCGACTTCGTCCGCGTTTTCGTCGTTTTTCGTAAAAAAGTAGCATATGTCCTTCCTCAGGGTTCCGTGGTTTTGATGTGACAGACAGATTAACTTTCGTATTTTAGTAGGTAAATGTAATATGTCAATCCACAATACTGTTAAAAATATCGCAATAAGGAACCGCAGAATATTATTATTATCATTGTGCCCCGAGATCATCAGCGTGTAACTCCTTGTATGTTATTATGTTAATGTATTGGTAATATTGTTTAGATCACTTTCACATGAGGCTTAAGTACATATAGAATGAAAATACTTCAGCGCAAAGCTTCCGGGTAAACTACGTTGAAAGTTGACACGTCCGGCACGTGAACATAAAGATTTCTAGAACTGCTAACCCGGGAAAGAGCGACATATAACTGACCATGTGAAAAACAACTGACACCGAGATCTTGAGCCTTATTTATTGTCACTGCATAACACACCGATACTGGGAATTGCGTTCTTTTAAATTGGAATGGAAAATTATTTGGTATCATGGGAATTCTGGGAATAAAAATGGTTTCTCCTGCACCGCAACCTATTGAAATTTGAACCTCGATTACATTTTGTTGCAACTGGGTTACTTTAAGCCGAGTTCCATTGCAAAGTTGTGGTGGTCTTAAATTTCGGAGCAGAATAATCGGAATGCCAATTTTTAAACAAATTTCATGAGAAGGAAGTCCGTGCATATTTAAAGAATTTAATAATTCTATCGGGTAATTAGTGGCTTCTTGTTCATCGGCCATTCTATTTATTGAACTATAAACTTTGCTTTCCCCCTGGATATTCGACAGTATTTTATTATTAATCTCAGATGACTGGTCATTGCGAGGAGTTAAAATGGACCTTTCACATAGCCAAGAATTGTCCTTATTTAATATATTTGTTACGTTACCGTAAACTGACGATATAAGATGTTGTTGGGATTGCACTATACAACATAACTCAGGCGTCAGAATAAGTTTTCCTTGGTGTAGCAGTGGATAGGTATCTTTGGTGAAGGTATTTTCTTTAATAATATATCAGAAAATTCACGATCATCCGGGTTATCTACAGTTCTCACTCGCATGTTTATAGCCAAATGCACCGATTGTATATCACGCCACAAATAAGAGCTTTTCAGGCAAGCTTTAACCTCATCAGCTCGGGTTCCCCGTGGTATTACCGGTAAGGTTTGTCGGAAATCACCACAAAATAAAATTGTGATACCGCCCATTGGTCGATCATTTTGTTTTATATCCCTTAAAGTTCCGTCTACCGCTTCTACTCCTTTTCGATGGGCCATCGTACATTCATCCCATATGATTAAATTATACTTTGAACGAATATTTAAACACTACCAATACAACTAATACCTATTTTACGAAATAACAACAAAAGAAATTCAAATAAACTATTTAAAGACTAAAAGTCGCGCTGATAGGCACGGTTTCTCAATATCAATTATTGTCTGTCAATAAGGTCGAGCGCTCTGAAAACGCATCAACAGCCAAATATTGAAGCTCGCTCGCTCTCTTTTTTTTTTTATTTTTTTTGTTTCCTCCCAGGCAGGGGAGCAGGTGTGAAATCCTCATGGATGTTGAGGAAGTGGATCGTAGAAAGGAAAGACAATCAGCTCGTAATATTTAGTTTATGTAGTCCCAATCACATTACATTTTTTTAGGTATACACCGTTGACGTATTTGCAAAAGTCCTAGAATGAAGTAACGGTGACATAGAGAACAGGCCATCGAGTCGCGCTAACAAGAAGGTTTTACATAAAATCATAACTTCAACACACCTCCTTGATTTTATAGAAAACAACAAAAACAACTTAATACCAATATAACAACTTAACATAATAAATAAATCACTTAACAAAAGACTATCTGTCATTAACATTTCATTTGACATTTGCTAGTTCTCTAAGTTTTATAAATTTATTTTTTCCTAATGCCTTGGTCAATATATCCGCTAATTGTTTTTCTGTATGAACCTTTACTATATTAATAATACCCTTTTTCTCATAGTCATATACGAAGTGGTAGCTTATGTCAATATGCTTAGAATTTTTACAAAACTTTCCGTTCTTTGACAACGCAATAGCCCCGCTGTTGTCTTCGTAAATTTTTACTGGATCCCTAATCTCAACGCCTAAATCGCGTAACACACCTATTAACGGAAGTACTTCTTCAACACAGTCTGCCAAAGCATAATACTCGGCATGAGTTGATGCTCTTGACACTATTTTCTGTTTATGTGACTTCCACATGATCGGATTATTAAAAACTCTTATAAGGATTCCTGTCGTCGACTTCCTATCCGATTTATCTGCGGCCCAATCAGCATCTACATAAGCGTCCAATTGTTCTTCGTAGTCGGCGTCAAAATTCATCTTTAAATGTCTCGTACAGTAAAGATATTTGAGAACTCGCAAGGCATATTTGAAATGCGTATCACTATAAGCATTTTGGAACCGACTCAAATAGTTTACGCTATAAGATACGTCTGGACGTGTTCCACTCGCAACATACAGAAGAGCTCCAATCAAGTTTCTATACTTTAACGTTGCACTGACATCTTGACTTGGTTCAATGCTTAAATTCATTTCCATTGGTGTCTCAAAGTTCTTTGATTCGATTACGTTATACTTTTCAGCTAAACTTACAATGTATTTTTCCTGGCTTAAAGTCATTCTGCCTTCTTTTGGTTCAAAAACTACATCTATTCCAAGATACTGTTTCACCTTTCCCAGATCTTTCATTCGGAATCTATTGTTCAATAGCCGTTTAACTTCGTCAATTGCCTCATTTTTCTCCCCACAAATCAAAATATCATCCACATACAGACATAGATATATATTTACATTATTTACACACCCTGTATACAAACAATAGTCATAGTCTGACCTATTGAAATTAATGCTTGACATGAATTCGTGAAAGCATTCATACCAATCACGTGGGCTTTCTCGCAATCCATAAAGAGCTTTTTGTAGTTTGCACACTTTATTATTCTCTGTACAATATCCATCAGGTGGGTAAATATAAACTTCAGACTTAATACTCCCATTCAAGAATGCTGTCTCAACGTCCATTTGTTCAATGTTCCATCCTCTTACACATGCAATTGATAATAAAGCTTTCATTGTCGTCATTCGCGCTACTGGTGAATAAATTTCCTCGTTTTCTTCATACATCTGTTGGAAACCTCGTGCGACTACTCTTGCCTTATACTTTCCATTCGACTTGATCCTAAAGATCCATTTAACATCTATTATTTTCTTATTTTCAGGTCTCTCAACTAAAATCCACGTTTCGTTCTTTTCCAAACTGTTCAATTCCTCTTTCATTGCATCTTTCCATTTATTTACATCCGGACTTTTTATTGCTTCATCATACGTATCTGGTACCAGTGCATCACTAAAATTTATATATACAACATGATCTTTATATTTCTCTGGCATTTTTCTATCTCTTTTTGGTCGGATATCCGTCACCTCCTCAGTCACAGCTCTACTTGATTTTTCCTTTGAGTCATCAACACTATCATAAAATTCTTCGTTTTCATCAGTTTCATCTTCAGTATTTACTATCTTTATTATCTGTTCTTCTTTCGTACCTATAAATGTAACGTGACGACTAATGACTATTTTTTCATTTATTAATACTCTGTATCCCGTATCTGTGTATCCTACTAATATACCTTTTGTAGCCTTTGGGTTAAGTTTTGATGTGCGTAATTCGTCTGGAATTCGTACATAACACTGTGATCCGAAAATTTTTAAATTACTTACATTTGGCTTCCTCCCCATAAAAATTTCGTACGGTGTTTTTTTCTCATACGTATTTGTTAATATTCTATTACCTAGATATACTGCAGTCATAACGCATTCAGGCCAATATTTCTTATTTATCTTTGCTTCTGTAAGCAGACATCTCGCTCTCTCCATTATGGTTCGGTTGAATCTTTCAGCTACACCGTTCAACTCGTGTGTATAAGCTGGCCCTGGTTTTAAATAAATACCTTTTTGCTTTGTGTAAGTGTAGAAATCGTTGTTAATATATTCTCCGCCATTGTCACATCTGATTTCTTTCACTCTCTTACCTGTTTGATTTTCCACCATATTTACATAATCTCTAAAACAATTCAAAACATCACTCTTGTTATTAATTAAGCATAGATAAGCTAACCTACTATAGTCATCTATGAATGACACAAAGTATCGTTGCCCCTTATATCCAGTGGGCGTAATCGGGCCTGCCACATCCGTGTGGATAATCTCTAACAAGTCTGTTGCCCGTCGTCTTTGATTTCCAAAAGGTAGATTTGTCATTTTGTTCATCAAACAAACTTCACATTGCACGTAACCCTCGCCTAAAGTGATAGGTAATCCATCTACAACCCTATGCCTGCACATTTCATTTAGTTTCTTAAAGTTAGGGTGCCCAAGTATTCTATGCCATTTTTCTTTTTCTGACATAATGTTACCACTTGTGTATGCTACTGTACCTGCACCTAAATTAACTCTGCCACCTAATTCGTACAATTTATTTTTCTTGCGTGCGACGGCCATTAAACCTATATGTACATTATATATATTTGCTATTTCTCCTCTAAATTGAATTGTATTATTTCTATTTACAATGCATGAAACGCTTAATAAGTTCTTTTTCATATTTGGAACATAATATACATTGGAAACATCAATTTTATTTGACTTACCTCCTGCTTTACAGTACATTGTTACATTTCCTATTTTCTCCGACTTAAGACAAAATCCATCACCTACCTTAATATTCACAGGTGTTTCTAAAATTTTATAATCACGAAAGAATTTATCGTCATTTACGATGTGATCGCTACATCCGCTGTCCAATAACCATGTTATATCCGCTTTCGTTTCGGTAGCTCCTGTCATCGCTTCTACTTCTACGTTGAATCCAAATCCATCACTGGTGCTGCTACTTTGTCCTGTATTCACGCTTCTATTGTTGTATCCTCCTCTATATCCTCTGTGAGTTCCTCGTCGTCCGCCTCCATATCCGCGTCCTCTACCACGACCATGACCACGACGTGCTAACTTAGGACAATCCCTCCTATAGTGTCCTGGGCGGTTGCATTCAAAGCAGTTATCATTATTCCTGGACCCATCTTGGTGTTGATTTGATCGAGAACTGAACGTATGAGCTTCTTGTTCGTTCTGTTTTCTTTTCATTTCAAGTAGTAATTTGGACTTCACGTACTCCACTGTCCGATCCTTTGTCGGCATCGCATCAACAATATTTACAATATGTGCAAAACTCTCAGGTAATGCAAGCAATAAATAGTTCAGTCTATCCTCTTCCGACACGACTTCTCCAGCATTTTTCAATTCATTGATTTGTTTTTCAAATGTTTGTATGAATTCTAGTATATCGTCGCCATCTTTGAATTTTGTTTCTAGTAATTTCCTTTTAATTAATAATTTATTAGCACTGCCTTTTACTAAATACATCTCGTCCAATTTTTTAATCATTTGGTAAGCCGTACTTTCGTTCATTATTATATCGAGCTGAGTATTATTTACGCTATTCACTATAATATTTCTTGCCTTTAAATCAATTTTTTTCCATTCCGTGTCTGTCATACCTTCATGTTTCATATCATTTTCCACAGCTTCTTGGCATTCTTTCATTTGTAACAACAACTTTAATCTAAATTTCCATTTTTCATAATTTGCACCATCAAATATCTGAATGCCCACTTCTCCTATCTTTACTTCCATTTTCGGTACCTTACGTCTTCAATTGTTTCGGTACTGACCTTGTCAAATAATTTCCACTTATCTTCCTCTTTCTATTTATTTTATTCAACCACGCTCCTTTGCTACCATGTTGAGGAAGTGGATCGTAGAAAGGAAAGACAATCAGCTCGTAATATTTAGTTTATGTAGTCCCAATCACATTACATTTTTTTAGGTATACACCGTTGACGTATTTGCAAAAGTCCTAGAATGAAGTAACGGTGACATAGAGAACAGGCCATCGAGTCGCGCTAACAAGAAGGTTTTACATAAAATCATAACTTCAACAATGGATACCCTACAGCCGGCTGCAAGGTTATGTCAGACTCGTACTGACTAAAAAACACCCGTAGGGGCTGCCTCTGGCCGGGAAGGCCTCTAAGGCTTCATCGGAAGCGATCGTCCCCCAGGGGGCGAGCGACGCAGAAAACAGATTTAGACAGCTCGCTCTCGGACCTCCCGCCTTTTGATACCCTACCGCCGCGACCCGTGTCGAGCGCGGC